TCAAGAGTTATTCATTGAAAGAGAATTGCCAATAGAACAAGCAGAGGCTACCACATGAAGAGGGACAGCAAACAACCGATGGCTCACAAAAAGATAAAGGGAACCTCAGAGAGAAATATGCTGCTGTTTCATTGAATGCAACGTGTTTGATGGTGTAGACAACGCAAAATATGCAATACGCTAAAAGAATTAAAATAACCTCTTTCTTTTTGGGGCACAAATCCCTTTTTCGTTTTGGGGTGGTGGCAACATTCTTTTGCCTAATAATCTTGCACTGTTCGACAAATGTATTCAAAAATTTGATCTAGGATATATTTGGGTGTATTCTTGAGGTTTATATTTGTGGTTTAATAGGGTTTGATATTTGCCTCTATTTTTTTTAGGTACATTAGATATCAAATATATTTTGAGGCATCTTAGAAGGTGCATTTTCGGAACTTAAAAATCTTGCATTATAGATTGGTCATTTACAGAAAGTTTTTATGCGTTTAAAAAAACTATCGTTGTGGTTTTAAGATTTGTAGATATCTATTTTCTGGACAGAAAAGGTTTCCTGAAAGAAGTACCCAGGTAAAGAAAAATGCCACAAATACCAATGGATCACGTTGAACCAGTGGATTGAAAGGGATATCAGAGATGATTTTCAAAAAAGTAAATGTAAAGGATTATCTGCTGTTGTCGTGAGTTAGCAAGGGCTACAATAGATCTATTTAGCAGAAAAAGGTATTTTCCTTAAGGCTAATGAGAACTATTGCATGTTATATGATACAATTTGCCAGTTTCGATGATAAAAGCTAAACACAAGAGCACATTGTATCTGTTGCTTGCAGGTCGGTGACGTAAGATTACAAATTAGTCTTCACAATACCAATAGCATTTGTGATGGGTACATTGTAGAAAAAAGTTCTTAAGGTTACGGTAAACGTTTGCTGGATGAAAACATCATTTTTTCGATTTTTTCACATTCAAGTAGCCGAACTTTCAAGGCACACAATGATACCAAATTTGAAACAAACAGAAGTTTTGAAAGTGGAAAAAATCCCATGTAAACGAAGGTTTCCATAATTTCTTTATCAAAACTTTTAGTTGAGGCCTGAAAATCTCTTGACCTTTTAAGCCGATTATCGTTGCTTTGCGGTTGTAGTCGCATGTCTCATTTACAATATCGCATGGCACATCCATATACCCAATGTACGGCCGTGTTTATTTAAACAGGCTTATTGATCTTAAAACTTCAAGTGACTTGACCCGGATTACACTGTGTTTTACGAGTGTATCTTGCAAGTGCGATTAGTAAAATCCCGTTTTCTCCGGACTCGAAATGTCCGTACATGCAGGTACGAAAAAGCTATTATGTACCCAAGGAACCAATCGAATGGCTCGAAAATTTGCACACGGCCAGGGCAGACGTTGGGCAAACAAAGTGTGTCTCAAAATTTTTTTATTTTCTCTGGTCCGTCTTTTATACCCAAATACAGCTGCGGGAGGGTGGAACAATTATTTGCCAATTTTTGACAGGGCATAGTTTCAAGAAGAGGAGGAATTTAAAAAATCTGAGACACACTTTGGTAGCTTAGGACCTGCACTTCCTGCTGGTCTAAGTCAGATTTTGTTACCTCAAACGCAAGGGTACATAATAGCTTTTGAAGGTGGTACACTTTTTGACCAGTAAATTCGCATGGAAAATAACATTTAACATTATTTGCCAATACTTTTTATCTGGCTAGATACGCCATAATCTTGTGCATCGAATGATATATAGTTTATCCAGATTCCTTGAGCCGTTTGGCCTTTAGGAAGAAAAAACCAATTTTCGTGTTCAAAACGTTTACCGTAACCTTAATAACTAATTAATCACAAAAATGCAAGTAAAGTACAATTTTCCAAGATATTATAGTGAAGTAATAAAATGAAGAACAAAATATACCAGATACAAAAACACTCATCGTGCAGTACCATTGTATTTCCAGCTTTCTAGTAACCAACTTGCTCTCATAAATCGGCACTGAACAGGGGGAAGAAGAGTCTATCTGAGAAAAATAAAAAATATTACTTTACGACCTTAATTTACTTCCTTAGAAAGTTGGTACCCGAATCAAATTGCTACATTAGTATTAGTATTATTGAGTCCAACAATCCTTCAAAACCAGGAATGTTTTCAGGCTCTTTATTGGAGCCAAAATATTCTGTTAGTGTTTATGAGAACCAAAATCTTTAACATGATTTAGACCAGTAGATGTTATGTTCAAATATTGTTGCATGAGCATGTGAGTGTGACATTATTTTTCACATGAGTTTAAAAGTTTCAAAAGCAAAGCATATTTTCATATCTATGTGTCCTTACTTTACCCTGGAAGCGCTAGCTGAGGAAGTCAGATTCTGGGGCACATAGACGATACTTTCGAATAAACCTGTAAAGCAACAAGCTGCTAAAGATGGGCTAGAGAAATTGTTTCTAACGCTTTCGTTTTTCGAAAGCAAAGTGACTGTGCATACAATAGGTGACTCCTGCTTAATCTGTCCCTAGTTCTAGATATACACCACGAGAGAACCGATACGCTTCCTGCAGTGGTCATTGGAATAATTCAGTGCAACAGAACTTGTCGAGGATGAGCAATTTGGATTATTCTAAGATGGGCTTGTTGTTAACTTTTTCACTGGGTATTAAGCTAGAAATTTAATTTTTTTCTGAAAAAACACTAATTCTTTTATAAGAAACAAAGGTCGATGTTGAGTAGTTCCAGTTTTTTGATGCTCTGGAAATTTCAATTCTCGTTGTTTCTTAAGAGGTTCTGAATTATGTTGTTATGAATGATGTTATGAAATGCTCGTGACCTTTTTATCAAGTCAAGAGATTCGCTTCCGTTCTGATGCTGTATTTAGATGTGGGTAGCATATTTTTATCCCTTTTGTCCTGAGGCTGATTTCTACTAGGCGAATTTTTTCGCGCGAATCGAATTTTTTCCAATGTGAGCATGCGTGTTGTCATGTTCTCAAATTTCGCAGCGAAAAAATTCGATTCGCAGAGAGAAGACCACGGTCCTACTTTATCGCTACGAATCTTTATTCGATTCGCGCGTAAGAACTCGCCTAAGAAAATCAGGCTTTAATTTTAGGCCAACAGGGCAATCGTGTTCTTGGATTTTACAAAATTTCGTTGTTTTCAGTTTTTATAACGAATTGATAGTTTCTTAATATTTTTGCTTCTAGTACTGAAGTTTCTTATATATAGCCATATAGCTGAATATAGCCAGTTTCTTATAAAAAATCAGTGTATTCGCATATTAAGTTAAATTTCGCATGATGAATATCCATTGTTAATGAAAGATCTTCCGTACGTACAGCAAACTTGTAAGCACAGGTTTCGTTGGATCCAAACCAGAAATGGATTAAAAGGACAATTTTTTTTGGAGGGGGGGGGGGGGTGTTAGGTGGCTGGACTTTGTTGCCACACCCTTCAGGTGACTGGAAAATGATGGAGACGCCTATTTTTTTAAATCCAGTTTTTTGCTTTAAGGCAAAGAGGATAAGAAGATAAAGTAAATTATTTCCATCCTTTGTTACTACTGACTCTCAAAAATGTTTTTTCTTAATCGAAGCGAAATTTTCAGAAAGGCGAACAATATTGGTGGGGGGGGGGGGGAGTTTGCACCCCACATGCCTACACCCCTTGGTAAAACCGTCCCTGATCCGAACTAATTGTTAAGAAATTGCATAAATTTGCATTCTATCGATACTCTCTTGAAGATTTGTGTTGCATTAGTTTCTTTCTGTGGTACTGCTACCTTAACAGTATCGGTGAACTTATTTTAAGTTGCACTCATTTTTTATAAGAAACTGAGTTCGGATACGCACTCATCTTCTTAGCTTTTGTTCATTTCAGTGCTGAAAAGTTTTTAAAGGCTTTTTTTAAAAACCAAATTCTATAGAGCTACTCTCAGAAGCTACACGAGAAGGTGATATGAAATAACATGAACCATAACACTTGATAAGTAACAAGGAGCTCTTTTTAACATGTCATGTCAAATAAACAGGAAATTGTCGTAGGAAAGAATCATTTCAGCTGGTCTTTAAAAGAATAATTTTGGAGCAGTTTTTCAAAGAAAAGTGATCAGCTCGGTGATATTGTTTCTTAATTCTTTGGCCGTCCAAGGGCTTTGTTTTTTATAGACGGTTTCTTGTAAAAATTGAGTGTAGTATTTCACTGCATTTACAGGGACATTATTATAGAAAAATTATCTACGATTTCGATATTAATACAATAATGACTTCTATTAAAGAAAATTAGACTCTCAAACATTTATCGATGTTTGGGAAGTTTTGTGGGGTGAAGTGAACCACTATGTACATAGGTAGTTACTAAGAAAATCCTGAATACCAGACTAGATACTTTGTTCTCGCTTCACTTTTAAGCTTATGTTTCTAAAAGTCTTTTAGGTACTTCAGCCACTGGTCTTTTACTTAGTTACCAGAAAATAATAACCAGCGAACTTAATCCACATCGTTCATGAAAAAACATATCTAGCTAGCTTCATATTTTCAATCAAAGGTAATTTGTTATGAAGAAATTGCAATAAGGAAATTTTAAGTTCATAGGTTTTAATAACTTATCACAAACTTTACCAGCCCAACCTTGAAACAAAAGGAGGATTGATGTTTACAGCCAGCAACAACAAAACATAGGACTAGCATCAAGCTCTACATCATACGAGGTTTATCTGGCTGCAAACCCTAATCATTTACCACTGTGAGGTAAGGAAGATAAATATGCTTACCTTCTCTGGTATTTACCCTCTACAAGATGAAGATAACTCAATTTATCTGTAAAACATCGATCAGTACACTAAACATATGGCCACATTTGTCCACCATTTTGAATATCGCGGGAAAACTTGGACCCATACCCTTAATTGCGCCTCCTCACTTCCTGGCAAATACGGTTCTAACGAAAACCAAAACATTTATCTTGGCAGAAAGGTCACAAATAAAATTCTCGCACATTACTCATTGATATATTTCTTCAGATCAGATACAATTCTTATCAATATATTTTTCATAACTAAATGACATTATATCTAAATTACCATTGACAAAAATTTTCTTAGCTTACTGTAATATGGTAAATTATTCGATAATCAATTACGGATTCAAAACGCGTTCGACATCACAGAATACTTCAAACAATTATAACTAAGAATATTAGACTATCAACTAACTAATATTTCCTGAATCTGATCTACAATTTAGGCTTGGAATACTTAGGTAGCAGTGTGGAGATAAATTGAGATTAATGAAGATAAGGCAACCCTTAGAAGGCTAGCATTATAGATAATGTTCAGCATTGTATTAGTCTTCCAAAATTGAGACAATCCTGCTTTATTTAAAATAGGCTTTTCAGTTCAATCTTCTGGAAGACTTGTCATATTTTGGACAAACAGGATCGTTTCATTGCTTGCCTTAACTGGAAGCAAAGGAGAAATACGGACGGGTTTTTTATCAAAACAGCCTAAGATGGCCCTAACCAAAGATGTTTCAAATAACTTTAACAGGGCTGGAAAAACATATTTATTCTTAGCAAAGAAAGGGCTCCTAAACGCCTTTCTAAATTTTTATTTCATCTATCTACCAATCGTTCTTAAAAATCTTAAATTTGATCTATCTACAAAGCGATTCAATAAGCAATTGTAAAACTATAAAACAATTAATGTATTAAGGGGAAATGTAGCAAAACACAACTCCATGTAATCCACAAAGGACTTTAAATACAGATGGAAGAGATTAAATAGTGCGAAAACAGATGATAGAAAGAATTCGTAGTCACTTTAACTAATGAAACAAAATGTTGAAAGAAATTTGAATATCTGAGTTCAATAACATGTCACGGCACTTTCAACTCAGACGAAAACAAATACGACAACTTCACACTAACAGCTAAGAGATGGACTAGATAAACGAAATTTGAGACACAAAAATAAATGCAAATCTAAATATATTAATGGGACTAAGACATTACGACGGGTGACAGTATTTGGGTGCACCGTGTAGTCGACATCGCTAACTTTTACAGGAAAAGGAAAGACCTACATCGTATCTATCTATTTCTTACTAAATGTATCATTTAAAAGAACGGATCATTGAAAATATGATACTTAGGGTCAGCACTTCCCTGCTCTCGCTTGGCAACATATAATCGATGATTTAAATCGTACCTATTTCCATGGAAAACAAAATGAAATACGGACAAATCAATGCAGTGAGGACAGCAAAATGATTATAAAAATCACGATGATGTCGAGGACTTCTTTTTTCTTCTCTGTTTCACGTGCTTGTTAAACCACCAGCCATCGTCAACTTTGCGAAAAAGCTTGAAAATACAAGGTAAGTTAGTTTCAGCAATTCAAATCGAATAACGTAAACATAGGACAATTTTTTATAAATATGACGGGTCTGGAAAAAGACCAAAATTAGTTGGGCCTTCTTGCAATCTGAATCAGGACCATCTAAATATCATAGCAGTAGCTATGCACCTAGTCAAGTCCTTTTTCCGAAAATTATGGATGTCAAAAAACACAGGATCTAGCCAAGTTTGACAAATCAAGTGAATTGTCCTTTTTTAAATTTTGATATTAATCTCAGGGTTGAATTGTATGACTCAACAACTGGAAAATCACAAAACTTAGATTTGCTTACTTTAGTTTTCCATTTGATGTCCAAAGATTGTCGTTGCCTTTCTTCAGCTCGTTGTCGTTCCTCTAACTGTGAACAAAACATTGGATATTTGCAAGATAAAATAAGGAAGATAATTCCTTATTTTATCTTGATATTTGATATTGGGACAAACCAAATTCATCAAAATAACTGCACAGAAATATCAACATAGAAAAGAATTATGGGGGCGATGTTTGCCAATATATGAAGCCATACACACATATATTGTCAACTTCCCGGACTGATACCACATAATTTATTCGAATTTAAAGAAAAATTCCCATGAAATAATTCATTTGAAGAATTATGCAAACATATTTAAGAGCCAACACTATCCTGACAATCAATGCTAAATGCTAGCATAAAATAGCAGTCACAACTTTTTCTTTTAGATGAAAAGTGCACCAATGGGCAACTCTTGAGCCAGAAAAACATAAGCTAAGGGACATGCAACAAAAACACCTTGTGATCTTTTTACGACAGTCTTGCAGCAATTAATGCAGCAAAAACATTACAGCATCGAAGTCCCTGAACTCAACAGGGACACAAGGAATACCTTAACTTCTACAATCAGTTTTAAATTGTTAGTCTACCACTTTAATGCTTTTTCAATACTACTGTCCTCTTTTTCTTCTGAGTTGAATGTTGCAACACAAGGACCGAGCCATCGACTAATACTGTTAATTGACTAAAACAAAACTAACTCAAGAAGATATGAGCGAAGTATAGTCAATATTCTAAAACTGAATTTTAAAAAATCTAATCCAACGAAATTTTGGCAAAGATATGGAGAAAAAGAGCCCAAAAAAGCTTGTCAAAAAGAGAACCTTGTGTTTTGCTACTGTCGCACTCTCAAGGTTTTCCTCATTGAGGGCAAGTGTGACATCTCTCCATAACCTAAAATAGGATAAAAATAAAAAACAACTAACAACAATGTCGAAATTTGCCACATGGACACTGATAGATAAAAACAATCTTTTGGTAGGACAAAACTTGAAAATGGCTTTGAAAAAGGCAAACATTTAGTAAACTAAAGCTTTTCGACTGACACTCTTCAGGGTTTAAACGTCAGAACACAGATCGAAAACTATTCATTGCTTTGATTGCTTATCTTATGCAATCTATCATTGCTTTGAAAAAAGCAAAAATTTGAGTAAACTAAAGCTTTTCGACTGACACTCTTCAGAGTTTAAACGTCAGAACACAGATCGAAAACTATTCATTGCTTTGATTGCTTATCTTATGCAATCTATCATTGCTTTGAAAAAAGCAAAAATTTGAGTAAACTAAAGCTTTTCGACTGACACTCTTCAGAGTTTAAACGTCAGAACACAGATCGAAAACTATTCATTGCTTTGATTGCTTATCTTATGCAATCTATCATTGCTTTGAAAAAAGCAAAAATTTGAGTAAACTAAAGCTTTTCGACTGACACTCTTCAGAGTTTAAACGTCAGAACACAGATCGAAAACTATTCGATCTATGTTCTGACGATTTAAACTCTGAAGAGTGTCAGACGAAAAGCTTTAGTTTACTCAAATTTTTGCTTTTTTCAAAGCAATGATAGATTGCATAAGATAAGCAATCAAAGCAATGAATAGTTTTCGATCTGTGTTCTGACGTTTAAACCCTGAAGAGTGTCAGTCGAAAAGCTTTAGTTTACTAAATGTTTGCCTTTTTCAAAGCAATGATAGATATATAACATCCAACTTCTAATTTTTTACCCTGAAATTTCAATATATTTTCAGCAATTGTTTTCAAAAATCTTACTAGATTCTGACTTGGGTTACTGGTGTGGTTTGATTACTAGATTTTCAACAATCTTAGTACTTGACATAAAATTGTTCTGCATATAATACAACTGCTTTTGTGGCAACTTGAAATCAAAAAGCGCATAATTCATAGATTTTTTTAAGTAGGGATGGGAAACATTGTTGTCTGTCAGGGATGGAAGTCGTATTGATTAAACTTGTGAATTTCATTAACAAAAAGTCAAACTTTGGCTCAAAGATTCAGAGTACAAACTAGCCAGTATTAAGCACCACACGTAGTTTTAAACAGCAATCATAGCAGGTTAGAAAACTATGGGAAAATAATATCGTAGCAGGCAGCTTTTATAACTAAACTAAATACAGAACAGACCTTACGTATATTATTCAAGCTTTAGAGCTGGTTTACATTCTACTTCTCTGATTCTTATTTAAACGTAAATTAAATTTAGGTATTATGACCAATGTGAATGAGTCAAGAAGTTGAAAATTGATAAAGTTTGAAGCGTATCATTACCTTCGGGACTCAAATTCGCCCTGATGGTCCAACGGTCTCACTCGTTTAGGAACTGCACGCAATTTTCTGATATCAATCGATCTGTCCTTTTTCTGAATGGAAATAAATTAGTTGAAAATAAGCAATTCAGAAAATTACTTATTAATGCTGCTGTTTGGTTTGAGTTGATGAGCTTCTGATGCAATCTAGAATTAATTTTGTGTTTTACTCTAGAGAATATAAAATTTTCTGTCTAATTAGCTAAGCTTTCTAGAGAGCTTCACATGAGAATTATATCGCCCCTTTCCAGAATAAAGTGCCTCGTTTACACCAATAGTGTTTATATATATATATATATACATTTACATGCAGAACAAAGCAGATGTAATGAATAAGAGTCTTATAACCGAACGAGAGTAGTATCAAGCAGAAACCTCATCGTCTGTAAATGCAAACTCTATGCTGCCATTCCATGATCCTTCTGCACGGCAATAAATATCCCCGGTCTGTACATCCCTAAGGGACAAAAATGCGTTTAAATCTCTGACTATTATTTGCTGAAGCAGAAATAGATGTGCTACAAATTTCTGAAAATTTCTAAATTTTGGAGGATAACGGTCAAGTCACGACGAGAAACAAAATTTCAAAACATCAGGTATTTACTACCAAATTTGCAGTTACTTCCACCAAAAACCGTCCAATATTTTCTTTCCATTCCTTCCGTTCTTTGCTCATATATCTTTTACTGAAATTTCACCAGCTAAGCTAACTTTTTTGGCATACCACTGCAGTGGCATAACTGGATGCAGACACGTTCGATTATGATAACTAAATTCTGAAAATGTCTCTCGACACCCTCCTTCTCGCATCCTAGTCGTTGATATTTACTCATATTAACGAGCAGTGTGATCAAAGTCTAATACCAGACTCCTCAAATCCAACCCCTGCCAAAAATCTCGGTTGCGGCACCGCTCTGACATTATATCCTTTACGGGAATCCGATAGGAAAGTTTCGTAGTTGGTCTATTTCTATGATTCTGAATGCGGTCAACAAAATGAACAAGCAGTTCTGTGGAAGAGGATAAAAAAATCAAGCAAAAATTACAGGGTGACAAAGCTAGGTTACGGGACGGTCTCCAAGGGTGACTACCAAAGCGAGCATTTCATTGAGTCATTTGGCTCAATTGAATGCTGACTGCTTTTGATGCCGCAAACTAGATTTCGACTCCGACCAAGCGAGTATTTACAATTGGGCAACACCTTGGGGGAAAATTTTTCTCCTGTCAGCCTATGCCTGCAATGATTTATAAATATATGCAGCTCATGAGAAGACGAATAAAAATCCACTGCAATGAAAGATATTGAGGAAAACTTCTTGAATTAAAGGATAGGTACTTTCTTAACAACAAATATAAGAGTCAGTCAACAAGCGTTGCAAAATGAAACTTAAGACCTCTTACTTTATTTCCGCAGAGATTTTGTTTCCTGATCCACCATAAAATGGCTGTTAAAAATGAATGTATGACATGAATAAAAAACACAATAGCATGTGTTAAATATAGAGCTTAAGTCTATGAAGTTTCAAGTTAAAATTCAAGTTGTTACTACAGTGTTTTTACCAAGAGCATGAAGAGCCCTGAGCCCTAGGCAATTATTAGAAACAAACCAGATTCTACTTTGATATCTTTACAATAATTTGCGGTATCTACGAATGATAGATGCTCAGTCTACTGTTTTTGAATATATCTCAGCAATGATTAAAATGTTTAGAATTTTTCTTGGAAATATTATCAGAACAAGAAGATTCTTCGAGAACATTGGAGCATTAATTGCAATAGACTCTGATACAAAGTCATAAGGATTAGGTTCTTGATAACTGACAAAAAAATTTCTGCTGTACAAATGAAACAAATTCCTGGGGTAGTACCAAAGAAAATGAGTCAGATCAGAAGACTTAGGAAATGTTCGAGAAGTCGCAACATAAAGTGCTTTTGTTTGAACTTATATGAAATAGAAATATTTTTTGTTACATTTGACCTACATGAACAATTCCCAGGTTCTGAGAAATAGAAATCAATGCGAATACCTTGGTATGAAACAGAACAACGGCTGCATATCCTGTTTTGACACATTTGATCATTGTTCTACCGCCAAGTTCAATCCAAGGATTCGTTAATATCGACCTATAAATCAATGAAATCGTTGAAAAGCTTCGTATAAGGTCATAGGGAGGGGTTTTGGTTGGATATCTAGTCCCTGTAAATCGAGAAAAAAAATTTAGTTGATCGATATCAAATTGGTCTCATCTAATGGCATCTGAACTCCACGTCAGTCTATTCTACGAAGGAGAATAACGTTTAGGGGGCAATCACATGCCATGCAAGTGCGAAATTCCAAATCTAATTTGAAAATTCTCTACTTTCTAAATACACACGGATGAGAAAAACATAGAATAAAGATTAAAGATTAAAACAAGACATACTGGGAACGATTGGATTCGAAATTATGAGTGACAACAGAGAAAAACGGAATAGAGTAAAGACTAGCACATTATAACTTTCTTTATTCGTATTTTATGACTAATTTGGTATATGTACAACAGGACGGTTCTAATTTGCAACTCCGAGTTTTATGCTTAGTGCGATCATCTGCCAGCTATATTTTGTATCCAGTAAATAAATAGAACATCTTAGCTAATATTCCTTTTCAAAAGCTTTGCAAACAAAACTACGATCAGTTAAAGATAAAATGGAACCAGTTTTCTTATCTCTCAAATTACACTCTGATTGCGTGATGTACCTCATAACTTTACAACCTGAAGTACCTTGGTTCAACAAAAATCTATTAAACAGTGCAGTAAACTATTCGCGAGAAGGATGACTCACATCTTGTTGCCTCTGAGATAATACCGTAGCTTTATGGAAAGAAAAAGACTGAGGAAGAAGACAAGTACTGTAGTACGTTCGTCGTTAGGCCTTTCTAAAAGTTACCAACCTGCAGTAGGCATTGGGGAAGGTGATTATGTATTCTTCATCGTGCACATGATCGATGATGATCCCTAAGAAAAAAGTGCCTCCGTAAAACGAAGCCAAACGAGGTGGGGTAGAGAAATGAAGTCAAACGAGGTGGGGGTGGAGAAACGAAGTCAAACGAGGTGGGGGTAGAGAAACAAAGACAAGCAAGGTGGGGGTAGAGAAACGAAGACAAGCAAGGTGGGGGTGGAGAAACGAAGTCAAACGAGGCGGGGGTAGAGAAACAAAGACAAGCAAAGTGGGGTTGGAGAAACGAAGTCAAACGAGGTGGGGGTAGAGAAACGAAGTCAAACGAGGTGGGGGTAGAGAAAAGAAGTCAAACGAGGTGGGGGTAGAGAAACGAAGTCAAACGAGGTGGGGGTAGAGAAACAAAGACAAGCAAGGTGGGGGTAGAGAAACAAAGACAAGCAAGGTGTGTGTAGAGAAAAGAAGTCAAACGAGGTGGGGGTAGAGAAACGAAGTCAAACGAGGTGGGGGTGGAGAAACGAAGTCAAACGAGGTGGGGGTAGAGAAAAGAAGTCAAACGAGGTGGGGATGGAGAAACAAAGACAAGCAAGGTGGGGGTAGAGAAAAGAAGTCAAACGAGGTGGGGGTAGAGAAACGAAGTCAAACGAGGTGGGGGTGGAGAAACGAAGTCAAACGAGGTGGGGGTAGAGAAAAGAAGTCAAACGAGGTGGGGATGGAGAAACAAAGACAAGCAAGGTGGGGGTAGAGAAAAGAAGTCAAACGAGCGTTGGGGTAGAGAAAGAAACGAAGTCAAACGAGGCGCGGATAGAAGAAACGAAGTCAAAACGAGGCGCGGATAGATGAAACGAAGTCAAACGAGGGTGTAGAGAAACGAAGTCAAACGACGGTGGGGTTAGAGAAAGAAGTTCAACGAGATTGTGGGGGGTAGAGAAAAGAAGTCAAAACGAGGTGGGGGTAGAGAAACGAAGTCAAACGAGGCGCGGATAGAGAACGAAAGTCCAAACGAGGCAGCGGATAGAGAAACGAAGTCAAACGAGGTGGGGTAGAGAAACGAAGTCAAACGAGGTGGGGTAGAGAAACAGTTAGCATAAAACAGATTCTTGATAAAATAGAACTAATAACAACGTGGGTACAAACCTTCACCAACGTTCACAACGCCTATAGACATTCCATAGAACTTTGATTTGGTCCAAATGTGTGTATTCATAGTGATCTTTTTATCGGGGCATTCGGCGTAGAAGGCGGAAACTGGAAAGATAAAGATGAAAACAATATCGAGGGTCTTAAAACTTAAGTTATCATATTTTAATACTTTGTAGAAATGTTTGAAGAAAAGACATGTTCTCGAATCGATACTCAAATTTCAACAAACTTTTTATTTAACCAACATGTGGCTAAATAGCAGTCATAGAGTGTCCATATCACAATATAACATCAGTGAAGCTATATTCAAGTACAGATGCAGATGTCAAGAAAGTAATTTACCCAAGGACTCCCCTCTTGACAAATGATGGTACAACTTGTCAACTATAATCCTTTGTCCCAAGTTTTATATTGATAAATCTGCTTTAAATCCATGAAAAATAAATGAAAAACAGAAAGGTGAAGAATTTTCGGTAATTGAAAAATTAATAGCATTCCAAATCCACATGAAATCATTGAATGTAAATCTTGTCAGGGAATAATAAAGATATGAAATACGGTGAAAAAGGCGTGCACTTTAAAGAGCCAATGACCTTAAAAAAGACTGTTATCACAAGAGCTAGAAAATCGAAGCTGGCTTTTATTGATAAGAAAAACATACTTGGTGGATGGTGCGAGACTTGTTCTGCGACGTAAAACAGACGATTCGTGCCATCAGCGTTTGACATCGTCGGAGACTGGCTGCTCGAATTCGCAAATTGATTTTGGCTTGGTACATCGTATGAACAATGAAAGGTCTCTCCAATTATTGGGTTATAAGGCTTCTTTGCTACTGCCGACTGCGAAAAAAGTGATAGTGTAGTTTAACTTATTCACAGAGATTGATCTACGGAAATCTATATGCCAATAAGATGAAAGCATTTAAAAAAATACAGCAAGGTCGCAATATGGCCATAGCAGTATTAAGGTTGTTAACTAAAGGTTTTTTCTGCTTTGATAGAATTAAAAGGCAATATTTTTGTTCACAACAGTGTTACAAAAAAGTGTAACAGATATGTTGGGGTGGATGTATACATTTGGAAACTGAAGGTGCAAGATCATGAGAGTTCTCATATGAGGGGTACGAGATTAGAAAATAATCGATCACTGAGTGTTTCAAAGTTATGAATAAACGGTCAGCTTGCCTTTGGTGAATCATTCACGAGACAAATCAAGTCATTGAAGAGAATAAATTAGATAAATTTGTTTTGAATAAAGGTCTCAAATTGACAAAAGAATAAAATCATATTGATGTATGAAAATTGATGATTTTAGACGATTCAAACCGGATTCATTCTAAACCAATAGCTAGAAGATAAATACAAGATTCACAAAATTTTTATGGCCTCTTTAAGGACCCAGCTTTAAAGCTTGGTTTCCACTATGGGTTAACGTGAGATAATTCTGAGCTAAATTGAAAATTAACTCATGGTCTAAATTCAAGTTAACTTGAGATAGTGTGAAATAGCGTGAGATAACGCGAGCTATCTCAAAATTAACCCATGCAACGATTCGGTTTCCACTTGAGATAGAATTAAGTATTGAAATTTCAGAAATCACATTTTATTTGAGTCTTGCAGCTATGGCGGGCGTCTTACAAGAACAACTTATTTTACTTCTGCTTTTGAGAATACTTAGAAGGAAAATATTTTTTGCTAGAAGTGCCGTTCGCGATCTGCGCCAAGGTTTTCGGTACGGAGAGTCTACCAAAAAAAGATATGCGTTTGGTGAATACGACCACTTGCAACAGGATCTTAGAAATGAGAAAATGTTTCTCTTATTTCACAATTAATTTTTTTTTAGTAAAGAAAACTGTTTTCAACATCTAAAGTAATACTCAGTGCAAGTGCGTTGCGTAAGAACCTCAGTGCAAATTATAGCACATTCCCCTCCCACGCATCGGCTTCTTTTGATAAGATGTTATCTCAAGTTAACTCATGAGCTTGAAATCAAAAAATTTTGTTTCCAAGCTCATGAGATAACGTGAGTTAACACGAGTTAATTTTCATGAGATAATTTTTAATGACCGTTTCCACTATGAGATAATTTTTAAACCATGTCAGATCACAAAATTATCTCAAATTAACTCACGTTAACTCATAGTGGAAACCAAGCTTAATAACTCTGGTTCGTTGAAGATCAAATAGATACTGTCTTGGTAAATATAAAATAAATTAATTACTTTTCTTCCAACGTGAAATGATGTAAGGTAGAATTCCAAAACAGCCAGCATCCTGTCTTGAGGGGTTTCGAAATCCGGAATCCTAAAAAAACATTTTCCGTCAAAATACAGACAAAAACGAGTAATTATAACAACACGTAAACAGAATATGCTTATACAAGTCGAAACCATTTCCTGAGAACTGCATATATTTATCAGAAATCGATAAGTCTGCTAACAATGAAGATGCCTTTATGTACTACGTATTATGCATTTTGTGGTGAATTATATTCTCTAATGAATAAATGGTTACAAACAGAACAGATGAAAGCTACAAACTGAAACATCACCTTGTAAAAAGATCCGGATGAGAAAAGAAGTCAGCGTACATTTCCAGTAAAGATCGTTTCTCGAGTACAAATGTAGGCAGAACAACCTGATGAAATAAAAAATCAAGCGTTTTTGAAATGTGTTTGACAATTGTTACGAATACTGATGAGTATTCAGAGAAAAACAATAAAAGTCTTGGTTTTCTCATAGTCTAAAGAATTAGATCGGTCTTCGTGAAAGGAAGTCGCCTCAGATGTTGTGGCAACTAGTTTCCAGGCCTTTCTAAAGATCGAGCGTGCACAAATATTTTTGAGAAAACGAGGAGGTGGAGTTGGAGAGTGAGCTAAATGATCGTGATATCTTCTAGAAACTTAGTTAGAGGGAACGAAGAAAATCAAAGGATTTTTTAGCTCGACAATGCAAATGTCGGATCTTTATTCCATCTACACTTTCCAACCACAATTTTACTTGAAATATCAACGAAATATATTTTTTAGAGCCTATAATTCAAACGCTTACCAGTGCCTGACAAGCACTGATCAACTATGTATGAGCTAAAGTGTGACCTTCTGGTACAGTTTTCAAGCAAATGATTGTAACATTGCTAGAAGCGTAGACTCAAAAACATCTTGATACAGAAGTGACGTAAAAAACAATGCAAAAATCAAATAACTGTTAGCAGGCAGAGCCGATTGCTTATACATGGATGGCAGCTTTAAAAACTGATCTACCTAAAACATGTTTATCCTTCCTTGCAGAATGATGTACATATACCAGTGATAAAAGCATTTCAAGTAATGGCATGCCTGAAGTTTTAGGTAAAAAAATCCGAAATCTGATAATCTGAACTTTTCTACCTATAGCTTTGTAACATCTTGGATAGCAAAACCATCAGTAAAGTTCTCAGATCTATGCTTTATCGTTTAGACCCCGCTTCGTGCTGAGAAATATATCTCGAGCATTACCAAAGAGAAGAGTGAAAACACAAAAAATATTTTTTCTTTAAAATAACCCAACAGCTGCTTTTAATCTCAAAAATATTTCTACTTCGGCATAAAATCTACTTCGACTTACTCTTGTCAAGTCCATACCAAGTTTCAGCTGTGACAAAATACTCAATATTATGTTCCTATGAGGCTCCATACTTTCTTCTGACTCTTCGAAGTCATGTTCGTCAAGGACTTCTGAATGTTCGAAGGATCTTATATGAGTGAATTCTGAAATAAAATGTTGAATAACAAATATTAACAACTAATGGTCGTATTTCAATTCCATTCCATTAAAAAACAATTCCATCAAACAGTCTCTAAATCGAAAAAAGTGCTAGCCTGATAACCAGACCCCGATTTTAAAGAAAACACTAAACAAGTGCTTACTGATTCGCATTTTAATCATAATGACGAAATAAAGTTTGTGAATAAATATAAAAAAGTAAATGTTCATTAGTACATTATAAAGTAAATGTTGGATAATGTGAGGTTGCATACGAGACTTTTTGAGGAAACAGAATGGATATGAAAAAACGAACTGGGATAATATAAATTGGGTTAGATTATAACTTTTGACGTTTGACGTTTTTTGACGTTATTTTACTATAATTTAGATGTTTTGTTCCAAATAGTTATTCAAGAATTCATAAACATAGTCTTTTTATTGTGGGGTCTCTACGCGACTTAGAGAGAATTTACTTTAATGTGGTGAAAACCATGATATAACAACTTTCGAAACTATGAAATTATAAAGGTACCATAGATTAGAAATATACCATTTACACTATCTTGAATCTAAACCAGGATGCGCTTATATCAACAACAAACGGTAAGTCCCTTAAACGATGTGATCCACTTGTCCACCCATAAGATAGGGTGGCCAGTCCATCTCAACTTTTCCTTTAGCACCCCACATGTCTCTACCATGTACCCATTTGCTCATGGGTGGACAGCATGCTGGCGTCCAGTTCGTGTACCAAACTTTGATTCAAACATGCAGCATTTTGGACTGTAGCAAAGCACTCAAGTCTCTTGGCTACTCCCCCTTTTATATAAGACGCTACACTAGGGTAGACAACATTTCTTACCTTCCTCTTTAAGAGCAAATTCATCGCATTGATCTTCATCTGAATTGTAGTCTTCATCCTTGCCGGATCTTCTAGTTTTAAAATCATTTCGAGACCTAAAAAACGATGCATTTAAAAATTTTATGAATTCTGAATTTAAACGTATGGAAATGGTGAGACTTCACACCCCGTCCCCGTTCAATGTTGACGTCTCTGCTGCTCAAATACCTCTTCCTAGACTTTGAACAGGGGAAGGAGGTGTATCATTGTAATAGGGCGTTTTTTCAAAAGTTGGTCTATCAACAACTTCTTATCAAAAAGCAACACAGAACTGATAATTTTCTCCTTGAATTCTCTGTGTCAGAAAGACTGAAAAGAAAATATACAGACAGATATGAATAGATACAAAAGAAGTAAAGCGAAATCTCCCATCACTTCAGAATTTATTAACAACGTAATTTGGTTTTCATTTAAGAGTGCTCAAACTGTTGAAGCGCATCACGTCATCGATCTAGTGGCAAGTAAAGAGAGCAGCTTTATAAACAAAAGCGATAACAAAAAATATTAATTGTAATGTTAAATAAATATTTGACACAAAAATGCATCTAACTCACACAGTATCTGAAGGTCCCAGCCACTCGATTCTTGCACCTAATTAAAGAAATCAAAATAGAACGTTAACTGTTTTCTTTCACTGAGCTGAATAAAGGAAGATATGATATAGTAAAATGAAGGAAAATTTCAAAGATCTATTTCTATGGTACATAGAGGTTTTTTAAAATGACAGATCAATAAAACCATCCCTTCAGCCATAAACTTCTAGGTGAAATCAAATTATGGGGAAGTTTGATTTAGTTGTATTTTCCGAATGGCCGCATACAAGAAATTAACTCCAAAAAAATATAAAATTAAATCCAAATGCAGGTATTTCTTGTTTTCCACAACAAGGCACTGATATAGCTAACAAAATTAAACATTTTTGAGAACCAGACTTTTCAGATTAAGTTCTTGCCACTTTGAAGTACTTTGAAATTTATCTCTTTTCAAGAGTTTTCAAAATGACGTCATTGCCAGTTACATTTGCCTTAAAAGTTACGTCAAGACTAAAAATTGCAGGAAAGCTTTCGAAAACAATGAAATATGGTATGTTATTACACAATTTGAATTCAAAAAGGACAAAAAAGCTTGGTGCGAATTATCTTGAAATGAAGTATCGAGATGCAAAAAAAGAATTGAAGCAAATACCAGGAGGTAAGCCAGTGGCATTGGCGGTGGCTTGTAAGTCTGCTGACTGAAAGTAAAACATTACAATCAGATAGCTAAGGTGAGGTTAGGAAGACTAGAGAACTTCCTTTGTAATTAAAATACTACACAAAGATAATGAAATAATCACATTAAGTGTGATTCAATAACAGATGAAATATATTAAAAAAATTCTTCGGCAGTTGTCTCATTAGAAATCTAATTTTTTTGAACAAGCACGACAAGCGACACTTTTACGAAAAAAGTTTGGAGCAAACTAATCAACCTTCAATATTCATGGAAAGTTTAATTTCCTAAAACGCTGTCATGATGAAGAAAGACAGTGGGAAGTTCCTTGCTAAATTTACAAGTTGTGTTGATTAAAAATGATTTAAAGGCATTGTGTCGCGCTGTTCATTGGTTTACCGAAACGAAGAATTGAATTTATCTTTTAGTGGGTTTTGCTTTTGATCAGTTAAACTAATTTTTCACGCTTTCCTAATTTCAAGGAACCTCGAAATTCAACAAACAATAGCCTATGAAGAGCGCGACATACTCCCTTCAAGAACAATTTCAGGCTGAGAAAATTCCAAGAATATTGACGCTCACAAAAATTAAAGATTTTGTTATAAAAAAGGCACATTGATAGCTAAACGCAAAAGAACTGAGGGCATGCTATCTTTAAGAAAGCAAAACCAAACACTGATTTACCTGTTGATGCAAAATCGAGTAACACTGGTGCAAAATATTGACCATGGCCTAAGAGAAAGAAAAACGATTATTTGTTTTTTGTATTTGGTATATATAGTGAAATTAATTGTCAGAGTTGTGCATATATCATTTTGTGTTAAAGTCATAGGCAGCCCGTAGAGTCGTAGCAAGGAAGGGATAGTATTCGTTACAACAAGAAAGTGAAATTATATCGCAATGCTTGGAAGCTTCTTTTCAGCCAACAACTTTTCGAAAAAATGTTTTCTTTCCTTCAGCGTCAGGTTCACTAATACCCTGCACTAAGACGAACACTTAGGCACAATATTTGGCAACAATAAATGTAGAATGGTGCACAAGGCGTTTTGGCTTTTAGCGGCACTGGTCAGAAATAGAAGGTTAACGTCGTTTATTCAAAGTTTGTTCAATTAAGGTTCAATCTCAAGCGTTTAGTCTCAAGCGTTTTACGTGAAGACACTGTCCAACACTGATGCTTTTGGAGTTTGGAAACGCCTAAGATAAAAGCGTTGATCAAAATTTGCTAGGCCGTTAATAAAGAAATAATACTATAAAGGTAATCTTTCGTCAAGTGATGTCTTTAACGTTTCCTAACTTTGAAACTACAATTATTATCAATAATTATGAACTTACTTGAGATGTGGCTTTGAGAATCAAAACATTCTACGAATGAAAAAAACTTCGTTAGAAACAGCAGAGAGAGACAAACCAAAGTGCAAAGAAATGCAACAATTCGAGGGGATTCGGATGTACGGTTGCCAAAAGTTGGACAAAGAGAAAAAAAGAGGAACTTATTACAAGGTGACCAAGATTAACATGCTTTGGCGTTATATCTGAAAACTTGAAAATAAGAGTTTATGGATTGAACTTTCTCTCTGTACCTATATTAAATGCAGATCATTAGGAGACTTGTCACATATTATTAACGATCTTGATGTGTTTACACGAAATTTTGTAGCTGTATGTATCACATAGCTGTATGTAAATAAATATATCACTATTTTAGCATTCTTGAATTCATATACCGCTTCTCTTGATAGCAGTTTTAAATGCAGCCAATTAAATTAATATGATTTGATAAATTATTATCATTATTGATATTACTATAAAATGAAATTGCAAAGAACTGTGACAGAGAAGTAACTTTTTTGCCTTAAACCCTGTAAAAATACTTTCGACCTCCTTGACTGAAAACCTCTGCCTGTTTTGATTATGACACTGTGGTTTCACTCTTTGTGTCTTATAGACTCTTCAGGATTTTTACAGAGGATTTATCAAATAAACCAACATAAATCTAGAGAATCGAGGATTGGTATAGCAAAAACTGGCAACACTTAGTAGCTAGATATAAAATTGCCAACAGAAATCTGTGATGAAAATTAACTTTGAACACATTTGTTATTAGTAGATCTGTACCGTGAAATCAAAGAATAACTGAGGCTGAAATTAGACGCATTGCTAAAAAGCCCCAGCCTGCCTCAATGTAAACAAAGATAACACAAGTTACCTCATCCAAAGGGTTTGCTATATCACCATGCGAGTCATTCTGTTAAAAGATAAAAAAAATTTGGTGGATTACACAACACGACGAGCTTCCACAACTCTTGTTTTTAATCGAAAAAAACCACAGGGCTAGCCCCAGACACCTTTCGTTTCTGGTATTGAAGGAGTAGAGGAGTGTAAAGGAGTGTCTTCAAACTGTGAATTGGCCTTCAAGGAACCATACCTTTGAATCGGGTTTTAAGAGAAAACCATACGAAGATAATACAAGCAAAAGCTCCCTATTCTTCTATTTTATGTAAGTACTTGAACAGAAAGATGTCAAGCTAACAAATATTGGAAAATGGAATAAATTTCATAAACATACATGTATTTAACAAGACTGATTTGGTCACCATAAATGGACACATAAACTGCATAAACAAAATAAACTTTAACTCCTTGACTCCTTGAAATGCATGACATGGGGTAAATCGGATAACTCTATCCGGATTCGCTAATTCAACCCAGATCTCAACGTGTTAAACAGTGTCCCACTGTGTTACATAGTAGAACTTAGAACATTTAGAGGTAATCAGAGGCAAAACTGGTAATAAAAAAGTCACCTCCAGGGTTTCAACAACCGTTGCATGATATTCATCAACCGTGTTTAAAGCATCTTTCACGTTGTGCAGTTCTTCTCCCGCTGGCGTCGTAACTTGCTTACCAAGTTGTGGCTTTCTAGATGACGGTTGTCCATAAGTAGCTGAACGTTTGAGATTTGATGCTTTCGAGAGAAACGCGCCGCCAAGTGAAGCAGTGCGTTGGAGTGCCGCTGCGTTGATATCGGAAGGAGGTTCCTGTTTCGGACTGAGGCTGTGGAATTCTGCAACCGCTCTGATCATATTGACCCAGTGCTGGCGATTCTTTGGGTCAGTTGCTGAAATGACATGTTCGTACGGTAATCAACGTAACAGAAGGACGCCATGAAATCATGCTATTTTTATACACATATTGCAAAAATGTTCCGATCATATCAACGTTCAGACTTGAAATAAAAGCGATGCAAAGCTTCTCCATTTAAAGGGAAACAGTTCCATAATGCAGTATGTATCCGCATATCGTATGTATCCATCCTTAACTCCTATAGTAGGACTGACGTACACTTAGCCTCCTTTCGATTGAATTACAAAACGTGTGAAGAAACAACAGTCCCAAAGTACAAGTAAGAGGTGTTTTCTTAAGCTCTTGCTTTCGCTCCTACTCGAACATAGGGTTTATATGTGTTTATAAAATCCATCTCTATTACATCTCAAGAACGTAGAATGCTCACCTCGAAGTTTGTATACATCTCCGTTTGATGCGTGGACAATGAACAGGTTGGAGTCTTCATCGCTTGGGGCAATTACAGCTCCCTTATTCGAAAAAAATGGTATGCATGAGTAGATTGAGCTTACCTTTAGGTTACAAAGATTTAGAAACGTGTAGAACATCTTTATTAGGGATTACAAAACCGAACATCATACAGTACCTTATGAAATATCACATAAGCGCTTTATAACCCCTTTCACTTTGAACCCCTTTCCAAAGAACCTCCTGGGTCCTCCTTGGTTCTATAAGCATCTTTGGTTTAAGAGATGTGAATTTATGAAAACTGCCTTCGCGATTGAAAAACTTGCAAAGCAAAACGATTGATCGATGGGCAAATGATCCATTAGGCTTTTGTACAGAAGTGGAATTAAAAAAAGTATAGATCTCAAAAGTATCCTGTCTCTCCTCATTCTTCTATGGGGAGGCCCTTTTTCCTTAATGAGCCCAACATATGGTGCCTCCAGAACCAAATAAGCCCCCGGAGGGAGGGGGGCTTGGTTTATGTCTGGCATAGTCAACAATTAAATTTCTGTAAAAAAATCACAAATTTTGGGCTGGGCCTCTATGCATACCCTTTTACAAACGTTTTTCAACAAGAAAAGTTTTTGATCCTTAAAAACTTTATTTATTGACTTACAGACAAATGCACTGATCCTCGTGGCCCATGTTTTACTTTGTCTTTTTCCTGGAAGCAAATCATTCGTTATATGCAAAGCGGAGCCTATGTACAACAGCCAGTTATAAAAACAGCTCTGAAAACCATTTACTTAAACCAAAAGTTTATCTTAAGAAATAATTTTCTCCTTCCTTCCAAATGTCTTAATTACAGACGCCCGTCATTTCAAAACAAAACTACATTCTTCTTATTAACAAAGCTTTGAAATTAAGTGAATGTAAGATGGATAATAGAGGAAATAAATCAATTTTTCACAACAATCACTAATTCAAAGATAAAAAGTACAAATTAGGATACATACCAAGAAATATGACAATGTCCCATGTTCAGCATCTAGAGCAAACCACCTGTTCTGCCATCCTTTGACCAGATTTGTGAATTTACTTAGTTGGCCCTCCATACTCTTGCTGAAGGAACCACAAATAATTAATTAAAAATTGGTTATTTGAAAAGTATCTACCAATATTACAAACAGGCTTTTGGAACTTCAAATTTTGAAGATGGAACGAAATAGTGGAATCATAGCCTACTGTAGCACTTTTCGTCCGACACTCTTCAAAGTATAAACATTGGATAATTACCGAAGTAAGCAGAAAATTTATATCCAGGTCTGGAGCGAAAGTGAGCAGTCGCTGATAGGTTAAAACAAAAGAACCAGTCAAGCGTGTCTTTTTTCCTATCATATTGCATTCGATCCACCGCTGGATATAAATTTTCTGCTTACTTTTGGTCATTATTTGAGGTCTTACTCTAAAGAATGTAGGACGAAAATTGCTGCAGTATACCATGTTTCCATTATTTTGTGCCATTTTCTAATTCAAAAGTTGGGTTTGAAACTTCTTTTTCCAGTATGATCATTAGAAAGGTAGCACAGCAGGCACAGAGGAAGACAATGTAGGGATAAATAGTTACGAGTTTGATATTGCTTTGTGGAATAAGTGGCTTGGAATATGAACTAGTGGCACAAATATTAATTTTGAGTGAGAGGGCTAGGAATAAATTATCGTACAAATAAAATAACTATAAAAGAGATCACATAAAGCAACAAATACTATTATGAGATCAACGAAGAATATTCAGCTTTATGCACAATTTATGTGCAAATATACGAGAATGAAAGATAAAATAATGAAAAGCCCAAACAATTTGCTATGTTAATTATTTGGCATATGTTAAGAAAAACTAAATTTAAATTCTTCTATAGAAGATCATCAATATTTTGGCTCACTAGTATTATGGTTCCTTAGAGAAGACCATGCCATTTAATGAAATGATTATTCTTTTTGGATAATAGCCCAAAATACTTATTGAATTGTGTCAGAGCTTCAGGAAACAAAGCTGTGGGCTCTTTACTGATCTCTTTAAATGTAATAATGATGGTTAAATGACAATACCAAGAATCTTTAAACAGAATCTGTTACTTCCAATGTGCCATTACTAATCTGCATATAAGGGGCAGTGGTATAATGGACTAAAGTTGCCTTAAAAACTAAGGGCCCCAAAAATGTTTTTTTGCATTATTTTACTTTGAAGCTGGTATTCTAGATACGATAAACGAGTTCAAGGGGTCCAAAGCAATGTAAGGCTAAATGAATGGAAAGTCTAATAATTAGTATTTGGTGCTTTCTTTATGCTTTTTAACCAATGTTATAATTTTGTGGCCTGGCATTGACAAACCCCGAGGGGCCCTGGCTGCATCCATTGCGCCACTGATAAGGGGTGTTTAAATGTTTTAGGATCCAAAAATTCTGTAAATGCTAGATGACCATATGTCCATTAATAGCAAACATTAATAGCAAACAAGTTAGATTTGAAAAGGAGAACTCAACACTAATCTGTCTAAAATGTTGATGTCTGGGTGACACTTGAACAGTTTGGCAATTCAAGAAACTTCCTATTGAAACACAATACAGATAATGTTTGATATTACTGGGTCACTCGTGATGACATTACTGCTACTTATGGAGGCCAAATATGAGAAAGACTTATTTCATGGTGGAAAAAAGATCAAAGTTATGCTAGGAAATATACCATCACATTTTTAAAACATGAAACAAAACATGGTAGTCCATTTATATTTGCAAAAAAATATTGTCTCACTTACTTTCTCATATGACCCTGAGCTTCATTGCTGATGAATTCCTAAGAAAAAATAGGTTTAGTTTCTATCAGGTTTGATTAAGATTCATCATATTCAAAGGGTTTGAAACAAATTTAATCACAAACTGAAAATATGCATTAGGATTCAGCAAAAGAGCTGGTTGGACAACTTTGCCCGTCATGTGCTTGCATTTTTCTGATTGGCCAATTTCGATCCACAACTGGGTATATAATTTCCATCGCCTTCTTTCAGAACCTTATTCTGACGTTTTATACTGTGTGGAGTGTCAGGCAAAAAAGCTATCAGTAGTATTTTGCGAAACGTTTTCTTTCTTCAAAGCCATTTTCTAGTTCTGTACTGCCAAAAAAATTTTCAATTAATATGGGATAAAACTGTATTTTGAATCAATATTGTTTTGTGTCACAGTGACAATTGTTTTTCAGTCTCAACTAACCAACCCCTCCAGACAAACCTGATAGCTTATGTAACCTTATTCAGGACCCAGTTTTGGGTTAAAACTATTTCTGTTATCTGTGAACAATAACATTGCATTTAAACTTAAAGTCAATTTGTCAAAATCTGGATGGTGGTAAAAATTATGTTTAGGGCATTCAGAAACTAAATTATAAATTGCAATGCCTTGAAATCAACAATAAATCTGTAACAGAAGTTAAGAAATGATTAAAAGATCTGTATATATCTCACTAGCTGAATCAACTTTGAAAGGTTTTTATAAACAAATCTTTATGCCCAGATAAAACATCATTCAGCAACTCATAGGTCAGTCAGTATTTGCAAGAGAATCCAAAGTACACAAAAAATATAATGTTTCCAACTCTAGCATTATTGGGCAAGCAAGGTCAGCTTCTTATTTGGATGATTTTGGATTTGTCTATATCGAAAAAACAGTAACATGCATAGACAGACAGAGTTTGATTTCTCTCTTGGATTCTACAACATTGTGAGGGATTAGTGGTCACTGATTGGTAAAAAACATGGAATTACTCAAACAGAAAATGATATAGATTTGTACCCTATTTCTTCTAAAATGCACCAACCTTAAAAAATGCCCTTGAAACCATCAAAAATTTAGAAAGCCTCCTCCCTCCCTTAAAAATTTAAAAAGCCTTTTAGAAAAAGCAACTTTTATAGAAATAAAAAATTTTAAAAAAAGTATGGCACTTATGAGGAAACCTTTTTTATGTATAATTCAAAATGTGTGTATTTTGCTTTAGCATTCATAGTCATAGCTTCTTGGAACAACAAATCCAACTTCACAATTATGTTTTCCTGTTGGTCTAGTAAACAGTTAAATTCTTATGACAAAGTTACCAAGTGAAATGGCAAACAAGTTAGAAAGAGCCCACCCTTGAAAGAGTGATCTCCTTGAAAAAGCACTACAAACAACATATTTCTTAATTGGATTCAACTCTAGCGTATATCTACTACTTGTAGCCATCACTTCTTTCACACTGACCAAACTAAACCTGCTTACCTAAACCAGATTTGTTAAACCATAAATAAAATATAATATTATGTAAATTAAGCTGATAAAAATCAAGCGGGTTTAGCTTGCTGTATGATATGATGATGGTATTAGATCTAGCCTCTAGTTCAATTTTTTCTTAATTTAAAATGATTTGATGAAGGAGGTTCATAATTTCAGATTGCAAATAACAATTTCTGCCAAATACTGATGTCTAGAGAACAAGCATACTCCATAAAAAGCTCCAAAAATGGGGAGATTTTTTTCTTGTTTAATACAGTGATTGGAGTAGTGATTTGGCACATGAGCATCAAAAGGGAATTGTCAGAGATAAGGTTGTGTTGTGGTACTTCTTATTACCGAGATATAGGGTTGAAAATCAAGATTTGGAACACATACAGTATGGTATAGAGGGTCTTACAGGAATAAACCTGCCAGGCCATTTACTTGATTTTTTTACATATATATTTACATATTGGTTTAATTTTGTAAGTGCCATTGCAGTTGTTCATTAGTCTGGTATCAATTTTCAAAGTAAAGTAAATAAGATGTATCTCTAATCAAAAATATTTAGCTGCTTGTCTTGCCACTACTGGTCTAGCTGATTCTTAAATTGGCTCAAATTAGGTGCTGAACTTCAGCTTTTGGTAGTCTGTTACACATATAATGCATTTCTCTCTAAAAAAATTATGAATGTTCAATCTTGGGCAAGACTCCTTCAGCTTGAGATAATGTCCATGTGTATCAAGCAAATCACTTTGATCTATACTGAACAAATTTGTTGTATCGATGTGACGTGACACAGTCCATCATAATGACATAAGGGAACTTAGAAACCTCACCTTGCAAGCAACAAAGAGCAAGGTTCAGGAAAAATTCAAATTTGCAAAACTATTTGCTTTACAGCCTATATGGAAAGTGCTATGCTTCCAAACCCAAAATGAGAAATGATAATAGATGCATGGCATGCTAAGCTTCAGGAGTTTAGCTGGAGAAAAAATACTATTTAACTTAAGATTTTAGCCATTTTACAACATCTTTACATATACAGTAATAAATTCTGCTTTCTTAATGAGGATAAGATATTGGCAAAATTCATCAAATATTCCTGAGAAATGATCAAGATCAAAGTCACTGGTGTTGGTCAAGAAAACATAATGTGGATGGGTAGTGATTTCAACTTCCCACTTCCAGGTGAGAAATATGGTGAGTTTTGCCACTGGTAACAAACTCAACGGTTGCTGAAACTAGATACCGCCTGTTAAGTCTTAATACCTTAAGCCCAGGAGGTGTACTAAAAGGTCAAATAATGGGCCTAGCCAACCTGTAGAGGTCAGGAGTAATTATGTGGAAGTTGCAAATAAGAGCGTGCATCGACGGCCTAAGAAACCTAAACTGGATATCACGAGCTGTAGTGTCGTATAATTCTTTTATGAAAAATTTGCTGTAGTGTCATATAATTTAGCTTTAGGCGCTCTTGTGACAGGCTTTCAATTTGCACAGCAGCTAAACCACCTGGTTTGTGAAAATCTTTTTTAGGCCTACAACACTGGGAGCTGAAATGAACAGGTGATTCACTCATCTATTGAAAGAATACCAATGTCATTGCGGGTACTGAAAGCCGCATTTATACCGGGAAGGATTTCACGAACTAAAGGCAACGATACTCACCTTTTCTCTCACCATAACCTCTTTTATTTTAATCTTTTCTTCTTCTGTTAACCAGCTTTGTCCGTCCAGATCCAGCTCTTCCTCTGACGGGTTCAAACCGCGCGCGTGTAATGCGGCATAATAAACTTGCCGCGGTTCAGCGGACATGTTGATAAAAAAAGTTATATATGCCAAAAACTCCTAGTTTCTGTCCTAAAAGAGTCAAAATATGAAGAGAACTTGAAGCAACGATGTTCCATTGCAGTCAAATGTAATCCATTACATCTGGAAATGTTTTCCAACGTCAAAACCTGAGTGTCCACTTACTGGACGCTCTCGCGTCTTCAGCTAACAACAGCGACAATCCCACAGTTTTTCTTTCGTTACAGCAGTTGCACCTTCGCAGCTACAATTTCTCAAGAATGTTTCGAAGAGAAACACACGTTATTCGTGAATTCAGGGAGATTTAAAGCGGTTTAAAAGACGATACAATAGATTTCTCGCCATGGAAATAAACTCATTTTCTGTAGAACACTTTGCTCTGGAAATCTGCGTTTGTTAAGTTTGAGAAAATAACGGCAAAGTTTCATACAGATGTTACAGAACCATGCAAGATAAGTGCTACAGGAAAGAACTTGAACATTTCCAGTACCGATACTTTGTAAAGATATTATAGGGAGCGTCGGTTTATAAGTCTATTTGAACTTATAATGAAAAGACAAAATCAAAAAAAGATTAGGATTAAAAGGTATAAAACTCAGAAACTGTAACTAAAAAACCTTTATGCATTTGTGTTGCAAAGAATTCTAGTCTTTCAGGTTACACTAAATAAAAAATCAATATAAAATACCAAAATACACTCGCAATTAAATCAATTTAAATAAACTGTTAAAAAAACTCTAATGGACCTTTTGAAATAGCAAAGAATGTATTGTTAAGAGATATCTAGTGAAAAGAAAATAAAGATCCGGATGTTTTTGATCCGAGGAGATGTTACTTTACTGCTTGATATCGATAAGACTTGTTGAAAGGGCTTTTAAGGGGACTTTATCGTTTTAATGGGCTTTTATCTGAGTTCTTAGTCCTCGATCACCACTTGCCACATCTCTGTTCCTGGTTTTTCGCGTAAGTTAAATTTCTTGACGTCAAAACAGTGAAAAATAAGACAAAGGGATCTCTCATTTATCTGATATTCTAATATAAGTTAGTGAAAATGACCAAGTCACTACCCTAAGAGTCATCTAAAATCTAAAAAATGTTCACCAATTAACATACTGTCGTCCACACCAATGTTAGCTTTAGAAAAATTAATACCGATAGGTAGCATTGCAGCAATTGAAATACCTTAGATAAGAACTGAAGATCGGGATTGAAGAGGATAGGGAAATCATGGCTAGTAGACAAGATAAATTAATTTAAGGGTTCGATGTGGAAAAAGTAATATTTATTGGACATTACTGTGCCAGAGACATACAAGAGAGCTACAGGACATCGGGTGAATGGGTCGCGGCTTTGCATTGCAGATAACTTCTAAAAGCATCTATACACTATAATGAAGCTGAAAGATTGCCTGAAGCTAACTTTAAAATTTTTGTTACCGCTTCACGGAAAGATATATTTTCTCTTCAATGGAACTGAGCTGCCATCAAGGACATTAGGGTACAAAATTTCACAAGAATCATGCTTGAGGTTAGAATAGAAAATATCTATTTCTTCCTGTTTATCTGTCTAATATAGAAGGACTGGTATATTTTCAACAAACTTTGATCATCTACAAAACATTTGATACAACCATAATAAGGTGTGGAGACAAATACAAGACAAAAATATATCATATTAACTTCCTTTACATGATGAAAACCGAAAATGAAAACATACGTTTCCCTCAGTTTTAAAACATAAAAAGATAGGCATTACCAATCGAAGATCAGGTTACTGCATCAGAAGAAACTGCATCAAAATAAAATATTATCTGGTATTAGAAATACACGGGCATTTTTTATCAGTTGCCCTCCACAAAAATAAGAAAATATCGTTGATTTATCCTATTGAAAACGATAAATTACATTGAACCCCCGAGCTTGTCTGTCTGTGACGGCAAGGTCTACTGTTCGTGTAGAACATGCTCAACACACATGCATAGGAAACCTTGGCAAAAACCACCCGGGACAAAATATTGCTACTCAAGTTTAAACTCGAATTTACCCAACTGCATATCTGGTACCAGATCAGAGACAAAGATTTGCAAACGTATCCGCTCCTTAAGGGCCCTGGCGGAATATCATCCATCATGAGCCGAACATCCCTTGTAGACACGTAAACACTAAATATAAGTTTGTTCATTAACTACTGAAATAACTAAAGAATTACTACCGGTCTTAAAACTAAATAAAGGTCTGGCCGGAGTATGGCTCCTAGACTCTGGAACACACATACCCGGACTGTGTTTGCATTGTTTCATTAACTTCGAGGTCGGTCGCATTCTTGCTTGCGGTCTTTCTTTTTACATGATCCGGCTCGGCATCATCCCATTCGTTAGTTTCCGGTTCTGATAAGTCTTCGTCGTCGTCTATTGTTATATCTGCGGAATGGGTTTCCAGGTCCCTCAGTTTTTCATTGCTCAAGCAAAGAGTGTCGTCCAAGGAGCCAGTGCCGGGTACGATAACATTGGCAGTCAACTGAAACGTGACGTAAAAGATATTCAGGGTAGGAAAAATATAAAGAGGGAAGCAAATTTGTAGAGAGATATTCTAAATCAAGAAATAGTGTTTTCAAAAGCTGACTTGTCAGAATTCAGGAAGGTTTCAAGAAAATTCGTCACTGAAATAGTGAACAGAAAGAGTGGGAGATTTTAGGCAAAGAAAGCTGGGAAAAGGTTCTCGAATAGAACTCGGACGAATAGATATATATCTGGACTTTGGAGTATTGAAGTGAAAGGAAAGAGTTGCGAAATTTCAAAAAAAAATAATATGCCTAAATTTTGACGAATTGGCATCAAATTCGATCACTTATCCAAATCTATATGAAATCTTTAATTCATACATATGATACCTTTTAGAACATACCAAGTGAAATATCGGTCGAATGTAAGAGCAGCTTTGTCACCAGGCAAAGTTTGCTTTTATCAGTGCTGAATATTGTTTTTATATGATTGTTTTATGACCAAGCAAATAAAGCTATTATCGTTTGGAGCTTTCTGTGCTCAAAATTAGGCCTATTTCTGTCATTTTTGTTTTGCTAAACTCGGGTTACTTGAAGTAAAATTATAAGAAATTATTGTGAAGACAATGGGATTTATGAAAAATTTTATCATGAAGAAAAGATGAAATATCACGAAAAACTGATAATTGATTCTATTTCTTGTTTCAAACGCTGGCCTACCTTGAAATTTTGGAGGTATACTTTGTGCTTTTTGTCCTTGTTTGCTTTATCTAAGTCCTCTTTTCCAAAGGAGAACGTCCTAATTTCAGAACCATCTGAGTATCTCTCAATTGCATTCTTTTCCCCACCACCATCAGGTTTATCAGGGGTGTATCCTGACTTCACGAAAAACGTATTGAACCAAAATATGAACATCCTTTCCTAGAAAAGAGAATCATTCGCTGTCAGCATCTGCAAGATATTGATAATAACTTCCAGTATGGGAGAAAGGACGCATCTTTGAGGTTTCTAAATTTCCTTGTGGTACCTTAGCGTTGTTCCTTCTTAATAAAATTTCAAGAAAGTAAGGATAAGAAGACAGACAGAGTTCGGAGCTCGTATAGAACCAGACAGACAGACTGATAAAATGTCAAGACAGACTAAGTCAAGGCCGTTAAAGTATGGGATAACCAGCAGTTAAAAATTTTTCTCTTGCATCATAAAATACTTTTTGTTTTTGTTAACTTGATTCCTATTCAATACACCTCTACGAAAAAGGCTTTATATTGTGAATATACTGTTTACAGAGTTTCATTTTTTAACTTTTTGTTGGTGGTGTGTCTCGTGATTTCTTAAATAAAAAAATGTGCCGTGGATAAACTGATAAACTGTTGAGAAATACTGGCCTAGAGAAACAAAAGCACGGTTTACAAAGAGACTATAAGCAAACGTTTAGGTATGATTAAAGCAAGGAGGTGTTGCAAAAATATCTAAAAAGGGAGCAAAGCTAACAAGAGACTCCAAAGACCCTCCCTCCAGGACCCCCCCCCCCTCCAGCCTTCTTTTGACTACAGCTCTGCCTTTAAGGTAATCCTTCTGATCACAAACAGAAAAACTCCAATTCAACAGCCTTTTTGTTACTATCGTACAAACTGCAATTAAGACAAACTGATAAATATGATACCTTTGAAAAATAATCTTTGTGGTAGAATTCGACTTTGATATCTCCACACACAGGAATAGGAGCGGCTAAATCACAAATGACCCTTTTGCAAGAATCCTTTTTGGTAACCTAAGACGAATAATTTTACGAAACATTAGTAAAGGAAAGGGGTAAAAATGGGAAAATTATTAAAAGCAGAATTTTGAAATCAGTTTAATAACAAATTTAACAAAAATAAGACTCTAAATCGAAATGTTAACATTGGATTATCCTTAAACATCTGTTGAAAAACAAAAGAAATAAAAAGCGACAAAAGATTTCTAAAGAAAGTGAACTTTCAAAAAATTGATACAGCAAAAATCTCATTTATTTGTTATTTGAAGGTTTATTTGATATGACACCAATAAAAAACTCCAACTCACGTAACTCTTCACACAAAACACTTGGCCTTTATGAGAAAACAAGTATCACTAAACAAGGCTGAGTCCATGGCCTAAATTTCTGTTGACATTTTCAACCTTAATTTACAACCAGGACTGAAAATCAACATGGAATCATTTTCAATCTCGTTAACAAGAACATGATGCTAATTCATGTTATCATTTTATATTGTATGATGCAAAGATTTAAGGGTTAACTTCTAATGATATGACTCACTTCATATACTTTCGACTGGAACAGCTTCACACCTTTTTGCCATATCACAAAATATGGAGCTGAAGCAAAATAAACACAATCTCAAAGCAATTTTTCAAAAAACGAAAATACAGTTGTCATTTAAGTAAATCTTTAGGATATCTAGAAAACTCCGAATGAGCTTTTGCGCTTGGCAGAATAGATATTATGTAAATATTCTGCTGATTAATATCAGCAATCTGGAAAAAGCTTTTGAAACAAAAATAAAAATTAAATGCTGACACCATGCAAATAGTGTCGAAAATTTTTGAACAATTTCTTTCAACAATATTGCTGTAAAGTTTTGCATGGTTTGATTTAAAAAAATCATGTTGGCTGATGGGCCACAATGTATAAATGATACAAAAGAAATGAAATGAATGAAACATTCTAGGCTGGAAAATAAAAGTAACAAAAAATCAACAGGGGTCAGGGTTGGACAAAATTTCTTTGTTTATTAACAACCTGTTACACGATCAGATTTGTCATCACACATTAAACAGACTTCATTTTTGTTGAATATTTATTGTCGGTATACAGCCTATTACTGATTTTCCTGTATAGCTTAAGCACATGTTGGAATAATAACACAGAAAATGTTGTCGTTCCTTTCAAAAAGTGAATATCTAATGAAAAAATCTGACAGCGAAATAGGGCCTTTATATAAAAAGCATGTATCAAGTCCCTATACAAAAACTTAGGGATTTTATCGAAACAAAACATGAAATGAAAATATTCAAGATTAAAAAGCACTTACAACAAGAGCCATTATTTATATTTGGCACTGTGTTCATGTGAAACGAAGATATAAGAATGGTTTCCGCTGAGTAACTTAGATTATGCCTGTCAAAATAAATGAAAGCTTGAAAGGAAAAAGGAAAATACTCAATTTTAAACAAATAAATAATTGAGTTGCATATTAAAGACACTCGACAGATGAAAGTTGCTTAAAAAGAGCACAGTTGTTGAATGGTACTGAGATAATGAACCTAATGAAACCATCAGCTGCAAAAGGGTGACACTCTAGTTTGTTTATAATCTTAAAATCATGTTTGAATGGGGAATATCAAGCCATGATAACATCTCATTTTCGAGAGCCTATAGCAAAACTCTAAGAAAGGAAAGAAGGGAATAACTTTGAATAGAGGGAGGAAATATCAAGCTTGTTGATTTTAGTTTGGATAAAGACAGGTTGTACAAGTTTGAAAAGCAGGAAGGGTAGAGCATTCCAAAGATTACACGGTCTTGGGAGGAAAGATAAGTTGCTTGATTCCGGAGAACAACACAAAAAATGAGATAGTAATCACATGCGAATTCTCGGGACCTATCTTTATTGGTGGTAAAGTTATGGCGGCCAAAGCCCCTGTCTTAAGCCCCTTTCATATCATTCTTCATTGGTGACAAAGTTATGGCGGCCAAAGCCCCCGGCTTAAGCCCCTTTCATATCCGTCGAGTGTCTTTAAAATGGTATTGATTGATTATAATACGCTAAGAATGGCTACCAAGAAAAAAAAACTTCCTTATAGGAAAATGACAAAACTATATACAGTTTCCATCCTCTTAGAAAGCAATACCACTTTTATTTTTCCAACTTTCCAGCACTCATCGCTGGATGTAATAACGGAGCTAAATGGGTATCTTTATTATATCAATTGTCCTAAGGCTCAAATGTGGAATAAACAATGTTCACAAAATTGGAAATGTACATTGGGAATTGGGAATGAAAATTGGGAGGTACAAAATATTACAAAAACGTGAAACCTAATTGGTTTGGAAAAGACAATACCTTTTAGACAAATCGGTACTTTTCAAGGTTAAATTTTTCTAGAAGTTTTCTATCCTCAAAAAAATGTTTGAACATCCAGAAAGCTTTCTTTACCCCCTTAAAACTGTGCGTAGAACAGAGTTCTTTTTCTGATATTCAAAGATAAGTGGCTATACCCTAGAAATGTGCACTGGACTATATGTGGGCTCACACACGTGTAGAGTTAGGTAATATTTGAATATCTACAAACAAGCAGGAATGATGGAAATCTTAAGCTATTAGACGGCATGTCATTAAGCCCTAGCACATTTGTTTACTGATGTACTGTAAGAAATTGCGTAGTATGACGAATGTCTCCGTAGTTTTTGTTAAACTTACTTAGAATACACGTTAGTGTCATAGCAATTAGATTAGACATTGAATAAGAACGGATCTGAGTAGGAATCGAAAATAAGCTTAAAGCCCCGGCCAAACCAGCGCAACATTTCGTCCAACAAATCCCAACAATGTTGGGTATAAATGTTGAGCCGGTTTGGCCACCCATGTTGGACGATATTGGATGATGTTGGGTGATGTTGGGATGGTTTGGCCACCCTGTCCAACAAAATCATGTTCACGCAAGCGTGGTAAGGAAAGGCCGCCGCAATTTGATGTGTTATGCTTTGATCAGGAAGCTTACAAAAGAAAGAAGCTAACATCAAAGGAAAAATCGGCTTTTGTTGGATTATGTTCTCAAATATCCCTCTTTCGTGTTTTCCCTTTACCTATGGTCTACTCTTGCGACGCTTAAGCATGCTTTTACTCTCTTCATCGCTATGAACATTCCTCTATTGGAATGAGTATTCGAATCTCTTTAGCACTAAACTTGAGTCAACAGCCTATTAGCAATTTAGCACACACATAGAAACATGATTTCGTCTGATCAATGTACATCTGTTTGGCATGACTGTAGATCATTTGAAACCAAGCGCTATTCATCTAACAGAAATGTTTTCATTTGCAAGCTAAAATGCTTTACAAGATTATGAAAAGCCAATTAAAAGACAGGCAAACCTGATAAAATGACCATAGTACTCCACGTATCTTCGCTGACTTGGAATCGTTACCCCCTAAAAATGGATAAATGAATTAACTAATAAATGAATGAATAAATAAATATGAATATATACAAAATGACTGTCATATGTCATATTGTTTAATCTTCCAAGCAGCAATGTCAGATGCTATGAATATTGATGTCAATAACAACAGGGAAAAGAAATCTATCCGGCCTGCTTAAAAGCATCACCCCTAGCAACGCCGGGTTCTTTGCCTGCACTGTGGCTCATTTGGAATATAATTTAATGTCTATACTGACTTTCATAATATAACCTATTTATATCTACAACGTCTCCATAAGATGTTAACATAGCTTTTATAGAGAGTTGCCTGTCTTTTGACTATATTCCTTGCAAAGGCGTCACCACCACTCGTCTTCATATTCTTTCTCCAATAAAAGTAACTTTACTGGGTTTCTTTCAAAACCCAAATCTCCATGCGCAATCATAATTCCCAGCTTGAACGCCAACAATAATTAATCTAAGAACACTTTGGAACAAACCTTGTTATTCAGCGTTCTAGCATCACCATAAAACCTAAGGGCATCTTTAGTGTTTTTACAATGTCTGGTGTGGAGGAGATATGCGCAGATCATTACTCCTGTCCTTCCCTGAAACGAGAAACAGCGAGAATCATCAACCTGCCGCTAGTCCTAGTAAACTGTAAACGAGGCGGGTACAAGGCACAACTTTTACAAGGCGCAAGTGTAATGGTGTGACGGTACAAAATTGTCCCAGGACAGTGTAAATAGGATCTGAGCTAAAACAGTGGCCTCAAACCCTTTATGCATATGCAGGCAAAAAGCCCAACAGCAACTTAAACGAAAAATGAAAGCTACAAAATATGAATAAATTCAACTTTTAATAAAATAATGATTACCTTTCCAGCTTTGCAATGAACTATTGCAACATTTTTCGGATCACTGTTTAAAAAATCATCCATGTCTTCACAAAACGGTTGTATTAATTCAAATGGTGGGGCATTGTGATCATCAAAAAGGTAGGAAGAAACTAAAAAGGATCAAAGAAAAAATCTTTTTAAAAACAGATGCTTCCATTTAATACAACTGCAATGAAATTGATCTTTAAAACTAAAAAAATCGCAAATTACAAAAGGTCATATACAACATCCCTCTTCTGTAAACTTTAATTCTAGTTTCTTAAAAATATTTGCTAAGCAGCCTTAACTGTCCATCTTCGAAACAACTCAGCTACTTTGAGATACAATGGTCACTTCAAACAGCGTGCTGTCAATTCTGAAAACGGAGGAAATTTCCCAAATCCATATTCTTCATAAGGGGCCTTGATAATTGACATTTAACCATAAATTATTGAACCGGGACGTGCTTAATACCATCCAAAGCAAGCAAACAATAAAACAGTATTGCTACAAGGATCCTTTTAAACTGGAATCTTTTTTACTCAAAAGATATTATATGCAATCTTCTGAAATATTCTCTGGTATTTCATGGTTCCTCTTCATGTCACCCAGTGATTTTAGAGGTTTCTTGCAATTGATTAAAAAGTTTTACTATTTTAAGGCACACTTTTACTATGCTTGATTAATTCCATTCTTAAAATGGAATCCATTACTTGATACCTTGAGGCCCTAGGGAAATTTGCCTTTCTGCTCCCTCCTCTAGGGCTCTGTCAACTACCATAAACTGTTAATCCGATAATACCACAAACGAGCCTGATGGTTGCCAGTAGTGTTACATTATAACAAGAAAAAAACACAAAAGCATAAAAGATCTTTACAGAATCTTTGGTATCCAATACAGATGTTCCTGCAAAGTTTTAGGAAGAATAGAGACAAACTAAAAAATTATTCACCTCTGTGATGAAACTTTGATTCATCATATGTCTTTTCTCTGCACCTATGTAACGGAATAAATGCCATTAAACACTCAAAATCCTATCAAAAATATAATCATGAAATAAAATAAGAAACCTTAACATTTTGGGGGCGTTGGTTCTGTCTGTCAGACCACTTTTTGGCAGAAAATTGCAAGATCAACAAGAAAAAACAAATAGCTATGTTGGTAATACATTGAAGTTTAAAGACTTTAAGTATTCAGCATAAATGAGCATATTGGAAGAAAAACTTCTTCAGAAGTACAGCTTTCTGTTATGTAAGAAATGTTTTTTATACAACATTTGCTCTAGAAGCAAAAAATTGCTCATAGGAGCATTCCATTAAAATAATTACTCTGAAGTTGGAAATAAATGTTATTCCCGTGTATTTTCTTAAAGATTTTTGAAGACCACTGACTTATATTCAAGTTCCAATGACAAGAGAGTTGGACTAAAACTTTGAATTTCAAAATCTTCTTGTAATAATTTTAAATAATACTTTCACTTTCCAAAGGGTCAACTTCCAGTTTATTAAGGCCGACAGGTTATTAAATTCTGGAATTTCCCATGAACATTTCCATGGAGATATTACCATAACAAAGTACCGAGATGGTGGAAAAGACAAGTCAAGTTTTACATCAGATATCACAGAAGATCAATATGAAGACTTTGATGCAGTCAGGATTAAAGACATAGAACTTGAAAGTGAATTGTTAAGATGTTTGTTTCGATATACTTCTTTTTGAATTTCAAGGTCAAAGTATCCAATTTAAGGGATACAAAGTCAAACCAGATTAGGCCATGGAGCAGTTGTCTTCCAAAACAATCTACAACTTCAGTCACTGTCAAATAACCATAATTCTGCAATGATCCTTAAATTTAGCAGATTCTAGATGCTTGCATGCAGGCAAATGGCTCATATGATGTCTTTGCTAGAAAAATCTTCATGGTGATGTAATACCAGTAGTTAGTGTCAGAGTAAAGCTTATAGAAGCCTGTAAAGTTAATCTGTCTTTGTATTGTTTTCCAACCAGAATTTGGCTCCTTCAGTTTTTAACCACTTCTCCATTGTTGCTACTCTTAGTTTGGTGGTTAGAACTCTCAGAAAATATGGGGTTTTGGAAAAAGGATTCTTGAGGCACCTGGAAAGTAACTAGAGAAAAATTGAATCCAATTTGTTATAAATGTTTTGTGCACTTACAAGTTGTATAGCTTGTAGTGGTCTTTGTGCTTGGTGTCTAAGAACCTAAAACAAGTAAAAAATTTATAGACAGGACATTTACATAAAAAAAAATACTAAAAGTAGGAAAATAGAACAAAACTTAGAATTTGGAAGTTCAAATAAAACCATTTACGTGAATAAAAGAAACTTGAAAATAATCTGATTCTGAATCAAGGCACTAATCAGCAAAAAGCCATCAAAGTGCAAATTTATTTTCCTTCAAACAGCATAATTAAAACTAAACCCATAAAACCTTTTATTCAAGATATGTTAACATTCATGTCAATATAGATGAATATGAGGTCAGATTAAACACCAATTTACATGAAGTAGCAGCATGTTTTGCTACAAACAACAAAAGTCTAAAAAAGCCATATGTTTCTCTTAAGATTTAGATAGCACCTTAAGCTGACCACAATAAATGCTAATTGAAAATGCACTTGGACTAAGGATGGTGACTTAAGGACTTTGTAAAAAATAAGCCAGTTTTAAGAGGTTTTAATCAATAAAAAAAATTAAAATTTGAAATAGCTTTTGATTTTTTAAATCTTGTATTTGTTCTGCTGTCAAAATCATAAATTAAAACTGGGAAATCGAAATATGAAAGAAATATAATTCAAGCAGTCAGTTAGTCGGTTATGAAAGAAATATAATTGAAGTATTGAGTTAAATGACCTAGGCAATAAAGAAAAGCTATGGCATGAGCCTGGCAACAATTTATGGGTCTATGAATGTACAATTAGACCTAGTTGTGAACAATATATTAAAATTGAAATAAAAAAGGCTCACAAAGTCAAAGGTTGAGCCATTATAGCTTCATAAGCAATTTGACCATCATATGTCCTTGATGTAGTGGAAAGTACCTTTTAGCCAATGTTCTCCCTTTTTCGGGTAAGTCAGTTGTGAAGGAGACACCTTTTCCCCACACAAAAGCACTGGCAGTGGGTACAATGGTAAATGAGAGAGGACATCCATTTAAAACAACAATGCTAGCCAGTATTTGAAATGGCCTTGAATATCGTACACAATAGATGATTTAAAATCATGCTCTATTACATCACTTATTTAAAATGTTTATACATTTACCTTGCTACCTCATCGATATTATTTCTGTAAACACCTTCCAACTTTTCAGCTGGAAAACCCATGGCTACGATGTTAGGTTTGATATCTGGTAAATTTGTAAAGGATAAATCATTAGAAGATAGCATGGTAACTCATACATGGTAACTAATAATTGTCTAGGCAAATGAACCGATTTAACTAAACAGATATTACCACTTTAACATCAGATTATTCATAACACCAGAGGCTCAAAATGTCTACTTAAATGTTAGTTTAAACAACTAAATTGGAATTTATGTTAAGTACTGACTAAGTGTACTAAGTCTAAAAAGGTCCACAAGTATCAACTATTAGATACGGAGCCCCAAAATAAACTTGACGATGTTTGCGGAAGCCAGAAACTCTGAGTAGAAAATACTATATCAAAAGAAAGCACATTGTAAAAAAGACCTTTGTGTCTTATTCAGGTTTTTTTTGCAAAGAAATTTTCACAAGGGCAAAAGCTGTCTACATGGATAAGCTTATGAGGGGATTGCCCATCAAAGGATATTTGTTATAGGTATAGGAAGACCTCTAGGGCCTCAGGAAGTATTAGAGTATTGTGTCCATGATTGTGTAGCCTTTGGTTTTCTAATTATTTAGTTGACAATGTTTGGGAACGGCCCAGGAATCTATAGCTAAGCTCATACAAGAAAAAACAGGGATGCATGCCTACCACCAACTTGTAAACAAACTAATGAAACAATAATTTTTTACTTTCACTAGCAACACAACCATTCATTCAAGAAACACCATGGTTTATTGGAACTAACTTCCTTTCTCTTGAGGGTAAGACATATTTTTTGAAGATGGTTTATAGCCTGTGCCAACATTTCAATGAGGGCATTGGCAAGGGCAATAACCTGTGTTAAAAGAATAGGCCTAGACTGACAAAAAACAAGATAGTACAGACTTGATTAAGACTTACAGAAATGGGGCAGAAGTGCAGAAGTTGCAACAACAAAGGCAGTGAAAATATTCAGTTTCCACATAATGTACTACATCTTGCCCCAGATAACACTTTTTCAAGCTATAACCTTTCATGAATTAAACATTGTATTTAATCTACTAACTTAAACCAACTAGGGCACCACTCACACAAGTTTAATTTGAAGGATGAACTTCAAATTGTTCATAGTCAGAATGTTTAAAGCAAACTTAAAAGAAAAACTGAACAAAGTGATCTGCTTCTTTCACATTATAATGCCAAAAAAGCATAATCTTTGTTCATCACGTTTTTAAATTATATAGCAATAATTTCATCAATTTTTAAATGATAATTAATGGCAAACGGCAGCTAGTCGCGTGCTTATTCCCCAACTATTCTTCATAAATTCTGTAAAGGTTTGTCGTTTTATCCTAAAGCTAAGAATTGCAAATTGAGAAAACAAATCAGATGCGGAGGTCAACCTGAGATCGGCTGAAGACCAAAACCAGGCACTTGTGCAAACAATTTTTTTCAACTTAAATTTTAATTACAGTGATATGTATCGGTGGGGCGTGTAAATTCATTCAAAAATTACACATATAAAGGATACAAGACAAGTCCAGGTCGAATCCATCTTCAACGTAACGCTTTTTCTTTTTGCTGACAAGATGTCGTACGTTCCAAGCCATTGTTAAGTTGCACGGCCTTACTTCCTCCTATGTATCAAATCCAAGCAACTTGTCTCCTCCGCACGTTCGGCCTAAATGCGGCCTACCTTACATACCGGTGGGAAATTTGCCAAAGTTATCCGTTAACCAATGACATAAAAAGCAAAGCTGGAAATTTGGATCTTCTTGTTCCTTGAGGCTTTTTAGAGTATCAAAATGGAAATAATTTTCTCTGAACTAGCCCCTTCAGCAACCTTCCCACTTTCACTGCTAAGCCCCTTGACAGAGTTCTTCCCTACGTTACCTCAGTCCCAGTCTCCTTTAAGCCGCTTTCCCGTATGACTTCATTGTGGTTATGGTCCGGAGAAAATCAAAAGAAATTATATTCAGGTCCCGGCAAAGGAATTTTATTTGCATTCTAAAAGTCAATTCATTAGTTCTTAATTATCGCATTGTATGAAAATTTTGATTATCAAATATACTTTGGTCATTTGATAGTCCTTTGTTGCTAGTAAACAAAATCATGCATACTGTTTTTGTAGAGTCATGTTTTCAATCAAAGAGCCTCGTTGAAGATAACGTACTTTCTACTCAATGATTAATAACGTGAAAATTATTTATTTATCGTTATTGCAGAACCCAAAATGTTTGCTACACATACAGCAGCCCTGGAATACGTGATTTGACATTTATTCAACTTTCTTTCAATTATTAGCTATATTGAAAAAATGTACTTGTCTCCTATAAAGTACAAACTTCAACATTGATACCAAGGCAACCGAAAAATATTACCATTTTCATTAAGATATTATTCAGATTGTGGTTGAGAAAAATTAGATGTTCTTATTAACAAGTTATTTAAGACTTCTGTCTTCCCAGCAACATTGCAGATACTTGTGTAGACAGGGAGTTAGAGAAGACATGTGGAAACTATGATTTCATAAAAATCTACAGGACTGGGTCAATATTTCACAGAGGAAACTACAAACACTAAGACTGACATTTCCTCAAGTAAAATCTTCCGACACCAAATACTTTTATGGTTTCTCTTTGTGGTTTATGGAATCGATCACAAATTGGTCTAAAATGTATGTATTCTGAAACGAAAAAACTATAGGAAGCAATCTCCAACACGAGTCAAACTTTCTCTTTAGGATATTCAAAAAGCTTTCGTTCAACTACTGCTAATTGTACAACTTTTAATAGCAGCAGAATTCGAAAAATTATAGGCTTTGGTTAACCCAAAAGCAACTGTTATGGTATAGGGAAATAAGTCGAATAATCACAGTAAATCCTTCTGTGTCTTTAGTAACAATGTTATTTCTCAGGGCTTGTGCAACCGATTCTAAACTGGGGAGGGGGGGGAGGGGATATTTTAATTTTCTTATGTTGTGAAAAATTACGCTATTAGTTCTGTGGGTCTTTCCCAATGTACTTGTCTTTGCCAAAATTTTGGCTAATTCAAAAAAATTTTCATGAAAAAAGTGGGTTCTGCTTCGCTACTATAAATTACGTAGCCTGTACTTTCCCTCACAGCAACTCACTTTGAAGAATCTCAACTCAAAGAAACTCAAAGAATCTGGAGGCTTCAACCTGGTCAGATCTTGGCAACAGGAGGTAATCTACGAACCAGGGCCGTAAATCTGTCAAGTCAATTGGGGGAGGGGGGGGGGGGGGGGGTTGGTCAGCAGAGCGAATGAATTTAATGTGTGCAGTGGGTCATGGCACCACCAAGCAATTTATGGTATATGTTATGGAAACAGTTTGAAGGGCAAACGACCTAAAACAAAAACATAAAAGATTTTTAGATTAAGTAAGGTTTTTCAGCTCTATACAGGGTATTTACAGATATTTCTTAGCACTTTGACTTTTTATAATTGAGTTGATAACATTTTTAAGAGTTGAAGAAATTGAACCTGAGGGGGGGGGGCTGAGAATCAGGTTTAGTGACGTAGGAGGACCCACCGTGGTTGGGGTCGACGCGGAAGAAAATTTTTGAAACCATACCTTCTAAATAGCTGAAAAACCTCCCAGACTAAGTTTAACAAAGTACTATACCTTTTAGGATAGACAAATCGACGTTTCGCAGAAGAACACAGATTATTGTTTCTGGGAGAAATTGGGAAGGAGAAGAGTCATGCTGAAGCTCTAGTGACAGACGTTGAGGAAAGAGAGAAAGAAAATGTGTTTTCTATTCAAGAGCAAGCGATTTTTTCCTGAAACCATATCGGTTTAAAAAAAATAGGATGTATCTAAGAACATATTCGGGCTCAAAACGAAAATTTTCTTTAAAAAATCTAGGCTGTGCAAAATTTTTTTGCATTCTAACAAAAAAGAGTGTAGTAATTGCTTCTCTCTATATCAAATGCAAAAGAACTTCTTTAGTGCCTTTGCACATGTTTTCATTACAAGCATTTTTATAAAAATCCTAACTCAAAACATAGGTCCTAAAGCTCCTTATTTCTGAACTTCTATTAGTCGAATTGCGGTATCAAGACCTCCATAACAGCTCATTAATTCTAACGGCACATTTAGTGACATGATAATAGCATTCACACAAAAAGGAGAAATTCTGAGTTTTGCTTTTAACTCTAGCTAGGAACAAGGCCAAAAGACAAAGAGGGAAAGAAGTAGAATTAATTTGCGTAAAAGTACCACATGGGTTTGTCGAGATTTATGGCGACTTAAACGATTTTTTTCTTACATGTGGCTGATGTTCGTTGCAATAACACAGAAAAACTTAGTTTCGTTCTAACCCAGCTACCAGGGATTCCTTTCTTTAAAAGAAAATGACGACAATTTCTAAAAAAAATCGTTTTGCTCCAAATTTTGGGGGTCTAGCCCCCGTAAGTCCCCTCGGGACTTACGGTCCTGCTACGAACAGCATACACATAGAGACAAACGAAAGAAAGTCGACTATTGGGATCTATATGCAATAATGAATTCTTAAGAATAATTAAAAACTGTTATGATACTACAGGCCGAACCAGTCGAAAATCCGTAAATTGATACATTGATAAGAAGATAAATACTTTGCTAATAATTTACAATATTTTCACATTTATAAGAAATACTATCGTTTATATTTATAAAAGGGTGCTTTTGTCTAACTTTGTGCACCTCGATTCAAATAAAAGACTGTAAATATCTAAATAAAGCGATATCAAACTTATCTAGAGACTTACAAAGTCAGAAGGTAAAAATATTTTGACAACAGTATAACAAAGATCTAAGGGGTGATGGCGTTCAGTTTTATTGAGGAACAAAAAACGGAACAGAAAAGAGGGCGGATTTTAAAGACTCATTGCTAACTATGGGCCTTTGCGACGATCCAAACAATGGCAGTAAACTTCTACGGATTAACCAAAATTGATTTCAGACTGTCTCAAAATGCATTATGGGATGCTTGTGTAGCGCAATGGCTGATTGTTAGCTATGAGTCTTTAATGCGTAAAGCAGCCTTTTACATTCTAGTACTTGCCGGGCTAGGAAACATTAGACAAAGCTCAGATTCGGAAGAAATTCATAGGCATAAAATGATTTTTTCTTCATCTGTGGTTTGCTCGGCCAAACTCATCAGAGAACCTAATATACAAATCCACTGGCCTAGGCCCTTTTCTCTCAAAAATGGGTGTATATCATCATAACTCTGGTTTTTCATTGTCCACTTTTTATACAAGGCACACATTTCAGTCATAAATAACTGGTTTGCTACACATATGGACTTGTGTAAAGTAAAAAGGGAAAGTAAAAATACTTGTATAATTTTATTTGTGAGGCCAATCACCAACAACAACAAAAATCAAAACGCTCCTCTTATATGGACTTTTTAAAGATAGCTAGGGACGGTGTTTAATGGTACTCTGATCATTTCTTTATATTCCTCCATGATAAAAAAACGCTGTTTGACATATATAACTTCCAAACAGAAGTATTTGCAAATTTGTTTCAGTAGAGCAAAGGGAGATTGAGCTATTTAAAGGAATATGAAAATAAATACCAAAGTGTATAAACTAAATATTTTCAAAATGTGCCTGTTGCCAATATTAAATTCTAAAATGTTACGATTCTTAAAGCAACGAAAAAGTACTTTAAAAGTCGTGTTTCAGATAATTCTTATATGCAAATACCCCATTTAAGCCCCCCAAATCCTGTGCCCTAAACCTTAAATGAAATTGAAAGAACATTTATTACATAAAAGCCATTGAAAAAATCTTACAAGAATGAAATCTATGAAACCTGATGTCAGATCGAGTTGAAGTATTGTTTGTTACGCCAATAATGTCATGTCACACAAAATGCATTTTATGTTTTTCAATAAATTCCTTGTATGTCTCTGTCTGACGGATGTCTAAAGGTAGCTCATTGTACACTTAAGCACCCATGTTCAGAAATGACTTTTGTGCATATTCTTTTTTAATACTCGTAGTGTGCAGTTGTTATTTCTTGTTTCCTTTTCATGCTCTATCAAAGTGAAATAATTCCGAAAATGTTCACAAATATCTTTGTCCAGGAATTTTTGCACAAGTTTGCAGGCTCTCATTTTATTCGCATTTATGGGTGACATGAGTCCTTGGTTTGCTGCTTCATCACCATAAACTATCTTCAGTGATCGAGAGTGGAATAAGGAAAGACTGCTTACTTGCGTGTTTGTGAGCTTTAGTTGTAACATACCACAGCAAGTAAATTTTGGAAGAATCATGGTACGATAGATCGTACTTGCTGTAGGATTGTTCATGCACGATCTTAATTTTGCCAGTAGTCGCAGTCTACCAGATGCACGCTTGAAACATTTGTCAAAATGGGGGTTCAAGTTGAGTATGGTATCCACTTGAACGCCAAGATATCTATAAACCGTTGTGTTGTTAATTACTGTTGGGATTGGCGGTGATATTGTGACTTTGAATGGCTCGTTTAGCTGTTTCGCAATTCGTTGTGCTGTTCCAAAAAGAATCGACTGTCTTGCCTTTCTTCAGATTCAATATGAGCTCATTGCATCTCAGCCACTTTTAGAGATTGACAATGTTATTTGATACTTTGTTTTCAATTGAATCCCTTTTTTTGCCTGCGACATGCAACGCAGTGTCGTCCACATATTTTAGAATGCTTGAATACTTCATGACTTCTACAGCATCATTGAAAGAGATGAGAAAAAATAGAGGGCCAAGAATTGAGCCTTGTGATACTCCTGTTACCAAGACCTGCTCATTTGACAGACAACTGTTGAATGCTACCATCGCCTTTCGAGAGAACAGGTAGTCGGTGAACCATTCCAATTCACTGTCTTCTATTCCGTAAATTGAACATCTTTTAAGTAGTATGGCGTGGCTTATGGTATCAAATGCCTTACTAAGGTCAACAAAAACTGCTCCAACGAGCTGATCCTTGTCGACGCTTCTTCGAACAAGGAGCAAAATGTGTTTGCTATCTTGCTTGGGTCTCTTACTTTATCGCCATTAATTTCGAAAGATTGAGGAGTTTGTTTGTCGCTCAACTTGGTGGGGTAAATTGATTTTAATGTTTTCCAAAACGTATTTTGATCTGTTGAATTATATTGGATCTAATTAATAGAGAGTGCCGGAAAATAACCGACCCGAGCGATGCTCGAACTCACGATCCCTGACTTTGTACGTCAAGTGCTCTACCGCTGAGCTATCGGGTCGTGCTTTCAAGCCAACACCCAAGGCCGAGTCATTCACCCGCACTGCCCCTCTCTTTTACCAGTTACACAGGGGAGCCATGGCAGCTCCATCACAAAGTGCAGAGGACCTGAAGACTGCCCACACCAGGAAGGCCATCGCAGCCCCAACACTGGATAGGGTTGAAGAGAAAGTTTAAAGACAACAGGATTTTTGAAGATAATTAATAGAGAGTGCGGGAAAATAACCGACCCGAGCGAGGCACGAACTCACGACCCCTGACTTTGTACGTCAAGTGCTCTACCGCTGAGCTATCGGGTCGTGCTTTCAAGCCAACACCCAAGGCCGAGTCATTCACCCGTATATTGGATCTCCATAAACGTCTCAACATATCTATCCCTATGGAGCTAATTCAAAAATTAATAACTTAAAGATTTAAAGGCACTATGTCCCGCTAGTCAACCGTTTAGAGCAAGCAACAGGCTTACAGTTCATACAATAATTTATGATCAAGAAAACATCGAAAACTAGCCTTACGTTACCGATTGAATATGTAACAATAGATCCATTGTGTAGTCCAACAAATAGGAAAATTAACTGGTCAGCAAAATGGATCTGGACATTGTGCCTTTAAAGTAAGTAATAATTTCCCTATTTTATTGTTAGTCTGAAACACCAATCCCCTCCCAAGGAATTAACTTCATTGTAGATTTGTGCTTCTCTGGGAGACTAACTTACTGAAAACTGGGGGGGGGGGGGGGGGTCGTGATAGCTACATTACTGTGCAACTTTGTAATTGATGTCTTAAAACAACATCTACTTTCAAATATGATAAAAAGCTAGCAAAATTACGTTTTACTTGTTGAGCATAAATGATATTTCATATCATATGCTGCAAAAACATTGTATAAAAATATGGTTTTCTGAAAAATCTGTATAAAAAACTATCAGTCAGCAACAGTTGAACTCGCTGCAAAGGAAGAAAGAAGGTTCATTGGTATTATGAAGATAAATGCAGTAGGATGCATACTAAAAAGTAAGAAATTTGACGAAATTATGGAACAGTTCTTAGAAAAGCCAAGAATTTGCCATGAAAATAATTCTATCAGGGTTCATAGTTAGTTGCAAGATTCATAAATTCAAGATAAATAGAAAGAACTGATTTGAAGAATAAACTTAAGTACTGCATAAAACTATGTGTATATTACATTTGCAATATTATTAGAAGACACATAAAAATACAATAAAGAGCCTACAGTTTAAAATACAGGTCCATAGTTGACTGCTTGCTGCTGTAACACTGTACAAGACCCATTATCATAGATAGTTTTTCTTATAGGATTCATAATTTTTGGGAGTGCCTTGGGGTCATTGAACTGTTCAGAGATGGAGTAGGCAAAGGAGCCTAGGTACAAGGAAGAAGATGTGGTTATAAGGGGACTGGAAAGGAATGAAATGAAACACAGTGAGTAGATACATTCTAAGGGGTCGGCAACAAGAAAGATAGGCCTAACTGGTTAGAAAATGAAAGTGCGAAACAAGCTCCGCGTATGGTAAATATGAGTGTTATTGTGTTGTTTGGAAAATACGAGTGCTTTGTGACAAGACTGCAACATTTCTAATTGGGTATCACCCTACTGCTATCATTAAAGCCAAAATCTAAAAAAAACTAGTTAATTTATAAGTTTCTGCTTCAAGCTTTCTCATCAAATGCAAATCTAGTTTTCTTTGCACTTGTTCAAAACAGATATTGTAAAGAAACAATACACGTTGGCAGAGATTTTAAGATGGAAGTTACATATATGAAGCAGAAGAAGAAGTTACATATATGAAAATATATTCATTCAAGTTATTCCTCAAATCCCAGGCTTCAACAAAGAGACTCCTTCTACTTACCCGTAGCCCCTTCATCGAGGTTGAATGCTGGATTATAACAGGACAAAACGGCAGGAGAACTGGTATCAGAAATTGATACACTTGGTAAACTAGAACAAAAAACATATTATATACTAATGACAAATTTTCCTTACGCTTTAAAGAAGCACTATTTGCTATTGCATAATGATAGGGCAGAAGTAGACAGGGACACTATGTATCAGAAAAAGAGACTTTTACAAATATTCTAATGAGAACACCACTAGGAAAAGGGACATATCTAAAGAAGATTAGGTACAAGTGCTCTTTGTGCCCCCGGTCCTAGCATTCTACCAGTGAGAACCAGTAGGTTGCAGAGAGATGCCTGTAGTAGGGAGGTGCTTAATGAAAGGAGATGTCTTTAGTAGGGAGGTGTCTAATGTAGGGAAATGTCATTCGTAGGGAAGTTTCTATTGGAGGGAGATATCACTGGTAGGAAGAAATCTAACGTAGGGAGATGCCTGTAATAAGGGCTATCTTTTATAGGGTGGTCCCTTTAGTTGGGGTGTTTTTATTGTAGGGAGATGTCGGTGGTAGGGGCTATTTAATGTAAGGATATCTAATGTCCTCCCCTTACCCAATTAAGAAATAGTTATTTAGTCACTTGCCAGGATGGGGAGGTGGAGGGGAGGAGGGTGAGGAGAGACCAATTTAAAACAATTAATTTATCAAAATATCTTACGTGTTGATATCGAGGTTGCTATATAATGGCGGTGGTGTTGCAGTAGCTGTGTTGTCCCATTTATAGATTTCATCATATCGAGGAGGAGCAACTATAATCAATAAGAACATAACATGATACATGGTAGTTGTCTAGATTTGACATCACACTTCCAAAAACTTGTGATTGTGCATCTTCCTATAAAGCAGCTAAACTAGATAAAAAATATTCCATGCAGAACCAACCGGGCAAAGAAATAAGATTCTTCAAGCAAACCCAGAGAAACCAGGGCAGGACTCGAGCTCGTGAATTAGAGTCATTCGCTCATAATTTCTTCTAGTAGATAAATTATAGAACTTCCTTTCTGTTACCACAGTGGTGTTTCTTTAACATTGAAAAGAGCGAGATAGTGCAGATGAAATTCAAATCCCGTTAAAACGAAGAGAAATTTGCATAGGTCAACTCATTCGAGTGCTGTATACAACCAATTCGACTTATTACGAAACGACAAAGAGTATTGAGACACTCCACCACCTGTACCTACCGCCATGCAAAAGTTGCAGGGCAATATGGCAAATGATATGAGCGGTTCACAATTAGCTAGACATGCTTTATTGAGTTATTAGCCAACTTTAAACAAAATAATTAATTAAAATTAAAGTAATAATAAAGATAGAATGCTATCTGCTAGGGGGAATCACCTATGTGACACCCATTCTAAAATTGCTTTACCCTATATTCCTTATAAAGAAATATAACAAAGTTCTAACCATTTGGCAGTGGTATAAATGCGATTGGGGGCGGCGCTGAAGTGTTTTCTGAAAAAGAGAGAATGGTTTAGAAACATAGTGAAACAAATTAGTATGTAAGACGATTGGTTATTCAAGAATGTAAGAGATGAACCCTGGGTAACAGGAGTCACAGATTTTCGAGCGCTTAAACAGAATTCCAAGCAGATACGCGGAGAAGCATCTAGCTGAAGGAAATGTCTTCTCAGATAGACGGTCCTCCGCTTCACCACTCTTATCTTCTATTCCGCAGTAGGACTTATGTGGCTATGGTACCAAGGGTAATAGATATGATCCTTTACGAACAAAGCGAGCTTGGTTGTCAAACATCCCGGTCATACATGATTGTTGCAACCACGACGCCTTGCTTATTCAATCAGTGTCAATGAAAATTCAGTAATAAATAAAAAATACTCTGTTTATGCCACTCAATAAACTTCCAAAATGGACGCGTAAAGTGGCAAAAAAGAGGCGAACTCTCTTTAAATTTCGACTAACAATGAGTCCCTTTTAGCATTGATAGAGGCCAATGTTTGGTGCTAAGTGCAAAAAAACTTAAAATATCTTATAATGCAGACACAGTACGTAAACATCGAAGTTTCTATATATCGCCCTGAACTCCAAATATTGACTTAATAAATGTTCTCAGAAAGAAACTGGCAATAACATATATATTTATATATATATATGTATATAAACATTTAAAAAAAATTAATTACATCTGTTTTAATTGTGCAAGCAAGTAAACATTATAATTCATTATAGCCTACTTCTGACAGTCTGGTTATCATCTGTTCCTAAAACTGGATCCGAGTATCTCCGTCCATTTTCGCTGGATTCCTGTCGAGAATGACTCGCCGGTGGAGGAGTTGCAGAAGCTGCGGGAGGCGCGCGAGCCGCCGGAGGTGCAGGAGCAGAGGTAGGTGCATTTCTTTTCTTTGCGACACTAGCTCTCCAGCAGCAGAAGATAGCGACGATAAGACTCACAATCCCCGCAATCCAGGCCTTGCTTTCGCCACGACATGACAAATTTCCTGCAAAGTGTGATTAATTACTAGGAAAATTCTTCATCTGTTCTGCAGAGTACCGAAGTGATGACGTCATAAATATCAATCTTGAGAATTTTTCAATGTTAACCATTTATCCCAAAAGAGCACTAAAGAGCACTATATCCCAATAGTTCTAAATGTGCTCTAAAAGCTCATTGCTCTAAAATATGGCTCTAAAATCAGTTGAATGTTTTACAAATTGGCTGAGATATGGCCACAAAAGCAGGGGCTCTTTCCCCATCAAACCTCTGTGTGATTTGGTCTTGGTTCATAACTTTATGAACAAAGCCAGAATAGCCATATCTCGCCCAGTTTTGACATACCCAACTGACTTTGCAAATTGGGAGGTATTTTATGTCGTCCATTCAGATTATGTTGTCATAATTTAGAAATTTTAAAAATAGATTTTTATGACGCCAAGGATAAAAAAGGGAGGCAGAGAAGGTTCGTCTATATAGGCGTTTCGTTCCATTATCATACCATATAAAATTATCATATGTAATTATCATGTAGAATTATCTAACATTGGTTTCACACATAATTTTGTAATCTAAACTAAAGCAGCCTTTGTTCTGGCTAGGGTTGAAACAAAAAAGGGATAAAATTTATCTGTTTTAAGATTGAGTCAATGGGAATGCCAGTTTGCTCGAGGTTTGGGGGTCCCTGGGGCGAAATCGAAAGAAGAGGCCATCCCCCTGCGAGCGTAGCCAGCAGAAAGTTATTCTTATCCTTTAGATAGGGTCAGATAAGCAAAAAATGCTTTGCACTGAAAATTTCTTGTAGTTACTTTTTGCAATCATTTAAAACTTTTTACCATCTTTTGATTTTTGCTACATTTTATCAATTCCATTCTCAAAATGGAATTTATTACTTTATAAGGCCCCGTAGACCTCTAGGACCAGGGGCAACCCCCATTGCCCACCCTCTCGGAGGCCCTGAGAATCGGCGTTAGAGAATTTTAACAGAAACCAAAGCATTATTTGAGAAATTTTTGAGAGAAATCAGTATTTGCGCCATTAGTCAAAGCATTTTCCTGTAAAACGCTCTTTTGTGTGTCCACTAATGCAGAGGTGAGTTGTAAGATATAGCAGTGTGTAAATAAAGTAAAGGCAGGCTCCTCGACGGTCTCAGATCAATGGAATTCTTGCGGCAAAAAGTCGATAAAAATGTTGCAAATAGTCCAGCCCGTTTGAGGTTCTTACCAAATGGCCAATTTTCTATAATAACTGAACTGCTCAGTTTAGCTTGCGATTTGTTATAGGTAATGAACAAGATTTATCTTTCCCGAAACAACAAAAATCAATTATGAAGAAATTTGTCAAAAAAGGCCAGGGGCTGCCTTTCCCATATTCTGGTATCCAAAAAATGACTTTAATATTCGCCCCCATTTAATTGTATTTTTTTAGAATTCCCACCAGGTTATTTTTTACCCCCCCCCCTATTTTACAAAAATTATGAAAAAATACACAGCCCCCTGCTTATTCCACTCCTCTACGGAAGATAACATTAAGCACAGAAGATTACATAGAATGCTTTCCTTTGTATTGACTCTCTTCTGGATGATTATTATCTTCACGAATTTCAATTTTGGCTTTTTCAAACGCTTTTAAAACTTTATAGTATCATAACTAACTCGGCACTGAGGAAATTTCCAAGGAAGCTCCAACGAAATAAAACAGAATACCTAAAATTTTAAAAAATTAAAAACCTAAAGAAATTGCCTAAGTTTTAAAATTGCCAAGAAAGCTGACCATTTCTTAGTGCGAAGCTTACGTTGAATATTTGGGTGAAAGCATGTTTGGGTGAATTTTTGAGGTTTTGCTTGTAAGCTTCAAGCTTGTTTATGGTTCGACCAGTAAACATTCAATTTTGAATATTTCTGATTTCAAAGGGGGACAAAGCTGCTCCAATTCTACCTTTGGCTATACCCAACCTTCTTTTAAAATGACAGTCAACAGTTCGGGATACTTTGAATTACTGGACTGCGTAACAAATGGAAATGAAACAGCAAAAATGGAGTAGACTTTACCTTTAGTCCACGGACGAGAGGCTAAAATAAAAAGTAATGTAAATTAAATTGAATTTTGCTTTGATACTAATTATGAAATAATCAAGATAAAAGCTTGCAAAACTATCTACATGAAGCAAAAAAGTTTGGGCAAATAATTTCAAAAAATGTTCTTAGACGCATACAACAATTTTCGGAAGAAGAAAATTTCGGACAATAAACTACGATGAAGATTCTTTTCAAAGTTTCCTAGGTTTTTCAGAGAAAGTTCTTCGGCAAAAATGTTTATTTACTTTCTTAAATACATCTTGAAATTCATATTCATACTTTGATTTGGGCGAGAAAACAAAGCGATTTCATGAAGAAATTATTCCTTTTTGGGAACCAACATGTAACTTCAACCATACTTTCGAATACAAATGCATATATAGGCGCAAGAGTAACTGGGCCTCTGTGTATTCTATGTAAATCACCAGAAGATTATCAGAGGAATTTTGGATTGCACTCATCAAACAATTAAGCGATGATAGCATTAAGCGTGAAACTCAAAGTTGCAACTTTAAACCTTCCTGTTCTACACAAACAATAAACATAGAACTTATACAGGCAGGCAAACCTTTGTCATTTTGTACAAGGTTAACATCGGAGCAAAATACAGAATTGTCTTAGAAAATCAACGCTTTCAAAAGTTTTATAACTTAATCAATTATATAAATTAAATGGTTTAAATCTTAATGAATTCCATTGTCAAAATTGTAGAATTCAAGAAATATTGTTGCTACAAAATTCACCATGGACTTGCAGCATAAATTTTAAATGCATATTTACGAACGAAATTAAGAGCCAAATATATCAAGCACCAAATATAGAAATACAAAATTCGTATTTTAAGAAAATCTTTGATTCCTTGCCAGGGAACCAAAAGAGCATGCGTAGTAATGATCAAGCTCCATGCGCATGCTCTTTGACTCCAAGAGAGTTTGAGGGGTGCTTCACTGATTCAAAACTTTCATCCATCTTACAATGAAAAATCCAGTCTCTGTACTATGCTAATGTTTTCCAAAACATCATACAGACACTTCTTCTTTTTAAAAAAGATACCTTAAACTTTGTCCAGCTTCGATATTTTTTAGAAATTTTAGGTTTAAGCCTGAATATATTTTCAGAATATTCTTGTTTTATTCAAGTCAATCAGGGGAACATTACCCGCCCTTGAATAAAAACCACACTTTTCAAATAAGAGATATGGCGGCCATGCAATTCTTTGTTATGAACATCGCAAAACAGGCATCTGGAGGAAAATGGGACACAAATATGCGGGCTGAGGCTGTGCATGAACTCTTGAAATGATTCCGAGCTTGCATATTCTCACAATCAATATTCTTAAAAAAAGAAAAATGGCAATAAAAATTACCTCCTTTTTGCGCAAAAACTTGAACTTCACAGAGAGTGAGAGAAGTACTTCCCCTCAGAGAAATGAAAACAAAACGACCCCGCCTTTGAGGTTTGCATTCAAATTCAAATGTAACACCTTTTCCAATTTCACCGACAATGTATCGGCACCTGGAACAAGAGGATCATATAAGATTTAAATATTTATAATATAAATCATTGTACATTCCTCTTGAAACAACCAGAAAAATTTTGCAGAGGCTATTTTTTTGATAATTTTGAGGCTCGTGTGCTACATAAAATAAATTCGATTACTAAGGCAACTCAAAACAGCAGCTGGTTTGAGTCTGCAGCTGGGCATTTTCTTACATTATTCTTATTTATTTCGCACAGAACTAAGAGTGCACAGAAATAAATGATAATACGTCTAGTCAACATTTTTCATTGAATTTCAATACAGAAGATACTTAAAAATAAGGTCTAAAGAAACATTCTCAAAAATATGTTTGAAAATACAGATTAGGCTACTGAGGAGTGAGGGAAGGGATAAAGACTATTGTCTCTTCCAACATAAAGACCCATTGCAAGAGAAGAATAGTTTAAATTATTGATCAGAAGCTTGCATACATGGCATTTGAAGTACTTGAGCAAGGATTATCCCCGACTCGTATCTCCACCATTTGCAGCCTGTTTGAGCAGCAATCCCCCCGGTTTGTCAATGAAATCTTTCTGACAACATGACGATCCGACAAATCTACCATCCACCAAGGATTATGCTGTCGTTTTGTATGGGTGCACGTTCCATTGCGGAATATCGACGAAAAATTCCCATCTACCGCCATTTGTGCTCCACCGAGACATGCAGCTTTGTTGATACATTTAAAAAAATTGGAAGACTGTTTTGCTGGCTTTTGCAATGCAATATTACCTAAGAAATGACCGAAGAATGATTCTGAATCAAATACAGCGATAGACTTTTCAAAGCATTTCAAAGTTTAGGGTAATGCCGAATGAATCACAAAATTTTCTCCAACTAAACAAACAACGTAAAAAAAATGAAACCTGCCGTTTCTTAGACATGGTTGTCAATTATTATCGAAATGAAGCAACAGCGCCCCTCCCTACAGCATGGATGTTTACCAAGGCTTCCCCGAATGGGATTCAGCCTTTTCAAGGACGCTAGAGAGGGCGGACGGTGGGCAACCGTCCCGTTGTTTTTTGACAGAAGAGGCAACGGGGATAAAAATGCCCTTTTCCTAGGAGTGTCCTTTTGTTATTGTCAAAAAATCTGACTGTAGCAGTGGCGGCGCCAGCTACTGCCGAGTGGGAGGGTAATGGGCGTGGCCAGTGAGACCACGCCCTAATCGCCTCGTCTCAGTGCTTTGTACCAGGTCAAATTTCCTTAGGAAATATGATCTTCCTCTACCTAGTGCTTTTTAACCTGTTTTTAGACGAAATATGTAGACCATGTTTCGAAAAAAGTGGTATGGGGGGTAATTACCCCCCCATACCACCCCCTGGCGCCGCCACTGCTGTAGTGCCTTATTCATGACAAAATTTCTCAAAACTTGTAAGAACGTTTCTTAAGACAGCAGTAAGCCCATTTTTTATTCTATGCTAAAATAATAGGCCAAAATACCGAAGATTTACGTACTAGGTATGGAACATCTTATTCAGTTTAGACCACAAAACTATTATCAAAGCGTAGAATAGTTTGAAAGATGACATTTCATATACTTCTGCAATGGTTACTAAGCTATGATTTAATCACTTGAATCAACAGCTTACTGGGACAGTAATTTCGGCATAAAACGGGGGTATCTTTGAATAGTGGGGGCCATAGTCATAGCCGGGGAACATTTATCACGTCACCAGATGGGACTTTAACACAAGCATTCCTGAAGTTTTGAAAACAAATGAATAATTTCTACCCCCAGAATCATATTCTACAAACTACATGAAAGCTCAAAAGAAAAAACCTCGGTTTCTTTGTTATTATTTTCATAAGTTTTATACATTGTATTTTTAGCATAAATACTTGCACATAATTGGCAAATGTTTTCTCACTTACCAGTAAGCTTTGATGAAGGAAAAGTGGGGATCAAATCTATCAAATAGAAAGTATACCAGTAATCAATTACTGCAGAATTGAAAATTCAAGATAACAGATAATTACACATTCACAATGCTAACATAAAAAACTTCCCTATCTAGTAGAAGCAAGATCGTGTTGTTTCCTACAAAATAAACAGAGGCGTGCCAAAGAGCCAAAGAGGGGAGGTTGTAGCAAAATAATTTATTTATAGGTCATGATACTAAACCAAATATTTCCCTCTTCTATGGCTAACAAAAACTTGCAGTACTAACCATCAATAACAAAAACCTGCACTTCCACTAATGATAAATATCCGCTTGCCAATAGCTGAATAGAGACGTAGCTGCCTCTAGCCATGGTTGAACAGAAAAAGTCTTTGGTTTCACCCTGGCCAAATGAACCACTGTGAAAGGCGCAGCTGAAAAACAGTGATAGAATAAAGTTTTTTTAACTTGCTAAAGCCACCAAAAAAGATTGACAACATCTCAAAGAAATAGCTTTGACCAAATATAATACAACTCAGCTAAAGAAATAAACAATAATTTTGTACATTTTGTTTATTTAAGATTTTTGTTCTTGATATAAAAACCCGATAAATGCTAGGGATAGGTGAAATTTAAAAATCCAATCTGCTTTGTAAAACCTTAGTGAGATTTAAACTTTATTCCCAATAAAACAAATTTACTGGAAATATAAAAAACAGAACAATTTTTTGATACCAATAAGTGAAGGTGTGAAAATCAGAAAACCACACATGAAGCAATGTAGGCCATATTCTCAAGATGCTCAGAATTTAAAGAACAAGCATTGAGAACAGAAATAAATAGTGGAAAAATTATGAAGAAATTTTTTCATCATATACCATTGGCACATAATGTTATGTTATAAACAAAGCTTGCAATTAAAAAACCATTTTTATTCAAAAGGGGCTGCTAACCATTCACCCCAGTTTACCATTACTTAGAAAATATTCTAGCACTGTGTTTATTCTAGAACCCCCCCATTTATTGTTATTTGGATCAAGAAATTTTCCACCCATCCTGGTTATTTTTCTGTTTATTCTGAACTTAAGAGTAGCTGCTTGCAAGCTTAAACATTGTCTTTTCGACAATCTTGAACTCAGGCCAGCAAAGTGGGTCTGCCAAAATGACACAGAATGTTGGCTTGAGTATTTAAAGTGATTTTGCTAAAAAGAATGAAGTAACTGTAAAGGCTTGGAAAATTAATGGGTAATAGTTTGAATAGAATATATTGGGAAGAGAAGAGCTCAGAAGGTGACTCATTTTGAATTGCTCCTTTTTGAGTTAATTTGTAACACCACAATCATGCCTTTTTTTGTATTTATCGAACCACAGACCAAAGGTGCATGAGAAAAATCTAGAAAAACAGCATATAAAGCCTATTTAGCCGTCAATTTCAGAGCAAGAGCATCTCCAGGAAAAAAACAGGGTGTGGTTCAAAAACTTTTCACCTTCTGAGCCTTGCCTAGGCTTTTGCCCTGGGGCCCATTCCACCTAGCAGCAGCCCTGATTGTTGACATGGCTTTGAGAATATTTAACTCTGACTTGAAGAGTTCTTAATCTACTCCAACAGTAGTCTTTTCAGCTTTTTATTCTCACATACTCTTTTTCTCTTTTCTCTCAAGTGTAAGAAAACATAAAGAAATTAACACTTCTTACTGCTTATTGTGTGCATGGCTTGGAGAATATCCAACTTTGACTTGAAGCATTCTTAATCTACTCCAACAGCAGTCTCTTCTACTTGTTATGCTCACATACTCAATTGTGTATGTGTCCATCAACTCTACACGCCACCATGGTTTAGTTTGAAATCCTGTTTGTGAGCAGAACATGTTTGAACTATTACCATCTACCGCTATTGATGGTACACTTCCATTAAATGTTGAAGATTGTTTTGTTGGCTTATTCAAAGCAACATTTTTCAAAGCTATAAAAGAATACAAAATATCAAATTAGAGATAATCTATTGAAAGAAAAGGGGGCTATGCAGCTCCAGAAATGGACATCTTTGTTTTAAAGCCAAGATAACTGGGTATTCATAAGTTGTGATGTCATAAAACCTTTCTTTTCAGAATATTTTTGGTTGACCCAAATTACCTGAAAGACTAATATGAAAGACTTCTAAATGTTCAAAATCAGCTGTTATGTGTTGTCTGAAAGAACAGGTATTTCCTTGTCAAATTACCTGTAATTTGATCAGATCTAAATTTCATGAACAAATAAAAATAACAGTAATCAATTAGCAAAATTTAAATCTTTCTTTGGCCACATATCACATAAATTTTAGAATTTTACAGCTTTCTCATGCCTGTTTTGTTGGCGAAAAATAGAAAATTCTACTATTTACAGATTTGCTTCATGACGTCATGCTTCTGGACTCCTGGAAGAAGTGCTCATGGTGGCAAGAGTGCCATTGCAATGAAATTTATAACCAGCCACCTAACATGGGCTCCGACAAAGGTTGAAAAGTGGGGGGGGGCAAGGAAAAATTTAACACCCATAACAAAAGATTTTGAAAAAAACTCTGCAAAAAAGTGGGGGGGGCAAGGCCCCCCAGCTCCCCCTTCGTCGGAGGCCCTGCCTAAACCTCCAAAAATGTTCAATTTAGTATAGAGTGAATTTTAAACATTCCCTCCTGGATTTTGTGAGACAGATACATTGTGATAATTTGTCAATCGCAGTTTTTGGGGGTTTCCCCGCCGGGGGCCAGCGCTCCCATGGTAGCCAATAATATCTGGGTCCCTGCAAATATTTTTTACCCAAGGACCCACAGGCTCTAAAACCACAGGCCTGAACATTTTTTCCGGCACGGCTGACCCAAAGTTATAGGTAAACATTTAATAGGCATTTTTATGTTAAAATTATTTCGAGCCTTGGCAACAAACAACATACCTATTGACCTTGATAACATGAAGATGGCCGCAAAAAAGTAGGAAAGATCGGTAGAAATATTCCCCTTCATCACTGATATTCCGATGCAGGCTCAGTTTATCCTCTAAAAACACCAAGTTTCTCTTTTGCCTTGTTGAGAAGGCAGTGTGAACGTGCCACCTATGACCTACACTATTACATAGCTACAAGATTTTGCTGATACAGCGAAATGTTCCCACGGGAGGCGTGTTTTCTGCGCAGTGGTAATAACAAAAAACAGTTGCATAACATTGAGTTGTTACCATAGAAAACAAATACAGCAAATCCTCGAATTAGCCCCCCTGGGGGCATATTTATTTTTTATATTTTTGGATGGAGGGTTATTCGGGGGGGCTTATACGAGGGGGATTTTCAAAATTATAGTTGACATCAAGAAGACATTATTAATAGACCTCGTTAATTTTAGTTGGAATTTCGTTATTAACATTTAATTATTTATTACCAAAGGTATGAATTCTTGTGGTAATTCAATAAAACACCAAAGTCAACATCAGATGGCAACAATCAACAAATCGAGGGGGCACATTAGAGGATTTACGGCAGCAGCGGGGGCTTATTCAGGGGGGGGGCTTATTAACAATTTGTAGTTCTAGGGTGGGGGGTCCCAATTCGAGGATGTACGGTACACTGAGGGCGAACTCCAGAAGCTGCTAGGAACTACACAAAAATATATACCACAGACTGTTTTTTGGGCTTGTTGTTTGAATGAAAATTAATAGCCGTATTTGACTGGTGTAATCCCAAGGAAGGATACACTGGGATGTTCTGGACAGGGAATCTCAATGGTGCCTCCTTTGGTTTGGGATTGATTTCATTACTTGTACTTGTACAAATACTTTTTTAGCTGCCACCCTAAAATTGTTCTGATTTTTTTTATAGACTTATAAGGATTATCTCCTTGGAATCTCTGAAAAAATTGGGAAACTTTCCATTTCCTTGAAAGAAAACAGCAATAATTTGTCACACAATAATTTGCTCCAAATGTTTTTGAGGAGAGATCCAGTCCCCAACACCCCATTAAGTTACAGCCCCAGTCATTACATAAACAGAAGTTAGTCACAGGCTTTCCCTTATGGTATCTTGTAAATTGGCACTCCCTGGTGGTAAAAAGGTTGTGCTTTCTTACAGCAAAAAATGCTACTATTGCAGAAGAGTTAAGCAAAAAGTACACTGTAGTTGAGTCTACAGACATAATAACAGAGGTATTCAAGCTATTTCATGATTTACAATGGACTATATGCAGGTAGCTTTTACAAGAACAGATTATGTCTACAAAGAACAGATTATGTCTACAAGAGAATCATTCATAATACACATATATATCCAACATCCAATAATACAACAAAGTGAAATTTGATTCAAGAGGCATTTTTTAAATAGAGACAGGGTTTCAAAATATGTCTTAGCACAGTAAAAGGCAAATTACAATAAAAAAGGATATCAGACACATTTAATATGAGTTTCCCAAACATTTCATTTCACAAGGCTTAAAACTAGTGGCAATTGTGTAAGGAACATTATCATATTTCAGATGGCTAATGCTAACCTTAGATGAAATTCTTTACAGGTTACAGAAAATTGCTAATAGGTCACAGGCAATTGAAACTGAGAACTATTAGCAAAAAGCTGTTATGAAGGTCAGTTCTTATTCAGCACTGTTCTGTTGTGTTGAGTCCTCATCTTCAATCTTTGGTGCTAGGTAAAACCTACAAGAATAAAAGGGCAACATAAATCTAACAGCAACACTAATAGCAGCCAGCAAAACACCAAACGCAATCTAAACATGATGATACCAAAGAAAAACAGCATTATTGGCAGTTTGGAAAATTAAAATTACAAAATGTTGGCATAAACAAAAATGCATACAAAAGATCAAATGGCTTATAAAACAGGAAAATGTTTGCCTTAGTTCTCATACTTAACATCTACTGACCTTATGTGACCAAGGTTTTCCATTTTGTACTCAAGCACAAGAGGTACCTCTTTGCATATCGATAAAGTAACAGTGCTTGACAAAGGAGTTGCCTAAAAAAGACAAAACAGCACTTATCAAGCTTGATTGTATAATAAACGGTACACTAAAAAAGGACATGACACACTGCTAGCAACAACCATGACATGAAACTTCAAAAAATATTCATATATGGTTCCCGACAGAACAAAGTTCATCAAATCAAATTGCTTTGAAGTTAAAGTGATGCTGTTATGATATAATTCTTGACAATTGACTCATCCCTACAGCTATCCAAATTTTTTTGGAACACAGATAGAATCAACAGCATGGAGCAAATGACTACGAAGAAAGTCTTTCAACAAAACATCTTGTTCTCATTTTTGAACCTTTCAATCCATTTTTAGAATTTAGTAACGCTTAAAAATTGTAAAGTTTGATATATAAATAATTTGAGTTAAAACAAACCTTTGTGAAGAAGTTTAAAAATCTTAATGCGTATGTTTGAGTAACTGGTTCATTCAGTTCTATGCAAACCTAAGAAAAATCATAAAAAACATTAAAACTGAAAACATATAGTGCAGAGAAAACTTGAATAAAGGGTGTAAATAGGTTTATCTTACAAAAATTTATCATGAAAAAGGTGTATTAGGTTTATCATCCTTCATTTAGATCCATGAGAATGACTTAAGATTGCAAATACAGTGTAGTCTTCACATGTTTTATACCTGCATCAGGAAAAAGAAGATTCCATTGTAGGGAGTTGATCATTGGCTAGAGGGTATAGCTCTAGGGCTTTGACTATAAATAAATAAACTGGGATGAATTTCTGTCTATTGATTGGAAGTGTCTGCTATAAGAATATGTCCAGTCAAAGGGGATATCATCTACTATAATCATTTATGACATTTATCATTGACATAAATTTTGACAAAGTGTCTCTTTTTCTACCTGATCCTCCTCTTTGTCAACAGCAGTGTTTTGTCTCAAGGTAATATTTCCAACCCCAAGGCCTCCAGTACATGAAAATCGTACACCATCTTTTGTGCAAGCAATATTCACTAAAAAGCAAATGACAATTCACTTAAAACATTTAAGGAGTCAGGCTTACATGAAAAAAGTATTTTCACTTGAAATGGAACAGGAAACAACAAATGAATGAAAATTCTTTAGAAATGGTACATAACTAACAAATTAAAACCATATAAACATATTAAAAACATAATTTAGTTAAACTAGCTGCATCAGCCCCTATCAACTTTGAGAAGGGGGTGCTGTATCCCCAATTATGTTCTGAAGATTTATGTACCTCCACAACATATATATGCATTAAAAGAAAAGTTTCAAAAGCAAAGTAACTTGCCACCCAAACTTACATAGCTGACAATAGGAGTTTAATTTAAACCCCAAATAAAAATTATGACAGCTGAAATACCTGAATCGCCAATTTGTGTAAGATCCCTGCAAATTCTCTGCAGCTCTGCAGATGGCATTTGGATAATTGCTTCATACTCTTGATCCTGTACATAGAGATACCTATTTTGAGTGGCAGTTTTAATATTTATAAGTTACGGTTTTTTGAAACCTTGCTGTTAAGTTATTACAGTTTTTTGCTATTAACGTCAGCTGTATATGATAAATTAACTTTGCTTACAGCTATTTCTATAGTTCATGGGTCAAAAATCCTATTTCCAACATGATATTAAAACTGCAGTTGTCTTTTCATCTTAACTCCTATTTGAGTACTAAAGCAGATATTTTGTTTCTAAATATTTAGTTTAAGATCAATAGCTTTACACTTAAACCCTGAATCAAAAGAGAAAAAATTCAATAAAACAGAAACTCACGGGAATCCCAAGGTGCTCTGCATCAATATCCATGAGTTTGATTTCATAATCAGAAACTTTTTCTTGGTCTGTAGATGTTGAGATAATTTGTCAGAAATAATCAGATTACAAACCACACAAAAGTTTACATAGTGGATTCTGATGTATAGAACAGGACAGTTCTTAGTTGCTACTTCATGTTCCATGCCTATCCTGATAATTAGGCAACACAAAAAGGGTGTTAAGCTCTGCCTATGTGACATCAAAAACTTTATAACAAATCTGCAAACAGTATATATATAATATATATCTGTTTTGCATGAATAGATTTTGTTTTTTTATTGTTTCTACAAAGTGGTAAGAAAATGTCAGTTACTGAAGTTACAGAAAATGTTGATTGAGAGTTACTGACACAATTACAAAATATAACACAACTTACTAGGAGTCTCAAAGATGAACTGAACTGTATCTGCATTGTCTTCTGCTTTGATTGTCACAATATCATCATTGCTTCCACATTTAAGAATTTTTGAAAGCCTGACACAAAGATTCATATTTTAGTAAAAGTAAACATAGAAATATACCTATAAACATATATCAAACTCTGTTGTGTAAATTGCAAAAGAGTGTGTATATAGGTGTGGATCCAGCCCAAACAATCAAATACTTTAATTGCATAAAATAATTTCTGGTGCTTAGAACTTGGTGCAACTGATGTAATTGATGAAATTAATGAATAAAGATGTAATTGATAAAAGCAGCTTTCCTAGATACAAAATCATTCAGTACTACATGATCTTTAAAAAAAGTTTCTAGTATTATTTTATAGCTCACTTATTATTTTATAGTTTCTAGTACTAAAATTTAAACTTACGTTGAGATTTGAAGACCAAGCGTCATCGTCCTGTCACATCGGTAAGGATCAAATCCACCGGCTCGTAACAAAAGGAAAACAAGACTGACATGGCTTGTGTCCATGGCCTGTGCACTAATTCCTTCTGCTGTACAATCAAAGTTACATTCAGTAACAAAGTCTTTCATTGCCTCAACGCATTTTTTCAGGTATGATCCTTGTGTCAATCTTGCTTCCAACATTGTTATTTTTTATTGTTAGATATCTTTTAGAAGGATAGATGATGCAAACAGGATAAGCCTTAAAAACATAAAAGTCAAAGTGATCAAAATAAAGGCAGTAAAAACCAGTTTAGGGACAGAACAAAGTCTGGTTCTGTTTCAGAATTCCCAACACTTTTGATTTGAAAATTTCAAATAAAAGACAAAAAATGCAGGTAACACTTACAGCGTAGTACATAATTGATTACTACTAAATAACATGTAAATATATGAATTTCGACATTAACACTTGCAGCTAGCATAAAAGATGTTCAATAGGGCTAGGCTGATAATGCTACATCGACGTGGTTTGATACCCAACTAGAATGGGCCTAAATTGCTTGCCATTTGCACGTTAACGAAACCCGCCTAGTAGATACAGATTTCTCTTAATAACGAATATTTCCAAATGATTCAAACATTTGGAATAACTTTCATGTATTCTTGCTCCAGGGAAGGAAAAATTTGATGTATAGCAATGAAAAGTTTTGCGGGTAGAAAAAGTTTTGGCGGGTAGCAAAAAAGGATTTGGCGGGTATCAATGTAAAATTTGGCGGGAAACACTGATGTCGGGGTCGGTAAATGAAAACAGCCTAAAAATGAAAAGTCAACGGGACAAAAATATTTTAAAAAAAGAAGCTTTTAACACGATAAATGGAAATTTCTCCAAATACTAGCTTAAATCACGCATAAATTTATTTTCTACATGAATTATTCATCACCGGCTAGGCCTATTGACATCCAATACTTGCCAAGAAAAGTAAATCTGCAAAATAAATCTACGAGAAAAGATTGAAGGCAAACGACAGATAAATTACCAAAGAAGGCTTATTTTTATACTTTGAACGGCAGCGACTACAAATTATTTTGATGAGGATAGATTCATAACCTACCTTGCAAACCTCGAACCTTGCCGACGAGTGAGTTGCGTTACGAGTTGCCTCTCTTCAAAACAGTCATATGATCGATGGAAAAACAATAGATATTCCCGCCAAAAATAAAAAACGCGGGAAATGTTAGCGAGGCTGAACGAACGAGGCAATTCCAAAAGACCCCCTGAAATGAACGCTTGACTTGAATGAGCATCGATATATATTCTTCATTCAGAATCCAAAAGAATATGAGAAAACACTTCTTGAAACTTAAAAAACCAAATTTGAACCTAGAAAATATCATCAAATCATGTCAACGATGATTGTTTCCTGATCGGGGAGTCCTCTTTTGAAAAATCGAATGACCAAAGCACTTTCCCAGACAGTTCAAGTTTTTTTCTTGGCACGTCATCCCATCCCCTGCAGGTACTAAAGAAATTTTACTGCCTCTTCCATATCTATCTGCTTTTTCTCGCCATTAACAACTCCAACCTCATAAAGACTGTCGCCAATCTCTCAATTTTTACAGGTTTACCCACGGGAATTTTGGGCATGTTCGTTGTAAAACCAATGTTATGACCACTATTAGTACATTCTTATCTATAACCAACAAAAAAACTTTGAGGTCAGTGGCGGCGCCAGCTATTACAGAGTGGGAGGGTAATGGGCGCGGCCAGTGGCACCACGCCCCTTTTGCCTCGTTTCAGTGATTTGTACGAAGTTAACTTTCCTTCTGAAGGAAATCTGATCCACCCCTACCCAGAGTTTTTTAATCCATTTTTAGAAGAAATATGTAGACCATATTTTCAGAAAAGTGGGGGGGGGGTATTTACCCCCCCCATACCATCCCTTGGCGCCGCCACTGTTTGAGGTTCAAACTTTGAGGCAAATTTGTTCTTAAATTGTTTTTAAATTATTAGGCTGCAAAATAAAGAAAATCAGACACGAGAGCTCAGCTTGTTTCTAATTTCTGCTTAGCTTTGGATCATGTTTGAGACTAATGTTCTTAAAGAATTTTTCTTTTAATGAAACGTGTAATTCTCATGTCTTCTGTTGTAACGGTGTCATCGTATCGTTATCTCCATCGTCTACTGAAAAACGACCCCTTAAGGTTTCAAGGAAAATTAAAGGGAAAGCCACGCTCTCTCTATTAGGATTCTTAAAATCATACACCTTTTATTGAATCTACCTTTAAAATCATACACCTTTAAAAGTTACTTAAAGCGACGCCAATTAAAAGACAGCTGTGAATTATATAGCAGCAAAATTAAAGCAAGATCTACCTTAACTAAAATCTCACCTAACAGCATTTTCTTATTCAAAATATGAATCTAATATTCTACAATTGTGTATATTCAACAGCAAGTATCCCAGGTAATCGCTTTGGGTGCTTAGCTTCCGAGTAGCCACGATACAAAGTCTAAGCGAGCAACCCCTCTGACTAGATTAAAAAATATTTTAATGAAAAAATAAATAAATAAATATATATATATAAAACAAAAATGTAAAAGGACTGGCTTTCTTATACATCTTTTGCATGATATAAATGTTGCATTATTGAAAAGAGCTTTAGTGTCTCCATGGAGTAGGGAAAAGGCAAAGTTGTGACATGACGATCTTAAGATTCCGTGAACTTTTCGGAAAAACATGTTGTACGCAATAAACTGAGGGTGGGGTGAGAATGATCGGAGGAGGGGAGGGGGTTAGTGGATGGTTCGCCATCATAATAATCGGAATAATAAGATATAGCGACAGAGGGGTTGAAACAATCGGAAGGGTTGAAGAAGGTTCCATATTATAATAATCGGGGGTGTTGAATGTTTTGAGGGAGGAGATCGAAAAAGTTTAAAATAGTCTTTCTCTATTTTCATAGTTATATCAGTCCTGTTACTGATAAATTATACTCATGAAATCTGGTTTTATTGAATGATCTTCATGAGACTATAGATAAACATAATTAAATGTAGGAGCATTTGCTTTTGAGAAAATATTCAAACTTACGTTCACAATCATTTCCATTTCTCAAAAATTGGTCAAAAGGGGTGTTTGAATTAGTAGGGGAGTTTGGAAATTATTAAAAAAACATAGTATTTCCAATTAATAATTAATAAATACAAAAAATTAATAAGCAATGACATTTTAAATATTCGAAAATTTTTAGTGCACAGCAGAAAATAGAGATAGCATAGTCAATAAAATGACGGTTTTATCTTTCATAAAACGCAAATTTTATGTCATCCGATGGTTTAAGGCCAAGATATACTTCACCAACCTGTTCCTTTCCTAAATGCACCACCTTGAACCTTTTAATGAGCTGCAAGGCAAATGGATATATTGGGATAAAGAAAGCATTCGCATATGAATCCGAAGAACGGCGTAATTTTTCCTTTATGAAGCAATATTTAAAGAATTGCTTTGGATCACAGTCTGCAATATCTTCTACAAATACTCTAAACAGTGACGTAATGGATTTCAGTTACCTTAAGGTCAAAAACTGGTGCCATCGACTTTAAGGGGCCCCTAACAAGGATGTTTGCTTAAATGCTAGTATTCCTAATACGATAAACCAGTACGGGGCCCTAAGCATGCAAGACATCTCAGTATTATATCTAAAGGGCCCTGAACTGAAAAATCCCAAACAGCCCCATCTGTCTCCATTACACCAGCAAGTATCAAGCATAAAATGGTCACACAAAGAAAAACGATTCTTAGAGCTTTAGAGAGAAACTCACCAATGCTGTAAAGACTTGCATCTCTGCCTCTGCTAAACGTCGGCCTATAAACGTGGAAATTCAACAATTAATCATGGAGGCTACATTGAAACGTAGTGCGTCAACGAGAAACATAGCTAGGGAACACCTATTCAACATCATTAAAATCGCTAGAGCCCTACTTAGCAAAACTTTTAAAATTATTCATTGACACTGATCGAATTCATCTAGTTCACGGAGAAGCGGAGAAGTGAAGGAGCGTCTAGTTGAGAAGAACGAAAAGCGGCCCTGGTAAAATGGCACTGATCTTTCTTCTCAGATAAAGGCTCTTCCGATTCTTCACTTCTATCTTCTATTACCGCGCTCGAATTTTTGTGGCTCTGGTACCTGTAGTAACCTAATTGCCTATGCGCAGGAGCATTACTTTATGTGACCCATTTATAGAGTTTCAGATTACAGTTTCACAGTGTTACAGTTATGTGTGTAGGTCGTTTAAAGTTAATATAAAGTTATCGTTCTATTCTTTTCAACCCATGCGTTGTTCTATCTCCTTCACATCTTAACAGTACCCAGGGTACTAGTTCCCATATCCATTTCGACAACCCCTTACATGGCAGCACACTCAGCATTCTTAGGCTGGTGGGTAAAATCTTCGTTTGAGCAATGGTTTTAGAATATGGAGTATTCGTGAAAGTATAAAATGCAAAGCAAAAATGTTATACATGATTTCCATACTTTTTTATATCACTTAGAGCATCAACGCGAAACTGTCTCAAAGATTTTAGTATCAAAGGAGTTATATTAAATCTTAACGGGGGCGTAGAGCTGGGGGCAAGGGCTCAGGAGGTTTATTTTGAGAAATTGCCCGTATCTTTATCCTGCTATGGTTTTTTGGCGAAATATTTGACGAGAACCCCATTTGTTTTTTAAGAACAGGGCAAAATGAAGCTAAAAACTTTACCTAAACAAGAACGTGCCCCAAAGCCAAAAGTTAAGGTCGCGAATGGGTTTATTTCTGATTTGTCTTCTTTTTCGCGCAGCCACCTCTCTGGCAGGAACGTGGTAGCATTGGGATAAATCTTTTCATCTCTTCCCATTGCATAACTGCTGATCATCAACGGCGTCTAAAAATGTTAGACAAAACATTACTGAATTAAGATTGCCCTCAGATAATTTTGGTTTTCTTTACGTAACAGCCAGAGCTAGAAGCACAGCACCACTGGATTATGTCCCTAGCTGTGCAAAATTAGAGATGTTCCTAGCTGTCTGCCTAAAAAACGAATACTAATTCGAAATAAAAGTAGAGAGGGACATGAAGAATCCCGATAGGTATCGTGTTTTGCTGGATGTCATATTCTTAGGAGAGCGTTCCCCGATCCTAAGTGACCTGTGATTCTTTAATGCAGTCAAAAAACTCCTCGAGTGTATGACACGAGGTTAATTGGATAATAGGTACCAGATTCTCCAGTTTCGCCCAAGAGAAAATATTTTAAACCCACAAGAACTTGAATCTAATAATTCAAATCTTCTTTGAAAGTCTCGCCATTCATGTTTCTGTACTTACATTTGCTGGTATAATGTAATTCTGTAATACAATATCTTCCTCGAACGTCCTGACTGATGCAAATCCTAAAGGAGTAAGTCTGTGGGATAAAATAAAAGGATAAAATCAATTTCCCTCCAAATGTTTAATTGACTGTCAGCAAACAGCAAAATTACGCACCGTTATCATAATTATGCATAAAGGGGTTCGATTAGCATTATAATGCATACCTAATTGGATGAATAATTATAGCCGCTGAACCCTTGATGCCATATTGAATTCACACAATATGCATAGGACAACGGAATAAGCTATGGATAACTTCTGCAAAGTTTCAGCTAATTTTTCCTGGCAAGCTATTCTGACAAAAATTGTAGCTTTAACAGGTCTGTTATCAACTGCTCGATCCCGTAATGGCAGAGCTGGGTATGCTTTAGTGCATATAACTTGACGGTTCTAAGGGCCTGTTTATACGAGCAAATGTATTCCACCTCTCAGCCAATAATCTAGTAGGTTGGACAAAATCATCGAATGTTTACATGCAGATTCCATCCCACTCTCCAGGTGTACATGGAGAGAAATCATCCAGCCTTCCAGCCTATGTGCTGACAAGTGGGACGAAACTTGATGGCGTGTTTATGAAATATTCATCCTATCCTTCAGCTTCATCTCACCTTCCAGCGTTTATATGCAGGAAATTTATCCCAACCAAATGATATCCCACCTCTCACGCAGTGAGGTCTCACCTAACCGGGCTGGCTCGCTTGCCATATAAGTGGGCCGGATCTCGCCTTTCAGTTCACAAGCTGGAAGGTAGGATGATTTTCTTATACAAAGAGGGCCTGAGTTGCAACATCGAGTTCCGCGCTAAATGCGATTAACAGGCAACTGCTCTGAAGACCATATTAAGCTGGAAACTTGAGAGATCAAACTTACAGGAATTTCCTTATCTTTACTCCAAAGCGTGTAGGTTATAAATAAACAGAAGAAAAAAAGTCAAAAACAATGTGATATGGTGCGCTCACTGGATACCTCGCTGATTCTTTGATACAGGCTCTTAGGTATGGCATCTTCTGAATAATGCGATCCGTAAGCATACAGTCATCCGGGACTTTTTCATTCAGCTCTTGAAGCAGAATCTCCTGCTTATCTTGGTTTCTACCAAGCCAGTACAATAACCAAGTAGTAGAGTCAGATGTCTGTGATCATAACACATGGAAGGATGATACAATAAATGGAGAAAGTTCGAACAATCTCGTTTGAACAGGACAAAAAATCTATCAATTCGATGCTCAAAATTATTTGTGGTCTGAGGACCTGAAATACCGTACACAATGAACATTTTTACACACTTAAGGTTACGGTAAACGTTTTCTTGATGAAAACATCATTTTTTCGATTTTTTCACATTCAAGTAGCCGAACTTTCAAGGCACACAATGATACCAAATTTGAAACAAACAGAAATTTTGAAAGTGGAAAAAATCCCATGTAACCGAAGGTTTCCATAATTTCTTTATCAAAACTTTTAGTTGAGGCCTGAAAATCTCTTGACCTGTTAAGCCGATTATCGTTGCTTTGCGGTTGTGGTCGCATGTCTCATTTACAATATCGCATGGCACATCCATATATCCAATGTACGGCCGTGTTTATTTAAACAGGCTTATTGATCTTAAATCTTCAAGTGACTTGACCCGGATTACACTGTGGTTTACGAGTGTATCTTGCAAGTGCGATCAGTAAAATCCCGTTTTCTCCGGACTCGAAATTCCTCTACATGCAGGTATGAAAAAGCTATTATGTACCCAAGGAACCAATCGAATGGCTCGAAAATTTGCACACGGCCAGGGCAGACGTTGGGCAAACAAAGTGTGTCTCAAAATTTTTTTATTTTCTCTGGTCCGTCTTTTATATCCAAATACAGCTGTGGGAGGGTGGAAAAATTATTTGCCAATTTTTGACAGGGTATAGTTTCATAAAGAGGAGGAATTTAAAAAATCTGAGACACACTTTGGTAGCTTAGGACCTGCACTTCCTGCTGGTCTAAGTCAGATTTTGTTACCTCAAACGCAAGGGTACATAATAGCTTTTGAAGTGGTACATATTTTGACCAGTAAATTCGCATGGAAAATAACATTTAACATTATTTGCCAATAATTTTTATCTGGCTAGATACGCCATAATCTTGTGCATCGAATGATATATAGTTTATCCAGATTCCTTGAGCCGTTTGGCCTTTAGGAAGGAAAAACCAATTTTCGTGTTCAAAACGTTTACCGTAACCTTAAGTTACAAACATACAAAATTTCGAAATGACAACAAATGGAACGTGAAGTTTTACTTATTTATATGAAGCACTTTGAGAGTTCACAACGATAAAAATAGTAGCGTGGCAAGTGACCTCTTAAGACAAAGTTAAAAGATTCTCCTTATCTAAAAAAAATCTTGGTGTATGTTTCCTATAAAAGTTGAGAAATCGTTAAGGTTAAAAGAAACATATTATAAGCTATGTTACATTCACAACATTATCCAGCAATATCGTCTAGCAGTATTAAAATGCATTGAGTAATAATGGAAATTTATTTGGTCGAAAAAGAAGAAGAAGAAGAAGAAGAAGGAGAAGAAGATGATGAAGAAGAAGAAGAAGGAGAAGATGAAGAAGAAGGAGAAGAACAAGAAGACGAAGAAGAGGAAGATCAAGAAGGAGAAGAGGAAGAAGAAGGAGAAGAAGAAGAAGAAGGAGGAGAAGGAGAAGATGGATAAGGAGAAGAAGAAGAAGAAGGAGGAGAAGGAGAGAAGAATGAAAAAGAAATAAAACGATCAATAACATTTTGGATAAGTTTACCGTATCATAGCCAGCACCAAACATTTCAACTGCGTGTGTAGCACATTCGTTTGGATCAAGATTCCTTTTGAACATCATATAACTCATCAAAGAGCTGCCTGTAAATAGAAATAACAAGATATTGGAGAATATTTCAATTTCATGTTCAAACCTTTGTTTACATACTACTGAATTAAATGGAAAAAGTTTGACATGATTACCTAATAATTTGGAAAAGCCTAGAAATTTATAGATACCCACTGCACAAAACATTATTGTCATTCCGGTTGGTAGTTGATTTTTTGTCCTTCAGACAATGATGGCTACACTGAGATTGGGATATTGACATTCCTTGACATTTTCATAATGTGAACACAATTTGAACTTTAAAAATTTTTCACACAATCTTTATTACGTGTTTTTGAGAAAAGAAAACAATGTTTAATTTCTGTTTTTATCTTTTTTATCGCACTTTCCTTGTCATTTTCCATTTGACAAACTTTTCATTTTGTATTAAACACCGCCCTTTGATAAACGCCGCCTTCTGTTAAGGCCGCATTCAGAATTTGGATTTTGTAATAAGGTATGTGGTTTGAGGTATTCTTCTCGTCATTAAATTTGCTCTGTTACATTTTTGCTGGACAATATGATATTATGAGTAATAATGTATCGTATCGTCCAGCAAAAATGCAACAGAGCAAATATCTTGAAGCATTTAATCTTCAATTCACCTAATCAAATCACACTCGTGTTTCATTTTTTATTCCTAGAGTAAAATATCAAACCTTCCGCATTTGAAAACGTGTAGAAATTCCCATTACTGTACTCTCTGGAACTGGAAGCCATAAGAATCACGAGGTATGGTCACATCGAGAGGAAAGATAAAGACTTCTACTCAATAAGCACTGCTTCTTAGTGTACTGTAACAAATTTCTGAAGCTAGACGGTAGCAAATGTGGGATAGGATCCTTGATCTATGAGTCTTACCAACGAAAAAGCCTTAAAAGGTCAGACATGATCTTGGACAATGTTGACAGGAAATACAACACAACAATACTTATAACTATTCTAAACAAACATCAATCCATTATGTTCATGTAGCATGAGCTATACATTTAATAGAACAGTTTTCCTTACTGATCAATGAATCACCCAAACTGGGACATCTTTTCACTTGATCCATAAATTCTTCCATATAGTGGCTAGCAGATTTGTACCAGTTTAAAATAGATGCCTGTAACTGCTTGAAATCGGAGCGGTATATAAACTTCAGCAACTTGCTTCGCGAGAAGTACACACTCTTCCCAAGAGCAACCTTAATGGCTTCAAAAAATGTTTTTGAAACCTCTGTCATATCTTTATCTAACAAACCCATTCGCATTCCATATACAAACATTCCAATTGCTAAAAAAGCAAAAATAAGTCTGTGCAAATTGGTGATTTTTGTTCAATCAACATAGATAGTAGCTATTCTGTCATGCATGGGACTTGAATTAGAATCTTTAAAATATCTTATTCCAAGGATTTTTAAGCTGTTAATATGTGCTAGCATTTTACAGGATTCTTGCTTACAGCTAATTAATTATAACAACATTATAATATTTGGTTATGATATTTGTTTCATAATAGCCATTTTCTTGCAATATTAACACAATATTATCCAAATTTTAGCGTTGCTTTGGTGGAAATGGTTTGGAAGGAGATTTGTTATGGTTTGTCAGGGAAGGATTAACCCTTAACGAGACTAAGCATATCCTAATAGCATCACAGTCAAGGAGAGGGGGGGGGGTACCAAAAAGTTGAGAAGCAGGTGAAAAAAGATCTGAAAAAAATTGATAAACTAGTACAAATTAATCATAAGTACACTCTCAACAAAGAATCAGTCTGTTGTCAAAGATTAACGGTTGATGTGCTTATGATTTGCAAAATGGGGCATGCCTATATTTTTGCAAAAACTCTTTTATATGTTGATATTCCTTGCCTCCATTCACTTTCCTACCTGTGTCTAAGTTCCTGCTACCTGTACATAAAATCTAGTTGTATATTATGCAGATTGAAAACACCAGCAACCATAAGATGGATTGGTCATGATACTGGTTGTATACTACTTGAATGGAAGTTAATGCTTTTGATTACAATCTGAAATCTGAAAACCTGCCTTTTAACTCATAGGTCTTTCATAAATTTTGAATTACCTTGAACATGGAGGGTTTGCCCTTAGTTTTTGTCACAGGTTTTCAGGAAAAAAAATGTCTTGTGTTTGTTGCCTGTTGGCTGAGATTTACTAATGTTTGAGCCAATGAGTCAATGAGTCGCAATGAGTCACAATGAGTTGCAATGAGATGCAATGAGTCGATTAAACTCCTAAGACAATTTCCTATGCTGAATAAAAATATGACATTGAAATTAGAATGTTTGTTTGAAACCATAAAAAAGGACAAGCACAGCTTGTCAAAAACTACGAAAGAGCAGTGTAAAACCAACCTAAACCATATCACACTGGGCCCTCTCACATAATCTTGTGTTGTAAGGAATTCTGGGTTCCAGCATGGTGTTAGAATAGTGTGCCCAACTAGAAAGGGGTGTGTGACTGTATAGATACAATATACTGCTATATATAATAAATAGAAACATGCATATATGTTGTCTTTTCTAATTCTGAGTCCTTGCTAGCTCATCAGCCAATCCACCAGGTAGAGCTATTTGAGGCTTATGATCAGTATGCTCCTTTACACCTGGGTGCCCCCTCACCCCTGCGTCCAGGGATGATGCCAGCAAAGGTGTATCATTGAATCGTAGCGTTGTATAGAAAAGAACGGGATATCCACATTCATGTGTATCCAGTTTATTCATGTAGCCTCGCCATATACTGATCATAACTCACGACTCATGACTCATGACTCATGACTCACGACTCATGACTCACGACTCATGACTCATGACTCACGACTCATGACTCACGACTCACGACTCATGACTCACGACTCATGACTCACGACTCATGACTCACGACTCATGACTCACGACTCACGACTCACGACTCATGAGTCACGACTCACTAACTCATGATTTAGGCAACCTCCTGTTGGACACATTAATAGCTTTGCTTTTCTATTCAAACGCTCTGTAAGTGATCTTCTGGACCACAGCATTTCATTTGTTCTTTCGTTACCATAATATCCTTATAATAAATCAAGTAATAAACGTCCCTAAAGAATTTTCACTACTTTCCATAATATATGAGCAACGTTTTAACTTTAAAAAAGATCAAAGGCATCATCTGACACTGTTGGCAGCAAATATTCTTGGATCTGTGGCGATGAAGTTGCAAATATATATTTTGTTTGCCATGCTTGATCATAGGTAATCTGTCAAATTTTACTCCTTTGGCTGATCAGCCAGGTGACTCCCCAGCATGAACATTTCTATTTAGTAGCACCCTGTATATAATTATAGCAGATAAACTGAGAAACTTACATTCAAGAGACCATTTGCCAAGGACTGATTCTCTGATATCTTGTATGATTCCATTCTGATCTTTAATAGTGTTGATACTATCAATTGCATCTAGTGCAACAGAACTGAATGCTGGGTAGAATCTTTTGACATTTATTGGTTTCATCATTGCTTCACTAAGCATTTTTCGCAGAGCAGCCCATTCTTCACCATTCCTAAATTTGAATAGATCAATGAATTGTAGATGTTAAATATTGAATATGATCAGGCAGTTATTCAATTGTAGATTTAATGTGACCTTTGGTTCTTAAGGTTCTGATGTTATAAAAATGCCCTTATGCATTTTTTGCTACAAAAATATCTTACAAATATTCTAAAAACATTGCTAGCAGTTGCGAACGTTTCTTAAAATCAATCAATTATAATATTCACATCTTCCTTAGAGTCACCCGGATCAATTGATATCCCCTGGAACATCTTCTAAACAAACTTCGACTGACAACCTTATCATCACCACACCCATCAAGAGACCCACTCAATGCAAATATTTTCTTTGTTTGACATTGGGGGCTTGAGAGAGGGCTTAATAGAGAGAGGGGCTTATTTTCCATTTTTGCTTGGTAAGGGGTGCTTAATAGAGAGGGGGGGGGTAGATAGAGGGCTTGATAGAGCTTTTATGGTATGGCAGGAATAAAGTGCATTGAAAGAAGGTGGACAGTTCTCATAAAAGCAAAAGTAATAAACACTAGATTTTTTTTCATCTTCCTGAATATAATGATAATGGGTGCTCAGCCCTTTTCCTTATTTTTGGAAAATTCTGACAAGAGGGGTTGCACTCTCTGAGCCAAACGGAACGATATCCCTACACTCGTGGGGTCATTTTTATTTACGATAGGGGTGCTCAGGCCGAGGTACAAACCATCCACCCAAAAAATAATTTCTAGCATTACAGTTTGCCAAAAATAGTTATTCTCGCGATGCTCTAACTGTACTTCATGACTCAGGATAATACCTTTAACTTAACATTGTTAGGCCTTTAAGAGTAAACAGGAACTGCGAAACTTACAGCTCAAGGATTGACGGTGGCAAGCCAAGGTTTTTTCTCTCTTCAAAGAACTCTCCAAAAGCAAACTTTAAATCTCTGAAAGGGTATTTGCCTTCTGCTCTGTAAATCTCCTCTCCTATTGTGGGGTCACTGATAATAACGGTCCGCAAACCAAGTAGGCTGTCCTTACAAACTGGTCCATACTTTCGAACCATCTCTAACTGTACTTCGTGAGTCATGGTAACACCTTTTTTTAGATGTTCGAGATTTCCCAGTACAGGCCATAATTTTGGGCCTGGCAACGAATCGAAGTCATGCAAGTCGTTTGTATTAGTAGCCTGTGAAAGCAAAGTGATTTGCCTCTTTACGAGACTTACAACCGACCAGTTGATCCATTTGGTTATCAGAACAGGCTTGCGGAAGTGTCGGACATTGATCATGTCTACTAGGGCTTCCCGTTTCAAGAGTGCTAGTAGTCGAAGCAGCTTCCTTTCGTGGTGCTCAGGGAAATAACGCTATTGTGGTTCTTCCTTCTGATTCTTTATTTGTGCATTGAATCAACGATGCATGAATCTTTGTCCTTCTTATCCTTTATCTACTATCTGTAGTCAGAGGTGGCGCCAGAAATCTTCCGACAGAGGGGTTGGAGCTTCCGACAGGGGGGCTAAAATGACTAAAATAAGCAGTTTTCGTACGTTATTTTGTCAAATTTGCTCCGACAATAACCTAACATTTTCTCCGATGGGGGGGCTAGATGCTTCCGACGGAGGGGTTGTAGCCCCCCTAGCCCTCCCCTGGCGCCACCACTGTCTGTAGTACTGAACTTGAGCCACCAGCGTATATAGCAATTTCACACAGTGACCATGAAGCATAGAATATAAATTTTCTGAGACGAAGAGGAGATTGTGGGGGGAAGACAGGTGTTTAGTGCTGGGGGCCCCCATTGTTGATGCTGAGCCCCCCATTGTTGATGCCGAAAATTTGCAAATTTCTACTTTTGCTATTGTTTTTCGCAAAATTTTGTGCAGGAGCCCCCTTGTTATTTTGATAGCACTACACCACTGGAGGTATACTGTCTCGCTGTCTACACTAATTTTTTTATAAGAAACAAAGATCATGTTGAGTACTCCAGTTTCTTAATGTTCTGGAAATTTCTATACTCATTGTTTCTTAAGAATTTCTTAATAATGATGTCATGAATGATGTTATGAAATGTTTGTGATCTTTTTTATCACGTCAAGAATTTTGCTTCCGTTCTGATGCTGTATTTAAATGTGGGAAGTATATTTTTATCCCTTGTGTGTCTTAAGTTCTAGGCCAACAGGGCAATCATGTTCTTGGATTTTACAAAATTTCGTTGTTCTCATCACGATTTAATAGTTTCTTTTTTTTGCTTCGAGTACTGAAGTTTCTTAATTTTTTCTGACTGTCCAGTACTTGTTTCTTATAACCAGTTTCTTATAAAAAATGAGTGTATTTGTCTATAAAAACAATCGTGCTTACTTACGGTTTTGGGTGCTTATTGGATGACAGTATCCACAAGTGCAGAAAAATAATATAACTCTATTTCTCTAAATAAAAGAATGGAGACAGTTTAAATCATTTATATAGATAAATGCGTCATCAAAAGTTTGCCACAGTTAAGGCTAGAAGGGGTAAGAGGGAACTTGTTTACATTGCTAGCCCCTCCGGTTTAGATTCAGTAGCGCGGGCCCTATATGTATTTGGCGAACATTCTATTGTTTCATCTTAAAATCTTTGGAACTCCTTTTATTTTGTTTTCATGGTATTGCAATAAGGACAGTTTGTATGCGAGACGTAAGAATAAATTAGTATAATTATAATAATAATGACAATAAGACAAATATTTACAGAGGAGGGCCTCAGTCACTCGAGGGTGCTTTTCATGAGGGTCCTCTATTTAACTAATTATATCGATTTACTAAAACATTACAAAATTAAAAAAGTAATTAACGAGATCCTTAACCAACACCCCCTCCAATCCTTGCTGCTTAAATCCGTCCCTGGCTCAGTGTTTGATTTTAACGCCCTTAAGATGCTATGCAGAAAAAATGGTTGTAGTCACACGTTAAACATTTCTCTAAATCGATTTTGACTAAAACTTGATAGCAAGGAAATTATCAGCAACTTTTTGTGCTGTTGATAACTTCCTTGCTATCAAGTTTACAATATTTAAAACTGGATGGCAAGATCTTTTTTATTTATCATTATTTTACAACACTTTTTGCGTAAACACATTTACTTAGTGTAACACAAGTTTTTAGTTGATAAATTTGCCAGGCAAATCAATCTTTTGCTAGTTCACAAGTTTGCTTGTTCTAATTTACAATATATCTAAGTAAATACTATAGGAACGCTGTTTGGCTATTATCCAATATTTAGTTCTGATGTTGTGAAGTTCTTTTACGAATGTGCTGTCGTTTTTATGATCTTGTTTAACGTGCAGAAAACACGGAACCAGCAAAAGACGATGTTGCGTGACCGTTGCGTCTTGATGAATTTACTGAATGAATTAATAAATACAAAACTTAACACATACGATCGCTGTACAAAACGTAAACAAAAGTTTGCGGGTTTTACTACAAGTACAAGAATGCATTGCGCCATGACGTAATTAGGGGAAAGGTCTATTTCACCAATGACCTACGGCTTTGGAAATACCTAATGTGCAAAAACTATTTCCACCAGAAGAAATAACATTTTTCAAAATATAAAAATTACCGGTCCACGGCAGAAGATTCGGCACCACGATGGTTTTAGGTTCAATCAAATCACGGTTTTATCTGTCATGAAAGGCAAATTTCGTGTCTTCCAGTGGCTTTAGGCCGAGGGCTATTTCACCTAGCTGCTCTTCTCCGATATGCTCGACTCTGAACCTTTTAATGAGCTGCAAATGAATATTTCACAGATACTGTATTTTCTTAAATTGAGCCCACCCTTGTTGAAGGAGCCACATATATCAACATTCTTATTCATAAAACTTGAAATATACATACAAGAGATAATACAAAACATATATACCCTGACAAAAATGGGACTTTCACAAAAGTAATGAATGACTTTATATAACAGAGATGTTTATCGTACTGTCTTGTATCATCTGCTCAGACAATTAAGTTTTGTTTCAAAGTTAATGGTATTTCGTTTCAAAGTTAATAGAATCCATGCTTAATAAAAAACGAGATAGAAGCCGCAGAATCTTTCGAAAAAATACGGTAGGTGCTTGAAAGCCTCTCTTGTAGAAAATAACCTCATTTGATTTGCATATGTTCAGGCCTCGGAATGAAGTTCACCGCTCCGTTCTCAGTTTAGACTTAACAGAATGATGAAACTACATCGAATCATGAATTTAACTTACAAGCTCCAACTCTTATTATCCTTTAAGATAAGTTTCAAAATTAACAATAACATTAAAAGCAAAATGAAATTCAATTGCAACACGCAAACAATGGTAAAACTTATAAACCACATACTAAAGTACTTCTTAGGTTGACAGCCTGCATAAACTTCTGTTTAAACCCTTAAGAAAGAAAAAGCACAAGAAAACATACTAACCAAAGCAGTAAAGGCTTGCATCTCTGCCTCTGCGATACGTCGGCCTAAAACGAAGAAAAAGGACAAATAAAGCCTAGGGCTGGATTGACATTGCTGTAAGTGAAGTTTATCGGCTATCCATCAACAGTAAATTCGCAAAAAGCACTTCTTGGTCAAGTTTAACAAATTATCGATCAACACAGATCGAATCCCAAATGAAAAATGCTGAATGGAGGGGTTGGGGTGATAAAACTGGATTTCCAATAGTTAAGGTGGCATCATGCAAAGACAACCTAGCTACCATTTCCAATTAGACCATCTGGTCACATGACAGCTAACGTACGTACGCATACCACTCACAGACTAGTGGAAAAAATAAACAATGGTTTTAAAGCGAATGATGTATTTGATTTATTCCAAAACTGCTAGATGAAAAGACGATCAGGCTCTGCTCTGCTAATTATCAAAAGCTTCTTCGTCTGACACTCCTCAGAGTATAAAACGTCAGAATAAGGGTCCGAAAGAACACGATGGAAAATATATATATTTCACGTCGCTCAGAGATAAAAAGCTAAGCTCTACCCATAAAGATTACTTGTTTAAGGGTTTGTATTCACTTCAGGCTCAGAAGGGTTGGGCCGTCTTTGTTTATGCTAATAAAGTCCTTTCTGCTTTATGCTATTTCATGACGAAATTTGTCACAAAGTGTCCTTTTATAGCACTTCATCCCTGCTCTTGAAGAAGGCAAAATTAAGCTAAAAGTGTTACCTAAACAAGAACGTGACCCAAAGCCAAAAGGTAAAGTCGCGAATGGGTTTATTTCTGATTTGTCTTCTTTTTCGCGCAGCCACCTCTCTGGCAGGAACGTGGTAGCATTGGGATAAATCTTTTCATCTCTTCCCATTGCATAATTGCTGATCATTAGCGGTGTCTAGAAAAAAGTAGATACATATCTCTGTGCGAAAATTAATCTTTTAAAATTTTACTTTTTTGCATAACCAGCAAAGCTAGCTGCACATCAAAACTGGATTGTGAAATTAAAGAATATCTCCCTAGATGATCTTCCTAAAAATAAATCCTAATTTGAAATACAAGGGAAAATATGAAAGTCAACAAGAAATTTAATCAAAATGATTCTAAATTCAATATTCCCGCCTTTCATGTTTCTGTACTTACATTTGCTGGTACAATGTAATTCTGTAATACAATATCTTCCTCAAATATCCTGGTTGACACAAATGCTAAAGGGGTAAGCCTGTGGGATAAAGAAAAGGAATTGTTATCAACTTATCTCCCGATTTTTCATTGACTGTCTGCAATCAGCATAATTACGCATCGTTATAATAATTGTGCATCATAATGCTACGATCAGCATAGCTATGCATATTTAATTGCATGAATAATTATTGGTTTCTAAACTGCTTAACTGGATGCACACTTGGAGTCCAGGGCAACGGAAACGGATTGGGCAAGGGGGCAAACCGTCCCAGGGTCTCTAATCAAACGTAGCAAAAGTATGCCAAGAAGTGGTATTAATGTCTTAAACGATTGCAAGAAAATAACTGCAAGAAATATTCTGAAATGCATTTTAAACTTATCTGAAGGGCGTGGTTGCAAAAAGTTTTCGTTTGCACAGACTTCGCCCCTGTTTTTAAAAGTGTGCCAATTATTCTCTTTCATCGTGGTCCACGCTTCATTCAATACTTCATTCTTTCAAAGACAGTAGCTCCTACGTTGTATAGGAACAGATTCAGGAAATAGGAACAGTATTTGCGATCATTTTATCTCTCCAACGACCCATTTTTATGAGCTTCGGCAAATTTTTTGAAACCTATAAACCACCTCTAGCATTTGAAGGAAGAAAGTTTCTACATCTATCAATTTTTCGATTTAAACCCAAGCTACAAAAGGTGAAAAATCAAAGTTCTGAATAATTACAAACCAATCACTAGATGGACTCTTTTCGCGAATACCCGGGAACAATTGTATAGGTTGCAGAAAAATGAAAAATACTGTTTTACTTGTCTGTCATATAGTTGTCAGGCAGGGCTGTTTCAAACTTTGGCGAAAGACAACCCCGAGTTTCACGCTAAATACGATTAACAGGCAACTGCTTTGAAGACCACATTAAGCTTGAAACTTGAGAGATTAAACTTAAAAGAATTTCCTTATCTTTACTCAAAATCGTGTAGGCTATAAATACACAAAACAAAAAACGACAAAAACAATATGATATGGTGCGCCCACTGGATACCTCGCTGATTCTTTGATACAGGCTCTTAGGTATGGCATCTTCTGAATTATTCTATCCGTAAGCATACAGTCATCCGGGACTTTTTCATTCAGCTCTTGAAGCAGAATCTCCTGCTTATCTTGGTTTCTACCAAGCCAGTACAATATCCAAGTAATAGAGATCGATGTCTGTAAATGTAATTATAACACAATAGAACGATAGCTGAAGAAAGTTTCAATATTTTCATTATTTTTGGACATCAAACTCAAAAATCAAACTGACGTGCAAAATTATCCAAGGTCGGATTCTCTAAAAACCAATGCACGCTACATATTTGTAAGAGGAATACTTTTACACAGTTTGGGCACAAAAATACAATGTTTCGATATGGCAACATTATAAACGCAGAAAATGTAATTATTAATTATTAAATATTCTGTGCGTTGAAGTTTGATAGGGTTAACAATAACAGCGTGGAAACAGACCCCTCGATACATAGTTATAAAGATCCTCTACTGAAGAGAGACTCTTGTTGTTTGCTTCCTTTAAAAGGTGAGAAACAAACTATAACCTATGTGATATTAATAACACTATCAAGCAATATTGTCTAGCAATATTAAAATGCATTGAGTAATAATGGAAAAATTATTTGGTCGAAAAAGATAAAGAAGAAGAAGAAGGAGAAGAAGATAAAGAAGAAGGAGAAGAAGAAAATAAGACAAAGGAGAAGTAGAAGAAAAAGAAGAAGAAGGCGAAGAGGAAGAAGGAGAAGAAGAAGAAGAAAAAGAAGAAGGAGAAGAAGAAGGAGGGGAAGAAAAAGAACAAGAAAAAGAAGGGGAAGAAGAAAAAGAAGAAGAAGAAGAAGAAGGAGGGGAAGAAAAAGAACAAGAAAAAGAAGGGGAAGAAGAAGAAGAAAAAGAAGAAGAAGAAGAAGAGGTAGAAGAAGAACAAGAAGACGAAGAAGATGAAGAAGAAAATGAAGAAGCATAAGAAGATGGAGAAGAAGAAGAAGAAGGATGAGAAGGGAAAGAAAAAGGAGAAGACGAAGGAGAAGAGGGAAAAGAAGAAGAAGAAGGATGAGAAGGGGAAGAAGAAGAAGAAGAAGAAGAAGATGAAGAAGGAGAAGGAGAAGAAGAAAATAAGAAAAAGAAGGAGAAGAAGAAGGAGAAGAAGGAGGAGAAGAAGGAGGAGGAGAACAAGAGAAGAATGAAAAAGAAATAAAACGATCAATAACATTTTGGATAAGTTTACCGTATCATAGCCAGCACCAAACATTTCAACTGCGTGTGTAGCACATTCGTTTGGATCAAGATTTCTTTTGAACATCATGTAACTCATCAAAGAGCTGCCTGTAAATAGAAATAACAAGATATTGGAGAATATTTCATCTAAATGTTCAAACTTTTGTTTGCATAAAATTCCTTAAACGAATTGTAAAAAGATTAGGAAACGATCACGTAATACTGAACTCGTGTATTTATGACTTGAAAAGCCTAGACATTTACAGATATCCACTGCATAGACAATGATTGTTATTTCTGGTCGGTTGGTGACTTTGTCTTTGAAATAATAATGGCAATGCTGATTGGAAACAGCTTCTCAAGTAAGAAGATACTGGTGAAAAGCTAATACCACCAAAGGAAGACGTAGAAATGTCTCAAGAAATATCGTAGCACCGAAAAAGGTAAAAATAAAATTTGGGCTCAGACACTTCCTCGTCAGTTCATCTATGTTAAATTTAACTTCGCGAGAAGACTGATTATATCTGATTACTTAGACTCATGCTACTCAAAATCTGTAGAAATACCAATAACAGTATTTAATAGACTACCGCAGGGACGGAAATGGCCGGGTTGTGAAGGAGGGGGGCCAGAGCCCCTATCAGTTAAGAGAATATTCTCACTTTGTGGAAGTTTATACGGGTATGTTTATCAAATAATGACAAAATATTTGACAAAATAAAAAAAGGACTGCCAGTTATATTTATTGTCAGTGATAATCAATTACATGTTGTATTAAGCATGTGCTATTAATTTGATTAAACTGTGTTTCTTACTGATCAGTGGATCCAAAGGTTCACCAGAGCTTTGACTTCTTTTCACTTGATCCATAAATTTTTCCATATAGTGGTTAGCAGATTTGTACCAGTTTAAAATAGATGCCTTCAAGTGCTTATAATCGGAGCGATATAAATACTTCAGCATTTTGTTACTCGAGAAGTATGCACTCTTTACAAGAGCAACTTTTATGGCTTCATAGAATGTATGGGACACCTCTGTCATATCTTTATCCAACAATCCCATTCGCATTCCATATACAAACATTCCAATTGCTAAAAAAGCAAAAGTAACTCTGGTAATTTTATGCTGAAACAACATAATAGTAGATTGGGAGAGATTTTATTACATTTCTCCATGCACCTCCGCAACTCCGTTCATCAAGTTCCAAACATTCATCAGTTGCATATAAATGCTAGCATTTTGGAGAATCATTTCTCACAGTACTTTAAGTTTAACAAAACCATAATGTTTGTTATAATATTTGTTCACATTAACGATTTTCTAGCGATATTAACACAATCTTTGGTTGAAAAGGCTAGGAGGTTTATAGCTGAGGATAATATCAGATTGGGATAATATCAGATTGGGATAATATCAGAAACTGTTAAAATCCAGGATAATTAAGTACAAAACCTATACTGTCCAAACACATTTTGAGAGTTTTTTTAAATATTGATAAAAATCAAATCTCCTATGTGTCGAGAATAAACAACAACAAACATAAATAAATCAAAGATATCTAATATTTTGTCCCAGAATACAAGAATCCTCCTGAGCAAAAGTGATGCAGATCATCTAAAAAGGAAAGTATTAGCTATCTATAATTTAATTAAGTAAAAGTTATCAATCCTCTGCGCATTGCAGTATTTCTTTATTTTCAACAGTTTATCGACTTTTGCTGCAAGTATTAGATTGTTGTCCGTCGAGCAGTTTGCTTTTGTGCCTTTTCATTACTTACACAACAACAGTTAGTATGATTTGTACAACATATATATTTTATCCTAAAAAGGTCTGATGCTCAACTGGCATGTTTACCATTTGTGGTAAGAACCTTTTTCCTTACTATATCGCTGAAGTGAGAGTAAATAATAGCTAGTAAATAATGACAGGGCCTTCCTATTCCTTTAATATGATTAGGGTATATCCTTTTAACTATTGACTCAAAATGTGGTCTTAGAATGGATTTGAGTAGATAGCAGACTAACAGAGAAACGTACTTTCAAGAGACCATTTGCCAAGGACTGATTCTCTGAAATCTTGTATGATTCCATCCTGGCCTTTAATAGTGTTGATACTATCAATTGCATCTAGTGCAACAGAACTGAATGCTGGATAAAATCCTTTGACATTTATTGGCTTCATCATTGGGCCACTAAGCATCTTACGCAGAGCAGCCCATTCTTCACCATTCCTAAGCATATAATTGAATAAATTCATGTAGTATAGTTTTAAGCTACAAAATATGCATCAATAAGATTGTTTGATATCAGGATAGGCAGTAGATGTCAGATGATTTCTATAAAAAGCCAGATATGATTAGTTTCCATTCTTGAGAACACTTATAGCTAGATTCCATTGTATGTCATGAGTTGAATTTTGGGGGCTGAAGCAGTGGCGGACAATTGTTCAAATATTAGGGGGCAAGCCTATTGTTTTGATAAGAAGATGTCACATTTGCCTGTTGTTTTAGAACAAAAGATGATTGTCTTTAAAGATATTGGGGCGACACCCCTCTTTGCCCACCAGGTGTCCCCACTGGGCTGAAGATAACATTTTACAAGCAAACCAGTCAAAGTTTCAACTTTTTGATAAGCTTTGTGGGTCTTACCACATAATGACTAATTGAAGAACAATCTTCAAATCCCAAAACGCACCAAATTGTCTAATTTCAGACCTCCCCAATGTAAAAATTGAGAACACTCTCTGGTTTCAACTTTTTACAATACAATATTTCCTTATTCATAAAATCAAAGTTTAAGACTATTAGTAGCATTCTTGGGGAGGGGGCTGGCTCTCATATCTAGTAGTGTAGGGGGCATCTTTGTGTAAAGTTTCCTCTTGACCTTAAAAAACTAATAGAACAATCTCATTCGTTGAAAAATAAAGGCATACATTTCAATTTTTGAAAGAGCTCTGTTGGTTTGTTTAACTTGTTGTTGTATTTGCATTTTAGAGGCTTAAAGAAAAATTCCACTTTTCTGTGTGTTCTGCATTTTCTGCGTTATCGACCTGGCCGTCTGAGCACCCCTCAATTATATCCTTGCTAGTCAACCCGCTGCATTAATGCATTTGCAGCCCTAGCCCGCCCCCGCCCTCCAACAAAAAAGTGTCCTTCTTTACAGAAGCACAAATCTGGTAATTTTCGCTGCTAATAATTATAGGCAGTTTGTCATACCGTTCATTGGTTTTTTCGGAACAAAAAACAAAATTTCTATATCAGTGAGCTTTCATTTCTTGACAAAGGACGTCCCTACGTGCAATCATATGACTATGTTGCTATTAATCTGTTGTACTAATCCATCACGCTTCTCTCGTTGCAAAGATCCTCAAAATTCAACAAACAATTAGCCAATGAACAGCACGACACACTTTAATAAAAAAAGAAGGGGCTGGCAACCAACAAAGAAGCCTCTGTATTTTAAGGAGTCTTCTCATTCTTATCAACGTGCCTGCCAAATTTCCCGAATTTCTGCATCAGAAAATAAAGAATGCACAGTTGTGTGATTCTTGAAGAGAGCAGGGCCAGGGGGGGGGGGCACGGCCCCCCACTTTTCTGCAGAGCTAAAGAAGGATTTTAAGCAAAAGTGGAAATAAATGTAGTATATGATTCTGTAAGTAACTTTGCCTAGTATTCTCTTAAATGTGTCCTTTGCTTTACCTTGGCTATGTCTTTACCATAGAAGACATACATAAAATTGAATATGGGAATTAGATCGAAGAAATCGGTCATTGTCTAAATTTTACAACGAGTAACAACTTGGCTTAGCAAACAGATCGAGAAACTTAGTTCAGAATAACTTGGTGCCAGCACAAATTGACGGAGTTTCGTTTTTTCCATTGCCTAAACTTGCTCAGAAACATTACAAGAAAGAAAGAAATCAGCTGTTGAAGGAAAAGAAACAGCTGGAAAGAACATTTTTGAGGATATGCGAAAAAAAGTATGGGCAGATTTGTTCTTAAAAAGTATTATCAAGAAAACTTCAGAGCTTGATCGGTTGGCTAATCCATTCCATCCCTGGCCATCTCTAAGACACCACAATTCTAAGAATTTTCTTGCCTTTCCTAAGCCCTTTCAAGACTTTGATATTTTGGCCCCTCCATTTCCAAATACGTTTCGCTGGCCCTGGGGAGTGCTGGTCATATCAAATTCTATGCAAAAATCTTATGATTGAATGAAATGTATGATAACAAGAGCAGTTTCACCACAGAATAGAACTTAATCCTTGGTTTCACATTGATAACAAAGAAAAGTTTGGACAGTTGGTGTTAAAAGAGGACTTTGAAACTTACAGTTCAATTATAGACGGTTGCAAGCCAAGGTTTTTCCTCTCTTCAAAGAACTCCCCAAGAGCATAACTAAAATCTCTGAAAGGGTATTTGCCTTCTGCTCTGTAAATCTCCTCTCCTATTGTGGGGTCACTGATAATAACGGTCCGCAAACCAAGTAGGCTGTCCTTACAAACCGGTCCGTACTTTCGTGCCATCGCCAACTGTACTTCATGACTGAGCTTACCACCATTCTTCACATGTTCGAGATTTCCCAGTATAGGCCATAACTTTGGGCCTGGCAACAAATCAAAGTCGCGCAGGTCCTTTGTATCAGTAGTCTGTGAAAGCACAGTGATTTGCCTCTTTGCGAGACCTGCAACCTGCCAGTTGCTCCATTTAGTTATCAGAACAGGCTTGCGAAAGTACCGGATATTGATCATGTCTAAAAGGGCCTCCAAAATGCGTTCCAGGAAGAGCCACCACTGCCAGACTTTGAATTGTACACTGTTGCGCTGCTTATATAACCATTTGTTTATCACTGTAACAGTATCACGGAATAGGTTGTGTTACAGTATTCGTCTCCCATAACATTGGTATTGTTCTACCAAAACAAAACAATGCGTCACACTTGCTCAATTTTGCTAAGCCTGTGCTCCAGACCCTTGACCTGAAGGAAGAGGGTCTGGAGCACAGGCTAAATTTTGCAGGCTTTCAAGCTTGCAAAACATCGATTTGGTTTATATATAATCAATAAATTATCAGAAATGTGTTATCAGAAATTTTCATTATTTACTCCAAATTCATATGTTTCTAATGACCCGATTCTAAAAATTGATTTCTAAAAAAATTTTTGTTGCTTATTTAGTCAACTAGAGCAAGATATTTGTCGTTGGGTCATTATAAGGAGGCCAAAATCCTCCTGACTGCACCCTTGTTTCTCCGATATTCATAAACCGTGAAGTTTGGTAGCCAATATCCGTAAATGTAGCAATACCGTTTACCGTTCACCATTCAGTGGCGGCGCAAAAAAAGAGGGAGGGGGGGGGTATGGTCTATATTTTTCAATCTACACTCTTTTTTCAAAACATGGTCTACATATTTCCTCTAAGACCCTTACATGAACAATTTCAGGCCGGTCTGAAACTCAGATCAGCTTGAAATTTGATGGTGCGTGCTAATTTGACTCCCGCTCACATGAACATTTTCCAACCGGCTTGAAATTCAACAGGCTTTCGCACATCTGCATTTATTGCCAATTCAGTTCGAGAAAACATGGCGCAAAATAATTCATATTTTATATTAGTATTGAAATCGATTTTGGTTGTTTTTGTCTCTGCTTTGCAACTTCTTTTAGTTTTGCTTCCTCAACTCATGTCTCAAATAAGCCATCTTCATAAGAAAATCGTTCTTGCTAAAGAAGAAAAAGTCGTGTTTCGTGCAGATACTGAAAGCGTTAGAATCAATTCAATGGTGAAATAATGGTACCAAAATCATTAAGCATGCATCGCAGAGAGCAATATATTTTTCTCCACGAGTTTCATTTCGCCCCGATTTGAAATTCTTTTCTGCACACATGCGGATTTCAAGTCGACCTGAAATTTCAGACCGACCTGAACAACCGAAATGAACTCAGGTCGACCTGATTTTCATTTCGCCCTCTCTCATGTGAGCACCTCAAGGGCTCAGACCGCAGACTGAAATGAACTTCAGGTCGATCTGAGTTCAGACCGACCTGAAATTTCTCATGTGAGGGGGGTCTAAAAACTGATTAAAAGCGCTAGGCAGGGGTAGATCCCATTTCCTAAGGAAAATTACCCTGTTATAAAGCACTGAAACGAGGCTAAATGGGCGTGGTCTCACTACATATGTTACCCTTCCACTCTGCAGGGGCTGGCAACGCCACTGTCACCATGGACATCAAAAATGGCAAATATTAAATAACCGAACTTGAATTTAGGCCAAACTGCATAACCGCGGAACTTTTATGCACACGCTTTGACCAGTCTTCCATTCTTTGATGCTTAAACAATTAGCTGCAATAGGTAGTAATTTATGTTTATGCAATAAGTAGATTCTATAAAATAGAAAGAAACCTTTGTATATTAAAGAAGAAACCCTCTACTCGGATCAGTGACAGCTCATGGTGCGTCTCAACGTTGCATTTTAAGCCCAATGCTTTTTACCCCCGTGTTCTCACTTTGCTTGTTGAGAAAACGAACCAGCATTTGTCTGAAGGTCGGTTGGCTTTTCAAAATTTCGCAACATATGCAAATGCGCACTCAATGTCACTTAATGTCACGTCGCATAATATTCCATGTGGTAGGAACATTCGTGGCACTTATGGGAATAAGCCAATCTCGAATAAAAAGACGAATAAAATTTAGAGAAAAGAGAATAAAGCGAAGAGTGAAATGAAACTCCGGTTTATATGAAGCAACTTTGATATATGACGAGTTTGATTAAATGGTGCAAAGCGCTATAAAATGTAAATTTTGTCTTCGCCCTAATGCACATGCCCATATGATGCACTTACCCATTGGTTCAGACAAATGAATAGAATAATAGCCTTTAACGATGGGGATTAAGACTCGTCTCCCCAACAATTGCATTTTGTAAAATTCTTTAGAATTGCACGAAAATATTCTTAGATTTCTCGAAAAAATCACTTCAAAATTCGTATTGGTAAAATTTTGCAAATTCAATATTGTCAGAAAAAACAATATTGCAAATTCCGAGAAGTGCTTTAGTTTGATTTCGTTTTTTCTATAAAGAACTATCTCTTCATAAAAAAATACGGTGTTAAAAACTTGATACACTCATCGTCTATATTTAGACAATATGTGCTTGCGTGTCATTGACAAATGGAAGAGTTATGCAAATGCAGTCAACCTTAAGAAGTAAACCAGAAGGAACTTGGTGACATTGCTGAAAATTAATACACTAACTTTTATAAAAATACTACATATTTCGAGAGCCTCGATATTCTTAAGAAATTTTTCGTTTTGAGCCTGAACAAATTCAAAAAGAATTCTTACTTTTTTCAAATCTGATTCCACTTACAGGCTCACTGATTGGCTAACACTGTTTGACAGATGGCTTAAGCCACTTAATGTCAGTCGATTGCCTCCAACGTATCGAAGAACGGAAAGCAGAAAGTATCGTTCTTATTTTTTGCAAATAAGGTAAGGTTTTACGAGATCACAAATTGTGGTTAGGAAATTGATTTTATTGCACCTTGATTTGCTCGCAGGGCTGTTGTTCTCCAAGCCATTCTATTAAACAGCAACCCATAAGCGCAAATGACTGGATAGGCCATAAATTGGAAATATCCATGTAAAGGAGAAGTGTTAACATGGGTCTTAGTTTCATGGATGTTTGAATGCAGACTCAATAGCAGGCTTCTGGCATTTTTGTTTTTATGATGCATTTTGTTAACATCGCGGTGATCAGAGCAGCTATATTAGTTGGTAGTAACAAATACAATAAAAACGAATTTATGTAAATTATTTTGCTTTCATACTCCTGACCTGATAGGCCAGATCAAAAAACAAATTTGAATAATTCTAAGACATCATAGTTCATGAATGAAACTGCATACTTAAATTCTTATGGAATTCATTGCTTTGTACTGCTAAAGCCTGCTAGGCCAATCAAATTATTTGCAAAGCGAGGTTTAGACGAAAATCGATCCAGTCTTTTTATCATATTGAAAGAAATTGGTCATTGCTTTAGAACATTTTCAGGCAAAGCAAATGGCCTTAACTTCATTTCACTAACATGGAATATGATTTTGACATGGTTTTCCTATCCAACTAGGCTACAAATATCACAGGCTACATAGATGGGGCGTATATACACTCATAGTAAGGGGTTAACGGCTATGGCAGTCAAAGGGGATTAAAGGAGAGCAAAGTGGCGCTCTTTGAATTACATTGGACTTGAAATTATTGAATGTTTTCTAAAACAACAGCAATGCCTTGACCACCTCCAATACACGCAGAACCAATTGCATATTTTTCACCTCTCCTTCGCAGCTCATGTACCAAGTGCCCCGTAATCCTTCCACCCGAAGCAGCCAATGGATGTCCAAGGGCGATTGCGCCACCACTGACGTTGGTTATTTCCATGTCCAGAGAAAGCTCACGTGCGACACCGAGAAACTGGGGTGCGAATGCTTCATTCACCTTAAATAAAATAACCATATATCCTTAACTGTGGAAGATTTCCTGGACCCTGCACACTTAAGAATGACTCCAGCTTGCTCTTGTTTTTTTTGAAGTTTTTGCTTAATACACGCCCAGACCAAGAAAAGTCCATCAAACAAAAACAAACGCAGAACTTACTTCTGCTTAGCCTCACTCGGTCAAAAACTAAATCTGTTTTTAATCAATCAGCGTGTTGGTATCTTTTACTTACACAAGAGTCCTAGATTGGTTGATTCGAGCTCAAATAGAATCTAAAATGGCACAAATACCTAGAGACATAATGGCACATAACTAGAAGCAGTTTCGTACCTGTTTAGATTATTCGGTGACTTTACAGCGCGAGTGACGAGACATGCAATAACAAAGTCAGATGCGCTACAGACATGCTCATACAACAAGTTTTCAACATTTTCGAGCACGTGGTCCTGTCCTATTGTAAACCTACAATCAACTTTTAGCGGCTTTATGTCTAATAAAATGCTTCTGAATGTTTGAGGTGGCCTGGCATGACGTATCTTGATGAAATAACAGTACTTAAGTTGCTTAAGGAAGGAAAGTCGCAGTTAAGAGCAACCATCGAGCAACAGACTGAGGCTTTAGACAGCTTAGCGCAATGAGACTGCAAAGCGCAGCTTTTTTACAAAAAGGACGCTTTAGTTGTGTTGGAGATGAAGAGAATTCTAAATATTCAAATTCCTTGACAAAGAAAACAGCTGTACCAGATTAATACATACCTCAACTAGAGCCATGTCCTTGAGTTCCAAATTGGCTGCTTTCAAGGCCTTTCTAACGGCTGGTGCGGGCCCAATACCCATAATTGAAGGATCGACACCAGCTATTCCGTAGGATACAAGCCTGGCAAGAGGGGTAAGGTTGTGCTTGGCACAGGCCTCTTCACTAGCAAGAATCAACGCACATGCTCCATCAGATATTCCCTACCAAGGAAGAGAAAACTGAGAGTAAATGGAAAGTTGAAGGTCAAAAGCAGACGAAGAGAAATTAATTTTTAGATAACATATTTCCAGAGCCACCGAGAGGTTTCGGAAGCCCTGGGGCAAAACCGAAAGACGAGGCCTAGCAGAAATTGTTTGCGATCATGCCCTTTAGATTAGCTTAAAATGCATTTCAGAATATTTCTTACAGTCATTTCTTGCAGTCATTTCTTGCAGTCATTTCTTGCAGTCATTTCTTGCAGTAATTTCTTGCAGTCATTTCTTGCAGTCATTTCTTGCAGTCATTTTATGCAGTCATTTCTTGCAGTCATTTCTAGCAATCATTTCTTGCAGTCATTTCTTGCAGTCATTTCTTGCAGTCATTTCTAGCAATCACTTCTTGCAGTCATTTCTTGCAGTCATTTCTTGCAGTCATTTCTTGCAGTCATTTCTTGCAGTCATTTTATGCAGTCATTTCTTGCAGTCATTTCTAGCAATCTTTTCTTGCAATCATTTCTTGCAATCATTTCTTGCAGTCATTTCTTGCAGTCATTTCTTGCAGTCATTTCTTGCAGTCATTTCTAGCAATCATTTCTTGCAGTCATTTCTTGCACTCATTTCTTGCAGTCATTTTATGCAGTCATTTCTTGCAGTCATTTCTAGCAAACATTTCTTGCAGTCATTTCTTGCAGTCATTTCTTGCAGTCATCTCTTGCAGTCATTTCTTGCAGTCATTTTATGCAGGCATTTCTTGCAGTCATTTCTAGCAATCATTTCTTGCAGTCATTTCTTGCAGTCATTTCTTGCAGTCATTTCTAGCAATCATTTCTTGCAGTCATTTCTTGCAGTCATTTCTTGCAGTCATTTTATGCAGTCATTTCTTGCAGTCATTTTATGCAGTCATTTCTTGCAGTCATTTTATGCAGTCATTTCTTGCAGTCATTTCTAGCAATCATTTCTTGCAGTCATTTCTTGCAGTCATTTCTTGCAGTCATTTCTTGCAGTCATTTTATGCAGTAATTTCTAGCAATCATTTCTTGCAGTCATTTCTTGCAGTCATTTCTAGCAATCATTTCTTGCAATCGTTTAGAACGTTTTACTATTTTAGGCATACTTTTGCTATGTTTGATAAATTCCATTCTTAAAATGCAATTCATTACTTTATGAGGCCCAATTGCTCTCGAGTCCTGGGGCAATTTGCCCCCTTGCCCCCCTCTCGGTGGCCCAGCATATCTCCTCAATGCCAGCACATGGTGTGTATATCTGAAACTTTAAAAAAGTGAGCAAGCAAGAAAGCAAGATTTATTTGTTAATGCAGGCTAGAGTTCAAACATCTAATAGCTTGTTTGGTTCGCGGCTCATGCCCCTAGGTTGATATTCTGGAACAAATACCCTGGGTGCTCATAAGCAGACCTTAAATGGATTGATAGCTGAGTTTGCTGGAGGCATGATGAAGTGGAAAGTGGCCTCGACAGGACTTCGAACACAAAACATTCAGATCATAAGCTGAATGCCTTGACTACTTATCCACACCACCACGCAAGTTAAGGGTTACAAGCTAAGCACCATAAACCAATATATCAGAACTTTACCATACCCAGTCGCAATTCTAGCCCTTTAGTTTTCCAACATGCACATTTGGCTTGTTGAGACTACCAGTATATAGTGTTCTATTTTATCAGATTAATCTTGTGCTACAGAATACTTTTAAATGCATCATTATTGCTGCAAACTCCCTAACATCAGCATCAACTTCAGTTTACATTGTTTTTGTCATAAGCTACATTAGTTTAGTTACATCTTTCTTATATTTTCGCTTAAAGTACTTTATGTATTGGTCATAGGGTAGCCATTGTCTCTTGCTCTCTACGGTACCGTTCATGTAGTGTAATATAGTAATTTCTTAGGTAAAGTAAAATGAAATGTATGTTTTGTAATTATTTGTATGAATAAATAAAAAAAGATAAATCAACACAACAATTCACTTCTCAGCTTCAATTCAATTCAATTCAATTCAATTCACTTCACAGCTTCAAATTTTCTAAAATCCAAAAGTGATTATTAGGGTAACCAAAGACCAAAGGATTCATTCCAAAGCTTTCCATATTTCTAAAAAAGTGACTTACAGAAGCATTGCCAGCAGTAACTGTGCCGTTCTTCTTGAAAACTGGTGGGAGCTTTGATAATCCTTCGAGTGTAGTTGCTGGTTTTGGGTGTTCATCAACATCAAAGATTTGATCTCCTTTTCTTGTTTTTAAAGTAACTGGTGCAATTTCTTCCTTAAAGTGGCCCTTTTCTTGAGCTAGAAAGGGGATCAAGCATTGAAAACCAGAATACAACAAAGAACCAAAACAATTTAGAAAAAGAAAGGATATATACTTGAAGGAGCAGTAAAACATCGCAGGGTGGTGGAAATTCTGAATAAAACGTAACAACTTACAATCTTGTGGTCCAAGTAACCATTATTGCTACAGAATAATCCGGTTATTATGTATGTTAAGGGACTGGCAGATTAAGTATAAAGCTGGTTATATTTTCATTGCGTAGCTGATGTAAAAATTACGCAGCTGAACCATTGCATAAAATTTTAATGTAACAGGAGTATTGATGATGCAACCTCGTTTCTGTGTTAATGCATTGTGCTTTCAGTCAGTTGTTAACCTCTATACGAACAAGATGTGTATCTCTTTTTGTGCAACTTTTTATCAAATAAAGTTTTAAGAAATTTAAATGACATGACTCTTCTCATTCAAATGTTTGTACAGTGGCAACGTAGCTATCCAGTGGAGGTAAGCATTTTGCTAAGTGAAAGGTGTACAGTCCTTAAGGAAATTTTAACAAGGGCCATGAACTGCCCGTCTGGATGAGCTTAAAAGGGCAATCCCCGTCCAACATTATTTGTAAAGGGAGGTATTGAGGGCCTGAGGGGGTATTAGGGTATCATCTAGCCACAACTGCCTTTGGTGGAAATGCACAAATCCTTTGGTTTTCCCATTGCATAATTACTGCAAATAAGTAAACGTTTTCATGCAATCGACACTTCACTCATAGCGATTGACAGGAGCAAACTTTTTGGTAAATGCTCTTCTTTTCTCTTGCGGGCGAGGCATGTTTTTGCCAGGGTGGTCAATAGCCTGTGCCAATAATTAAGTAATGGCTTTGGCAGGGGCAATCACCCCCTTAAACAAAAAGTCTGAAGATGTTTGTTTCTTGTTTTGTTTACTTCGTATTATTTTTCTTTAAAATATATCATTATCTAATAGTTTTTTTTTGGAAGGCAATACCCAGTTTTGCACAGCAAAATCCACTCACCCCTACCCCCTGCCCAAAAGAAAAATTAGCTACTTAACAAAGAAAAAAAGCATCAAGGACACCAGGCAGTAAACAGTTGTACTCAAGGTAATAGTTACCATTTGCCCATCTTTGCTGAGATTGTATAGCAAACTCATCACAGTCTAGCCTGGTAACTCCATACATCTCTGCCAAGTTTTCAGCTGTTATTGCCATTGGTAACTTGATATGTTCATCTGTTAGTCCAGCCCAAAGTGTGTCTTCCATCTATGGAAAACCACTTTACTTACAACACTCGTGTAAGAGAAAGAACAGTACAAAATGTTGTTAATTCCACGATAAGACTGTATTAAGCTGCATTTCTTAACCTCATTGTAAACCTATAATGCTTTCACTTTTTTAACTTTATCCTTCCTTACTCAATACATTGGTCATTAAAAAGGTTCCTTTGGAGATATTGACTGTTGTAATGTTTAAAAACAGTGTTTAGAAAAAAGAGTAGGCACACTGTTGAAATCAATAGACCAAGAAAGGCAAAATAAACCTTCATGCAACCAAAAGAAAAATGGGATTATGGAAACACCCCGTATTTTAAAATATAAGCAGAATATTTATCTGGGGTTGTTTACAGACACAGAATGGTAATGAAATTTTAGAGGCAAAAGCTCAACTGCTATCATACATGTCTTAATTAGACCTTCCATTTTGTGAGAAAGATAGCCCTGTAATCTATCAATTAATGACTAATACTCACAAACTAATATATAAATAAAATAAAACTTAAATATGTCAATGATATATTTACCCTTGGTTCAGATCCAAGCTTTGTTCCAAATCTTGTTCCTCTAACTGCATATGGTGCCTGACTCATGCTTTCAGAACCACCAACTAATGCAACACTTGCATCACCTAGCAATATGTCCTACAAAAAGGGAATTCATTTTTTCATAAAGTCAACCATTTACCCTACAAAAATTATAAAGAAATTAATTCTACAAATCATTAATTTGTAGCACTAATTCCAAATATTCTAACAGGGACCACGCCACCGGGGGGCCAGAGGAGCCATGCCCCCCCCCCACTTTTTGGTAAGCAAAAATACCTACAAAGAGGCCCTGTTTTGAAGCACTAAATTCAAGTTCGATGAATAGCACTTGGCCCCTCCACTTTGAAATCATTGGCGTGGGCCTGTCTAACTTATGCTTGTACCGATAGACAGTAACTTCCCTTAAAAACTTGCATGGCCTAGCAATGAACAATAAATTTCTATGCTGATACCAAGATTTTGGACATCTAAACTTGAGGTTGAGGGTATCTTACGAAGAAGTTCTTCTGAGAAACCTGATAGAAATTGATAATGGATATCAACGATCATAGGAAAGGGCTATAGACAGGGAATTACACTTAGACATGAATTTAAGTCATAGGAGACATAATGATCTTGTGTAGGCTGTAAGAGGAAGAGAAAGCAAAAGCAAAGCAATAATGAATGCCCTTGGGAATTATACTGACTTGAAAAGTTTTTAAATTTTAGAAGAAATCAAGAGATACAAACACAGCTAAAGGCAAAATATTTCCCCAACTGAGTTAAGTACTTCTGGGAGTTATTGGTAGGGGAGGAAGAGAAGCACCTACTTCCATTGCCCTATCACTAGAATTTAGGGGTAATGCCCCTCCTCATAGGTTTCAATAGTCCATAGTTACAACTCACTTTCCATGCTCTCTATAGGAGCCTTAAAAAACTGCATTGTTTCTTACCTGAGCACCACTGACAATTGACTGGAAAGATGAGCCACACAGACGGTTTACAGTGAGAGCTGGTGTTTCTATAGGAATATTTGCGCGAAGACCAACGTGTCTTGCTATATAGGCAGCATCAGTTGAGCTCTAAAAATGTGTAGAGATGTTATGACATAAAAATTATGCAATCCACTTTATCAAAAATATCATAATAAAACCCAATAAATTCTTCACTTATTCATTGACTTGATAACTTAACCCGTATCTACTAAAGGGCTAGTGAAATACATTCATATTATGAGAATAATAATGATCTCTCTGCTGTTTTTCATAGTGTTGTGAGGGTTCATTCTAAGTACCCCCCTCCCCTCCTAGTTTGATGCCAAAGTCCCCAAAATTAAAACATTAGCTTAACTTTGCTCCATTTTAAAATATTCTGAAAACCATTTAAATGAAGAACGCCTACCTGAATGACATTGCCAAACACAACACTGTCCACGATGCTTGGATCAACTTTACCGGCCTCAAGAGCAGCGACAGAGGCCATGTATCCCATGGTCGTTGCTGTTGTATCCTTTAGCTTCCCACCAAATGTTCCAAAAGGAGTTCGCTTTGCAGCAACGATGAATACTGCCCTTGAACATGCCATTATTGCAAATAAGTAAAGACTAAATAAAAACGGTTGTGGAGACACAAATCTGATGAATTAGAGAGGTCTGTGAGGGGTTCAAAGTCCAGGAATAGATGTGCGGAGTGACAACGAGGTTACCTGATGGGAAGATTACGGCGGGAAAAATCGGACCCAGAAAGTTTTTACATAAAATCTTTCTGGCTACAGTTAAATCACCGTTTCACAACAAGCTTTCATTTTTCAAGTTTCAAAAAAGCATAAAAACTAATTCCTACAAATTTTGTGCTTGGTAAAAGTGGAATTTGTAGAAGCTATCAACAAGATCATGAAATAATAACGCACTGAAACCGTTACTTTTATCTATAAAGGGTCCTAGAAGAGATTATTTTAACTTCTTTCTATTTGTATGCAAAAAATGTTTTTGTTTTATTCTTTATAATATTATAAGTATTTTTAATAATGTTATTGTAATAATGTTGATTGGGTATGCATGAAAACCAAAATTGACAAAATGAGTAGGAATTGTATAAAATGGCGAATTCTGCGTGGTCACAATCATCTTTATGTTATGTAGAATACTATATCGATGCCATTCAATATATGTATTCTGGGATTATTCAAAAGTTCCAGCTTAAGTCTTAAGATTTTCAATTTTTCTAAAAATGTCCGCAAACGGGCTAGTTCGACTTTTCGTCTCCGATGAGATTGTTTGGGGCCATGTAGGTATTTGGTCTACAGTATAATCCGGTTATAACGTACTTTAAGGTACCGGCGGATTTAGTACGTTGTATCCGAAGTCCGTTGTAACCGGGGTTTAGAAGAATTCGACTAAAAAACCAAGTTACAAACACATTAACTATTTATCATCCATACTTTCAAGAAAACTATCAGCTATAGGTTACATGGTTTGAAAAGTATTGAATTCTAGGCAATTGTTTCTTGGGTGACCTCATTCTCCCAGACTGACTTTGACCAGCGCAAGCACTCCAAAATATTCACAGTGATATCATCTGAGTTTTTTTCTTCAATTGCTCTGATGAGTTTTGACAGCAGGCGCTTGCGGTAGAAAATTTTAAGGTTTTTGATGATGCCCATGCTATATGGCTGTAGTCGGCTGGTACAGTTTGGGGGCAAATACTCCAACTGGATTGATTGAGTTTTGTGGCAATGTGTTGGTCGTGTGCACTACAATTGTCGACAATAAGGAGCACCTTTCTTCCTTCCTTTGAAAATTTTCTTTCGAGGTTCAGCACATTTCCATTCTATAAATATAGCCAAGATAAAATAATGAACTTATTTTATCTTGATATAGCAGATATCATCCATGCTTTTCTGTTGGATTTATACTCAACTGGAAGATGTCTTACATTCTTGAAGCAACGTGGCTTAGCTGATTTACCAATTGCTAGCAGAGGTAGCTTCTCCGAGCCATCCATGCTTGCTGCGATCATCAGAGTTATTTGCTCCTTACTTCTCTTACCACCATGACAATTATCGCCTTTGTATGTATAGGTCCTATCAGGAAGCATCTTAAAAAAAGGTCCTGTTTCATCTGCATTAAATACATCCTTTGGGTCATATTCTTCCAGCAGACTGGGTAGTTTGTTGCAAAGCCAATCATCAACAATAACTTTTGATACTGAGTTTGCTTCACCACTTACTATACGAAATGTTATTGCTCTTCTTCTTTTGAATCGGTCAAGCCAACCATCGCTGCATTGGAAACCCTCGTGGCCAAGTTCTGTGGCTAATTCATTTGCTTTCTGTTTAAGCAGAGGTCCGCCAACGGCGGCCCCATGTGATTTAGCCTGTTTCAGCCACAAAAGTAAGGCATCCTCAATTTAATCAAATGTCGCCTTTCGTAGCCTCTTGGTGTCATTGCTAGGAACGTAAATATTGAGGGGTGTGGGGGAGGTGTGACACCCCCCAATCTTTCATCCAGTCGGAAAATTTGAGGACAGTCGGAAAATTTGAAGCGGTTGGTATAAAGCTAGGTTAATCAGAGAAAATTTGAATTATTTGTGAAAATTGAAGTTTTGACTCAAATGACCTTGTGAACTGTAGCTCAAAGAGAAGCATAAGAAAAGCATAAGTTCAAAAGAAAATAGTTGCTTGGTAGAAGGCAGTCCTAAAAAGAATGAGAGGCGACGCAATACAGAAAAGTTTTGTATGAAAATGCAAGTAATTTCAACTACATTCGTCATACTTGGGATAGTGTGATAATCATTCCATCAAATTGCTTCTAAAACGGGATACGAAATATAATTTTTTAAATAATATTTATTAGTAATGCTTAAAGAAGCGCAGTACATTTCCCATGATTTGTCAAGAACTTTCTCCGTTCAAGATCGACCTATGAAACCATAGATAATAAAAAGGAGGTCTCCTTTCTATTATCTATGATGAAACATAGGCGGCGCCAGGTGAAGAGCTAGAGGCTTCAGCCCCCCCCCCCCCTCCTCTTTTTTGCAAAAATGTATCTTTAAGCAAATAAAAAGAGTAAAGGAAAGATATAAAGAAAAGAATAATCCAACAAATCCTTTAGTTGCTTAATTTCCAAGGAATACGCCGAGGTCTATGGGGCCTCATAAAGTAATGAATTCAATTTTAAGACTTGAATTAATCAAACGTAATAAGAGTTTGCCTTGAAAATAACAAAATGCTTTAAACGACTGCAAGAAAATACCTGCAAGAATAATTCTGAAATGTATTTTAAGCTAATCTAAAAAGCGTGGTCGTGAAAATTTTCTGCTCGCTTCGCTCGCAGGGAAGCCACTTCTTTAAAATATCCCTAAGGCCTCCGCCAACCTCCCGCCGGCCCCTTCAAACGTACCGGTAGCATAATGAGTGCCCCATAAAATCATAAAATAATCGGCATAATATATCGTGAAGCTTTTTAATGCGTTTTTCAAAAGATGGTTCTTTAGTCTAATAATTCTATCAATTCGAGCACCCCCGCCCCCCCCCCACTTTGAATTTCTTGGCACCGCCCCTGTGAAAGACTAAAGGACCTCATGATTCCTACTTGCGAGAAAGACATTTTGAACAACGTAAATTTAGATAAGTTAGTGGAGAAATGGACAAGTTGTAGAAGGAGAAAAATTAAACCCTGATTTTTGGACTACGTATGTTTTGATGCACTAATTAAACTAACAGTCTTTATGCTCGATCTTCCAAATTTACGAAATCTAGAAACTTTATCATACAGCTGAATAAATATTTACGAGGCAATATATAAGGTTTTGTTGCTTAAGACTATTAAAGTTTAGGCCCTCATACAAAATTAGAATTGACCTTTGTCAGTCGGAAATTTTGAGCCCTTCACCCCCCAAAAAATATCTGCCAATTTACGTCCCTGGTCATTGCCAAAAGTGTGATTTTTTGCCAAGTATTTCCCTCTCTCTTTCCAAATCGTGTTGACCGTAGATTTACCGAGGCCAAATTCTCTCGTGATTTCGATTTGAGTTTTATGTTTTGATTCAATGACGTCGATGATGGTTCGTTTCGTTTCTAAACTTACTGCTTTCCGCTTTCGAATATCCATTTTTTGCTAACTTATCGATACATCGATAATCTAAAGTAAATGAGAATCCGCTAAATATACCTACAACAAATACACCGTCAACAATGCAGTATTTTCTCATGTTGATTGTATCATTGTGAATTAGAATCAATAGACTAACCAAACCAAACAATCGCCCAGGTGGTCGAGATGTCCTATGACGGAAAACATCTTGACATAAAAATAGATAAATGACGCACCACAATTAATGTTAAACAAAGAAGACACACGAAGTACGTTGTATCCAATGGAATTTGTTTAGAAGGGTCGAAAAAGGTGGTACGCTATATCCGAAAGTACGTTTTAAACGAGTACGTTACAAGCGGGACTATACTGTATTAAAGACGTCACTTAGCGACCAGTCCATAGAATCCTTAATATGACGTCAAAATTGGGGAATCAAAAACCGATACATCGATAATAAAAACTGCGAGATTCCATTGAGATGTTCAATAATTATTCTGTACTGCCGTACTGTTTAGAGCAATTTTCAAACAATAGGCTGGTGCAAGAATGCGAAAATGGAAAGAACATTCAGTTGCTGCTACTTCTGAGTGAAAAAGTCAAAGAAAAGCCAGGTAAAGTCGAACAGGATCGTAACAACAAGAAAAGCGAAAGCAAATGCGAATCTCTGCAACCATGGAAGGTAAACATAAGGCAGCTAACCATCTATAATATAATATCTTGACTGTCTTTATAAACATTTTATTTTGTTGGGATTGGTTTAGTGGACCAAGGCTGTGGAGAAAGCTGTAGGGTTGGGTATAGCTTTCTGTTATCGCAAGGGAAAGTGCAAGAAAATTTTAAAAACAATGGCAGGGATATTTTGCGAAGACGATACTTTTTTGCCACGACATTTTCAGAACATATCGATAATAATCAATACCTAGGTAACAAGGAAAAAAGCAGCAGGAATTTACTTTGATGTATACACGAAAGATGACAAACGGAAAATATGGTTTGATTATTCAGTGAATCTCTGCGTCGTCTCTTTCCCATTTTTAGGTAGGTTTTTATTAAATTCTGTGAACAAGTGAAATCCATAGATATTCTAGGACGACTCGTGATTATTTTAGAAATAGGCGGACTAACAATTCGCTGTGCGCCATTTTTAATTAGAATGTCTCTAAAAAGCTTCTTTTCATGGCAACTTGATGATTATCAGCTAAAACATATTTGCAAAACACAAGAAATTACCAGAAGTTAACACCATAAGCAAACGACAATTCTTACCATCAACTGTCCAATCTTTTGAAAAAGGTTAGTTGATGACATCTTTAAGTCGTTTCTAGGATGAACGTTCGCAAAAGCCATAGCGTTTAGTTATACATCTTCTGGACTCGATCCTTACCCCAACATCTAACCATAAATTTATTGCACAGGTCTGTTCCGACAATACATCACATAAAATCGATTTGCTGGCTGATGATGTCATCAACATACAGAGGCAGTTAAGGCGCTCTAACAGAATTGTCAATGATGTAACGGGTACATTTGGTCAGCAAAACCCAAAAGGTTGCAGTCAAAATTGGATTTCTGAGGAAAAAGCATCGAAAAGCAGAACACAGAGCGGCAACAACAATCAAGTCAAAATAGAAACAAAGAAAGAACGTTACTGTGGTGAGTTCAAACATTGTTCATCACCGGAAGAGCATATTAAAAGGTAAGCAGTTGGTGTCTTGCCAAGTTGAGTGGTGCAAAGTAAAATTAAGTTATTAGAGCATCTTCACTGGAATGACGTTTATATAGGAGAAAAAGGTTCATTTTTATTTAACAAATAAATAAGAATTTTCTTCGAAAAATAGAAGCTTTTAATATTTTCCGATAAAAAATAAATATTATCTTTGATTCCTATAAAAGATTGAAATACGCTAGCATTCAATTTCATAGTACTTAGTGATCAAATGCAAAAAAAGATAAAGGTAATGGTAAGAAAGCAATAAAAAATTCATATGAGAATTTATAAACAACAGAAAGCTTTGGCATGTTGCAAATAATGTTTGCTTTTCAAAGCCATTATCTCTTAATGTAAGCGTTGTTATATCTACATTTTGAGCAACCTATTTATTTTCAGTATGTTTAGTCGTACTCCTGCAAGAAGAAGAAGTTTTAGCAGAAGGAGAGGAATAGTAATTCACGAATAAACCTATATAATACAGTAATATTGCATCAATTTCAGTTATCGTAAAGACGTGACGTTCAAAATTCTGAAAGAGAGCATCGAATTGGTGACAAAAGACAGAAGAATAAGCACCACCAAAGACACGTGTGCCCCAGTATGTTGTTCTCAGGTTTTGACAAAAATAAAGGCAATGAAAAGAAACCAAAAATGCATATCAAAAGCAAGTTTTGTATGCTACAATTTGAATTTCGAGGAGAGAAATGGACTTAAAGAAGAACTAGGCTGTCTCCGAGTTAATACCATTGATGGTATAAATGAGGGAGCAAAAAGGATTGATGAAAAAGAAGAAACTAGAAGTTATAATATTCCGAGCATAACACTGCCTTCTTTGAAAGAGATCCTAGAATATCCATTGGTAAGTCTGAGGCTTTGGTTTGTCAAAAGATACGAACAATGATAGGTAATGACGATTACACTGAAAAAGTCTGTTAGGTAGTGATCGATGACGTATATACCGATACACACGCATTGGTTTATAGAACAGGACAATTCAAAATTGCAACTTCTAGTATCATAAGGGGACTCTTTTTTATGTTGATATGTGTGGTTTATAGCAAAAGATCCGGAAAGAGAACTTTGAGGTTAGCCAAGGATGCAGTTAGTCATAAAAGCTCAATTTTGTATCCTAACACGACAGCAGTTTAAATAAAACAAGATTGTTTATAGGGAAACGAGAAAGAACCGTAACATAATATAAAGAGGAAATAAACAAATAAACATTTTGCGTAGTACATATTAACTTGTTAAAATTTATCAAGCATTTATCAATATTTAAAAATTTGGTTTGAAAAATAGTTCATTTTCCATCTTTCCATCCATCTTATCGAACATCTCTTACTCTCCAACATTTGAATTCTGAGCAATGGCTCATTTGTTTTCTTTTCTTCATTTTCTATTTTATCCATGACTCAGTTTCTAAGCTAAATTATGTTATGTCGCAGGGCAAGAAATCATGGGAAGAAAAGTCGACATCATCTGGGCGTTTGCAAATTCACAATCGAAGAAAAAAGAAAACAAGAAGAAGGATTTCTTGTACTGCAACCAGAAAAACTACAAATGCTAGTGATATCTCTTGTAAAAAGAATTACCAAGCTAACTTGCGAGAAAGGCAAAGTAAACGTGGTAAAGAATTTCTAAATTATTTAAGGCCTAAGCTCCCGCAAGCAGCAATGCCAAGAAGAGAGAGGAATTTTTATGCATGCATTGTGCCAATGAGTAACTGCAAATGAGATGTTTATTTTTCATGACAGTATTGACATTGATGATTTGAAAATCGAAAAACGTCTTTTTTCTACTAATCCCTAATTAAACATGAATCTGATATGGCAAAGTGGGTTCACATCAGCCTATCTTTTGCATGTACTAGGCCTTTAGCTGCTTGTATACCCAAAATAACAAAAATATGCACTTGATGCCAAAAATGATGTAATACCTATTAGGGATGTACCGGATATCCGGTAGACCGGATAATCCGGCGCCGGATCGCTGATTTTTTGAAAATCCGGTTCCGGCCGGATTTGTTTCCGAAATCCGGCCAGTTGCCGGATTTTCCAGAACTTTAATCAAAACTAAGAAAATTTGGAAAACCAAGCATTTTCCAGAACTAAACAATATCGACGATAAAACAAGCGCTTTGAAAACAGATTTGAAATGAAAGTGCTCGTCATCACGAAACAGGAAGACTGGATGATATAATTCACAAATTTGGTCCAGGGTTGCCAGATCGGCTTTTTAGGCCAAATTTTTCATTTTTGGTTTTTAGACTTAGATGCCTGGAAAAATTGTTTTTTGCTTACTACTTTAATTTGACCTTGTTGGCCTTTTCAGCAGACGTCCAAAATTAATAAGTAATTACTACAATAGAATAATTAGTAGTTAACTACAAAGTGTTGACCAAATTTCAAATTTTATCACCTAACCTAAATATTATCTTGATATTAGCAAAGGGTTTTGGAAAAAAAGTAAGATTCTTATCAAAGTTAAGAAATTATCTAACAGGCACAAGCGTAGAAATATAACCAGTGCCTGCTCGATGGATTCTTGAGAGAGTTTTTGATTTGGCCTTTTTATGAGCATTTTGGCTTAAATTGCTCACCAGTCTAGCCTTCGTTTGTAAATTCAATCTGGCAACCCTGAATAGGTCTCTTTGATCTTCTTGCTATACATTTTTTCGCAAAGTGGCTCAAAACTTTTTATTAATGAAAATTCTATAAATGATCAGATTATCCGGTAGAATCCGGCCGGATATTCCACAAAGAAATCCGGTAAATCCGGTTCTGGCCGGATTCTGAAAATCCTGATCCGGTACACCCCTAATACCTATCTGCAATGTATTTTCTCTCTACTCATTAACTACTGCCTTCTTTGTACTCCTATTAAAATCTTTAATGTCTTGGGAAAAAAGAAAAACTTTCATCTTAGATAGACAGCCCTTTAGCATTAAAGACAGGAAGCTAAAATCTTCGGCCACTTCTCCACAAAACATAGGCTTTGCAAATGAACTGCTAGATTTTTGGAAATGAGATGGTTGTAATTCATAAAAATTAGACTTGGCAATTTTTAATTTGGAAATAAAAACATGCCAATTGAAACTTGGCACTTTTAGGAAAAACTGTTCTCCTTCAGAATATTTGTTTTGAAACAAGCTTTGATATGAAATAGCTAAACATTGAATTATGTGATAGCATAAATATTATGATTGTAGAGCTGTCACGTCTTAATTAAGATTTTGGGAGGTCTTTTATAAAGGTCCAAAAAAGGATTATTCAAGACATCAACAGGTTGAAACTTGGAAACATGATTTTTTTTCTATTTAAAGTACTTTAGAAATATTTATTCACACAAAACAAATAAAGTACATGAAAAATATTTATTGACATTATATACAGTAATTATATACAAGTAACAATATTTGCATAAAATTCCCACATTACCTAAGCTAATGATCTTTAATTTAAATGACATTTTAAAAGTAGTTCCAAAACCAATCAAATGTCTTAAAATAGGAAAACATCTCAGGCAGAGAGATCACTATTTTTCTTGAGTGGGTACTAATGCGTAGAAGCTTGGGGGTAAAATTGGACTTTAGATTTTCCTTAAAGAGCAATCTGTATAATTTGGCAATCAAATCAAATCTACAATGAGGTCAGTCATAGAAATATATCCCAGAAAATAGTTGATATTGCTCATAAAACATTATCCGCTTGCCCTAATAGTTTCTTCTTGCTACAGCCCTTTAATGTAACTAAAATGCCCAATAAGGAAGAATAAAAACCAAAATCCTCATAGTTCTTTGCATCACAGCACCATGTTTTCATATTCCACTTTGTAAATATCAGGAATCATAACTGAAGAAGGAATGCAATGAAAAATAATAAGGACAATGCCTTGGAAAAATACTTGGATTCTACAAAATACATTTTTCATTGGTTTCGAAAGATAATGTATTATGCAAATATCAATATGAGCAAATTTAACTCACAGGATTCTTGGCCATTAATGCTACCTGTTTGCACTGCAAAGAGACGGAGAGAGACCAATTATGAAAAACTATACAAAGAATGTGTTTCTACACAGTTTAGCAAATTGGACACTCCAGCATCATATATGGAGATTCATCAAAAACCTTTTATATTCTATAGCTTGTTTATAAATATGTACCTCTAAACTCACCTGCAGGACATGAAATCATCTCAACTGAATTATTTCCGTACAATTTATGTTCATAATCAATAAGCTGGCTCCAAAATCCTAGATTTGGTCTGATTATTTTGCGCTTTGACTTCACGAATGAATGGGCATCCTTTAGTGTCATGTTTTTGTATTTCATTAGATATCCTAGCACAAGACTTGCAGACCTAAATAAAAAAACATTTTAATAGGAAACACCAATATAAAGATTAAAAATATTAAAAGAATTTGAATGCTCCTACAGTTGATATTGCTTGTAGGAACCTCATATTAAGTCACATCCAGGTAACAGTGATATAAAATTTTGATCCAAATAAGCAAAACTAATATTTTATGCCCTGTTTATAGTCACATAGTACCACATATTGTCCACTCTGTCACCTTAACTTAAGTCTACAGAATTGTCTACAAAAATATCTACAGTTGTGTTCGAATAATTTTGTAGTAAAGAAATTGAGCAAGATAAATGGAATTTGATGGTTTATTCTAATAAATTCCAAGTTATATTACTTCTACCAAAATGAAAAATGTTTATCATAAAAACAGCCTCTAAAATTGTTTACCAAATAAACAACCTCTAAAATGTAACATTAGATTCACTTGATCAATCTGAATCAGACATTATTTCATATGGTTGAATGGAAATAGAAAGAGGTTTAGAGCGGGTTTTGTACATGAGCAGTCACAGGAAAGGTTACAAGTGCTTGTGAGATAGGAAAGAAGTGCTCATGAATCTACCGAACTTAGTTTTTAACAAAATATCAAAAACCTCTTGACACAATAGTTAGGGAGGAAACAGCGACCCTTAATTTGATCTCTACACATCTAAGAAATTCCAATTGGTTTGCTAACAATGCATATATTAGCAGATGTGACATAAAACACTTAATGCCTGTTTAAAGTTATAAATTGAAAGTAATCATTATAAATATATTTTTTTAGAATGCAGGAACCAATAAATGAAACAGTCACAAAAAACAATCAAACTGATCAACAGACTGCAGAAAAACTAGAAACTTATATTGATAATACAAAAAAATAAAGGAGAACAACCATTTTTATCAGTTCCCTTAGAATCAAGAATTTGAATTTGATAAATATGTGTCTACTTTAGATTTGGCTCCTAATCAACTTTTCAAACTCACTTTCGTCAGAAATTTAACAGTTTACAATCTTGTTTCAAAATTTAAACACAAACCTACTTATTCCTGCTGCACAATGGACAAGAACAGCATTCTTTGAAATCATTGCTTCCTCTGTCAACACAAATTAAAGATTAAAGTCTAAATTGAAACATTCAAATACTGCACTGTGCTTATTTTCTTTAGCAAGCTGAGATAAACTTTTAATCATAAGTCAAAACATTTCAAAACATTTTCAAACCACAAGTGGAATCAGTAGGAATCTGTTTGTTACATACCTATCCTCTGGCCAACAGAATCAAAGAATTGACCAATATCACTTCCAGGTACATCACAAACAGGTACAGATAATTCACTGATACCAGATTTTGTGTACAATCTTTGTGCCTTCATATTGCTTGCTAGGAATTTAGAAAAAATTAAATCTATGATATAATTCATCTCAAAACTATTTTACATATACAGAATTGCTTTTCTGCATACAATAGCATTTCTGATATGGTCATAACCCTATTGAGGCAGGTTTACAGTGAAAGTGGTCCATGTTGTATTTTATTGGTGACAAAGAGTTTCATATTTTCCAGGAGAACATGCCCCAAGAACACAGATTACTAAGGGTCTAAGGGTTTACACATTGTAGCAAACTTTTCAGTCTGGGTCAACTGTTTGATAATTTTAGGAAAAGAGACCGAATAACATTCACCAAAGATAATGTCAAAATGGCTATACTCTGCAAACTGGATATTTGCAATCTGATAAAGTATAAGTGATATTAAATCATTAATAAGTGGTTTATAAACTTATTTAGGTTGGGAATGAAATGACCACTATTGTTGAAAGACCTGTTTCCATATTTCCATCGGGACGACTGCGCTTTAGTGACCTTTTTTTGTTTCCTGGTCAAAAGTTGAATTGAATTACAAACCTATCACTCTAGCTTGCTTTCTGAAACAATCGAAAGTTCGAATCTCAAAAGTTCAGCCAGTTAAGGATGCTATACATCAGTTTAAAAATCAGTTTGGATGACTTCGTTCATTGAATACATCTTGCTGTTTCGGGGCAACCGTCCCCAAACCACGTTAATTTATCATCAATTGATTCATTTAATTCCACATCCTGTTATAAAAGAATGTCATCTATTTCTTCATATCTTCATTCTCCCTGTTGCTCGCGTCATAATTGCTACGTAGTATACTACCTAGCGATTCAATTCAGCATTCGATCAGGTAGCAAATAAGTGGATTGCCAAAGTGCATCAGTGTAGCCTTTCCATCTATCTACTACTGTACAGAACCACATTCATGGCTTTGAGCTTCGAGAAACGACGGTCATGTAAATATGACTATAGTTACAATAAAATACATAAATTGATTGATATCATGGGCCAAGTTCGAGCGCAAGATATCCATTGTAGCTACGAGCATATACAAGATTTTTAGCCGTGTTACATACAAACAGAGTTTCTTAAAAATTTAATTAAAATAAAAAAGTTATCTCTAACCGTTAATGATTGTTGTGATATTCTTTTCTGTAAGAAAACTCGAGTCATGGCTGCTTGCAAGGCCACCAATAAATAAAAGCGGTACAACTTCCGTTGCATCGTGTCTCCCTGCGAGTTTTACCAACTTCTTTGGCACAGAACTTCTTGTATCGTCCGCCATTGAGAAGGACAACAACCACAGACCTCGTGTCCGTGTCAATGTAGCATGGCAACAGCGCCCCCTCGGATACGGAAAATGAGGCCCCGAAGATATCTTTTGCCTATAGAGGTTTTTTACCTTTTAGCTACTATCATATCTCTATGTTTTTTCCACAATTGGCTAAACACAGGGGAGTAGCGTGCGGGGGTGTTACGGTACACCCCCAACTTTCAGAGAACTTATCGCTAAATTAAATTTATAACAAAATATTAATGTAACAAAATAATTTCTGTCGTTAAAATATGGTTTTGCATCTCTTACACCCCCCACCCCCAGTGAGAATGGTCACGCGATGCCATTGGCTAAAAATATCGTGTTTCGAAGCATATTCATTCATAAGTCACAACAAAGGCAAGTGGGTTTAAAACCAAAATACCTGAAACTTTACTAGCAGACCCAAGATATTTAAGTACTCTTCTTCGGCTGCTCCTATTTTTAAGTGGATTTTGTAATTTCACGGTTTAAAGGCAGACCTACTTTTATCACTTCTTTCCAAAGCAGTATAATTTCAAATTCTTAAGAAACAATTAACGCCTCACAAAGATACAGCGAACACTTCTAATGTTCTAATGTAAAAATTTAGCCATTGAACACAAAGGCTTTTGTCAAAAATAATTGAAACATCTTATAATATCGCATTGGATACAGAGATAGGTTCAAGTACTCGAGAGCCCAGTCAGACCAGATTTTGAAAGCAACTGTTTATACCCATTATTGAAATGACGAAAAATTGTAAATTGAAAAGGGCAGGGGAAAATACGAAAAGAAAAACGCATTATCAAGAAGACTATAAATATATGTTGCTCAATAGGCCTCGCTAACATTAGAAGCCTTCCTTCCAAAACAAGAAAAAGCTAAATCGTGATATGCATAGGTTAAATAGGCAATACAAACTCTTATCAATACACTTTATATATCCTGTGTTATTATCTTAATGCTGAAAGCAGCGAATTGCAATATATTCCCACTAAAATGTTTCTTACAAAAATACTTACAAAGAGTTCCAGGACAAACTAAGAGTAGAATTTTTGACAGTCTCTAATCACGTTTCATATGTAAGTTTTACTCTGCATGCAGCTCTAAGGACTATGTTAAGGGACAGTCGTACAATTTCTAATTATCTAAGGACTATGTATGTAGAAACAATTACAAGGAAGAAGAATGTAAAGGCTTCTCACAAGTGGGATCTTATAATGACAAATTGGTACTTTCAAAATTCATTTCAAACTGAGTGATCTTTTTCAAAAAAACAGGGGCGAAGGGCGAAATTTATCTATCTAAAGCCTTACTTACTCTATGTTTTTTGGCTTAAAGCTAATATATATTTTACTGGGGCGTTTATACACACGAGTAAATGAAAAAAAACTCCCTATCTGTAATCTATCCCATATACGGTAATCAAGATCTTTACCTAAAACCTAGTATAATACTATAAACAAAACCCTCTAGCAATAAAATCATCTACCTCGAAAAAAATCTACTGTATCAAAAATATAGTTAAATTCTAACAGGGAGTGTACTGGCTTAGGGAACGTTCACATTTGCCATCAGTAGACAGATACGTAGAAGCCCGCGGGTAAAGCAAGTTTTTGCGAGTGCTCTTTCAGGAGAAGATAGCGCCCCTTTGAGGTTGAATATTTGCTACAAAGGTAAAATTTTGCCAGAACCCCTTGGTGAATCGTTATCATGATCAGCGCCCTTTCAAACATCATCCCCTCTCAAGTTACAGATGCCTTTTATATTCCGGTTGAAAGGTGGAAGGAAAAGGGGGCTGTAGAGACTGCCGAAGGGGACAGGTATCGTGGAGACAAAATATGACTGACATTATATGTGAACAATCCCTTAAAATAATGAAATTCTACGGAAATTCTGATCATAAATTTAAACGTCACTATGATGAAATAAATTACTTCAAATATTGATCTACAACAAAAATTCAAAAACAATTAGTAAAAATACCCCTTCGTTAATAACCCCTTAATAACCCCATTATATATTTGATGAAAGAAATTAATCAGATTATTCAAAACGATGCGATGTCATCCAAATAAAATTATATTAAAAAACTATATGTTTTGATAATACCCGAAACATAGCATAAATGACAAAAATGTTTGCGATAATATTAATGATAAATTATCTGCCTCCCAAGAAAATAGCGTGACTTCGCGTCTACACTGTTACAGTACATATCTGATTCTAAAAGCAAAGTTTCATAAGTATCTAAATTCCTTGTACTTTCACAACTATAAAATCATTAATTAAGAAATATCCTATGATATAACTAAAGTCTATAAGCACACTCCCAAGTATATGTCTTAACACTAAAACACGATGTATATGTATTATATAGTTTACGCTTATATATCAATATTTAGGCCCGTCGCTATTTGGAGGCGTGTGGGTTGTGACACCCCTTTGAAGAATATTCCATTGTAAAAATGAAGAATTTTTGGTCGTCTAGGGTTGCTTAGTCGGTAAATTTCCAAACTTGTCGGCAAATAAAGAATGGCTCATCCACTTTGTCGGCAAATGGAAATTGAAAACCCCCTTGAACACAATAGCTAGCGACGAGCCTAGGAACATTTTCGATTTTTCAGTTACTACACCCTCTTAGAAGATTCCATGCCATTGGTATACTTTCTTTCCGCGTATCTTTCCAATTCTAGTTTTCGACTCGTTTTCTCGGATTTATATATATCCGGAATTAGTGCTGTGAACGGAAGCACGAACTTGTTAGCGAAGAAAAAAAAATTATACACCTACAAAAAACATGTTACCGATGAAGTCAAAAAGCTTTCGTCAAAGGGTTCTTCTTGAAATTTTATATCTTTAAGCATATATTTGCAGATATATTGTTGTTTGATGGTCGTATTAAGCGTGAAACTCGGAGTAGCAACTTTACGGCAGGCTGGTAAACAGTAATCTTTATATACACGCTTATGAATAAGTGCATATATAATTTTTTCAATTGGTTATCCTTTATCAAAATTGTTTTTGTTACGGGTCAGATAGCTTCTTAGTTGGATAGCAGCAGAAATCGGATAAAAATTCAAGTCAAATAGCTGTTCGAAACTTAAAGTTAAAAACTCACCAGTTTGTTCGTTGGCTGATTCATCTGAGGTAGCTAGAAAAAGCAAAAGAGTATCATAAGTGTCTCTTTATTTGTTCACCTCCAGCCGACATCATATCTATCATAAAGATGCTTTTATTGTATGTTCTAATTATGCTAGTGAAGAGAACCTTCTTTAATGAAATACTTCCTACCTTCTTCAGTTTCCACCATATAGATTGTATTCTTCCCAAACAAGCTAAACTCATATTTGATCAGCTGACTCCAAAATCCTGGGTTAGGCTTAACTTTGCGACGCTTCGACTTTACAAATTCATGGGCCTTTTTCAATTCCATGTTTTTATACTTCATAAGATAAGCTAGAACCAGAGTAGTTGATCTAAAACACAAGAAAATATAACAAAGTCAATATCGTTGTCTTCTGGGAGGTTAGGACAACTTATCATCATTCACTAGAATTTAAAGATACAAACTAACGCAAGCATAGATTCGTTGCAAATGTCAACAAAGAGTTCAAGTTAGGAATGCTTCATGACGATGATATCAGATGAATTCAAAGATCGGCCAGCAATTTGATGTTCTTTAGCTTAGTGGAGATAGGGGCAGTGATACGCTGCAGCCACCTTAATCAGACAGAATTTATCGCATTCCAGGCTTATCTGAGCAGTTTTATCTCAATGAAACAATGATATTCGGACAAGATCCATTCTAAGCCGCCATTGTTGCTACCTTTGACATTCTGTCATTTAGCTAAAACCATATCAGTTTCATACAACCGCTCCTTCCAACTCTTCTACTTTACATCGATAGCGCTTATTTAGATTCATGAGGAGAGATGTGGAAAAAAATTCCAGTTGATGTGTGACAAAACAACATGGTGTAGAGAAAATGGCACATACTGACCTACTAATACCCGCAGCACAGTGCACCAAAATACGACCATTGCCTTTCTCTGCTTCATCTATGGATAAATACCATCAAACTTTCAGAAGCCTATTCAAATTATGAGATTACTAAATAAGAAACTTAAAAGAGACAGAACAATGACCATTGTTGCCTCTTTTGATAATTACAAGAATCACTAAATGTAAATGCTGAGAAACTGCTGAGAAACTGTGACAACTGTGAAAATGCTGAGTGAAAATGCTGAGTAAGGGGAGTGTTTCTAGGCAGGTAATCGCACAAAATTTATCTAATGTCTTCAAAAAATGTATCATCAGGTTTTGATTTTTAGAATAACTCTTATAAAATTAAATGGCTGCTTATTTAAATATATCTTACTCTATCTATCAATCTGACAAAAAGCCCTGACCATGCTACCAGGGATGGCACCAGAAAAGAAATGCTGGGGGGGCTGTAGTGACAGAGTGCCAACAGTGAGTGAACCGGGAAAGTGAAAATAAAAAAGGAATCTGGAAATGGAAGTTATAAAAGTGCCGACATTGCTTAAAATTTTCAAAAATTGAAGTGCTGATGGGGGGCTCAATGGATTTTGGGGGGCTCCTGCCCCCAAGCACCCCCAATGGTGCCATCCCTGCATGCTATTGAGGGTGATGGTGTCCCCAAATGATCCTATCTTTTCTACGACACTGAAGATACATTGGTCACCTTTTGTAACCGTTACCTCTATTATGCAAGAGGGTACTACCACAAAGCCTATGGTGAATGTATGAAATTCACTTACCAATCAACTGCCCCACAGACTCAAAAAATATGCTAAGATCACATTCTCCTGCATCGCCTACTGGAATTACCAACTCTTTTATATCGTAGGGTTGGCTACATCCTTCTATCTTGTTTGGGTCCATGTTACTAACTGAAACAAAGCAGGAATTTATAAACAAATAGCAAAAAATTATTCAAAATAAAGAATTTAGCAGTGATATAGACATGAAAATCACCATAAGGTTAAAAGTTGCAACCTGCTAGCAAATACTCTGAGAAAGTTGGGGCTACTAAGTTCGGTCGTACTTATGTTTTAAAAAATTGCGAAAATTACTTATAAAAGAACTGCAGTTTTTACAGAAAAAAAGGCAAAAGAGCTGGGAAGCATCATGGATATCCACAAAACTTAACCCAGTTCATGGATTTTTAATGTCTAGAAAGCTAAAAAGGGCTTTGAGCAACATATTGTTTTAATGGAGATGGACATCTGTTTTGTGCAACTTTGTGTGGAAAGAGGCATGGTTTTTGTGATGAGTCATGTGATGGGATGTGACTTGACTACAGGCTGGGCAAATTTATTACATAGTTTTAGCTTCTATTGTGTAATGATTTAAAAAGTTCAAGCAATAATTTTGTTTGCAGTTTAAGTGCTCCGCAAACTTTTGTAAGACAGTGGAGGGTGTGATCAGGAGGCTTTTTATAAGGGTAAAGCCCTAGAATCCATTTTTTGCATATTTCAAACATTTTAGACACACAAAGCTCCCTGTTTGTTAAAGATTTATTAGATTTGTATTAATTACAAATTTTCTATTTAATTATAATTTTGCTACCTAAGTGGTGTCCCCTAAGTGGGTAGGACACAGAGTCAGTGGAGTAACAAACTAAAGTCACCTATAGTTAAAAAACTAAGGGCTCCCAGCAAAATGTTTTATATGCTATTTTACAATAAAGCTGGCATTTTGTATGTGATAATTGAGTTCAAGGGGCCCAAGCCTGTGTGATACATCAGTCTAAATGAACAGAAAGTCTATTGATAAGCATTTTATTTTTTTTCTATGTTGTTGTACTAATGCTTATAACTAGGGGCCCTAATCTCAAAAGCCCTTAGGGACCACAGATGCATCCCTTGTACCACTGCTGACAACCTATGCTTTTTCTGGTCCTTCCTCTCAATATGGCCACACCGTTTGATTCATAGGCCTGAATTGACTAGAAATTTAAATTTGTCAACCAACATGTTTGCAACAAAGAAAGAACTCATTGGCTTTTCAGAGCTCTTCTTCAATAATATTTCCCAATGTTCTAGTATCCTTGGCATTTTCAATGTTTTCTATGGCAACAATCTTTTAATCACTGATCACAACTCCCATAAATACTGTTGCATAGGAACAAGACATCAAATATCAACTGAACAAAGATGAGTCAAATCATGATGCAATTAAGCACTAATAGGATGACCACAGACACAATGCTTGCTATTTAAAAAGTTCACAGGTTGGAATGATACAGCATAGTTGGCTGCCAACTAAGGGGTGACTTTCTCTTGCCACCTTGCTACACTAGCTTTAGAAGGGAAGGATAGACACCTTAATGCACTGAAAATATCAGGAAATTTTGGAATCCTTTTTTGCCAAAATGTTTACCTCAAATCAACATCCCCAAAATTTATCTCCCATTGTCTTCATTGACATTACTAGATACACAATTTGGATACACAAATTAGTACAAATGGGAAAATTTATCAATCTCATTTGAACAAGAAACCTTCTTAATTGTTTAATACTTAAATGCCCTCATGAAATTTCATGACATTTCTAGCATTCTAGTTGATGTTTGATGTTAGGAATGACAAAATGTTATTTTACGCTTTCTTTGTTGATGATAAATATAGCTTTCACACTGAAATAGCTTAGCCTGCTTATGCACATTGCTTTGGATTACTTGGTCAAATAAACATATTTAACTTTTTTGTAATACATCAAAATTGGGTTGATTTCAGTTGGATAGCAGCATTAATTTTGCTTAGTTACTGTGTTAATGATTTGATAGAATTTAAATGTTCCAGTTTGGTTAGAAAGTTTTTGTATATTGAGGATTTGAAGACTGGAGAATGATTTGCATTTTTTCCATATATCTTTGATTATCATCAGCAAGTATAGGTTAACCAGCTGGCCTTATCAGTTAACTTTAACTTATCTCAGACGAAATGGAAAACATTGCAAACAGAAATTTTTATGAAGACGTAACTTCACTATAGTACCAAAATTAAGTACTACCTGATAAAATATCACCCAATTTACAGAGGATGGTGCAATTGTTACATTAAAGTAATGAATAACAAACGACGCTTTTGCTTTTAATAAAACAGATTATTTTCATCTCGAATTTCAGCTTAATCTTTTCATTTTTCCATCAAATCCAGTGAAAATTTACGTAGCAAACAAGGGGAATTACACCAAATTCATAGTTAAAGAAGTTTCAATGTAATTTCTGAGCCTGATGCACATTCTCTCTGTGAAAGAGAGAAACACAGCTTAGCTAACAGCAGAAAAAATGTATTTACAAAACGGACAAACAAAAGCTTAGCAGGTTTGATTAACACACAAATACTTACCATTAACAATTGAAGTGATGTTCTTCCCACTTAAAAATTCTGTTGTTCGATTTCCAAGGCCTCCAAGGAAAAGAAAGGGAAGAATTTCTGTTGCCTCGCAGTTTGCGTTGGCCATGTTGTCGTTAACTTCGTCTGGTTCATCAACTTCTAAATTGGTAGACTTTTGACAACAATAGCGTTTCCAGCAAAATTTTGAGCATAACTCAAAACCACATCCATAACGCATTTTGGAAAGTAAGGTGTAACCATGTGAATAGGGCAGGAACAATAATAGCAGGTGTCTTTTCATTATTTGAGATATATTATCTGTGAAGCATATCGAGATCGTTTTGTAACAAACAAACCACACAAGACTTCACCAAAACAAAGCCGCCATTTCTTCCGCCTTTATGATTGATGTTGACAAGTGTTTACGATTCAATGCGCGGGATTCCCTCGCTTTGTCGGGGAATAAAGAAAAGACGCAGTCGGTGATAACAGTTCCCCGATCGGGAGTCCTGAAATCTATTGTTTTGCGATACAATTATTTTTTTTCAAGAGTGCTAAACAATTTGGGAAAGAATAGGTAAGATATATACAAAACTCTTCAGGTACCGTAAGATATGACATCAAGGCCTCAATTAAAGTAACCTGAATTACAGACTTTTTTTAAAAAATGAGAGTCTCTTTTTTACAGAGAGAGTCTTATACCCAGGGCTTAATTAATGCTACCAGCACGACAAATCAGATTTTTTGAGTGCCATAACCGTGCTCAAAACGGATTAGGCTGTCATGAAATTACTGCAATACGATAAGGTCTCTTTGAAAAATCTAAGAAACCTTAATTGATAAATAACAGTTGTAGGAAACGTTAGTACCTAAAATCTAGGTCTTGTTTTTCATATAGGATATATTCAAAAACACCTAGACGTAGGAAACAGGGGGCATCGAGAGCACGTGCCTCCCACTTTTCAGAAACAGTGGCAAACTATCTACTTGCAGCTAATACATGGGCTCCGACACAGGTTGAAAAGTGGGGGGGGGGGCAAGGGAAAATTTAACACCCATAACAAAAGATTTTGAAAAAAAGCTCTACTGTTTTGCAAAAAAGTGGGGGGCCAAGGCCTCCCCGGCCCCCCTTCGTCGGAGGCCCTGTAACAGAGGTGCCCCAATTTTGACGACCTGTGCCCCTCCACTTTTGAAATTATTTCTACATCTATGTTTAAGCAAGGTCTTAAATGTATTCTATAAATGTATTCAAGGTAAATTACTATTTCACTGGTCTGTCACAAAGTGATTGGTGAGGACTTGCAGACAGAGCTGTATACGTGCTGTATATGCATGGTGTAAAGAACGCAACATGATGGTTTTTAAGAAATCGTTATTGCAAAGGATATTTTCAAACTTGGGTGTAGAATATCAAATTTTATTTGAATCAACTTTAAAGCAATGGATTCTAATGAAAGATAGACATGGAGCTATCAGAGTCAGGAAAACATTACGGTCGCACGGCCATTGACCGGAGGAAGGTCTACGAAGAACAATAGAAACCTCTATGACACACCTAAGCCACGCCCACTTTCTATTGTTCTGTGAGGAAGGTTTAATAATAATAATAATAATAATAATAATAAGAGGAATATTTATACAGGGTAAAACCTTATCAATACTACGAGTATTGTTATCAACGAGGGCCCTGTTTTGAAAGAAAAAAATATAACTCATTAGAATACGAAGTAAAAGCCTTAAAATGTCTTTTAATATTTCTTCTTAAAAAAAATCCTTAAAAATCCTAGTTATGAAAAAGACGACTATAATCCTTTCAAATGTTCTTTAAGTCTTTGCTTGAAAACAACAATGGTGTCTAAACTTCGAATGTCGATTGGTAGTTCGTTAAAGCAGCCCTTCTGGGGGTATGTTTGCCTTCTAGGGTGATTTTGTCTTGAGGGAGGTAAACAACTTTTCTGGACTCTGGAAATAATCAGGAGATATAGAGTGTGATCAGGGGCGGACTGGCTGGTCGGGCTATTCGGGCGATCGCCCGAAGGGCCGGTTGGTTTGAGGGCCGGCTGATAAAAAAAGTGCCAAAAAAACTAGCTTAAAAAGTGAATGCGAGGCAAAAAAGTATACGCAAGCGTTGATCTGTTTGCCTTGAATTTTCAAAGACTTTGTGGGAATGAATAAATATACACGCAAGTACTCGAGAACCATTAAAATTACGAATTCATTATTGTCACCGCAGCACAGACACACTTCAGGAAACATGTTATTGTTATATTTTCTCTTGACGGTATTTCCTTTTTGGCGACATACTATACTGTAGCACCCCTGTTTCAATGCGATACATAAGATTTTAACCTGCCCTGGTGACCTTTTACTTAGCTTTTGCTTCAAGCTGGTCATGTTTTTGCCTAAGCACAAGCTATTGCTTAAGGAGGCTGTTGATAGTACACTTACAGAAACAGTAAAATGACTATAAAATGAAATCCATGCAATGTAGCTCCTTAAAATTTAGCACACATTTGATTCTCCTTGTTTGAAATATTTTGAGCAAAAATTTTGAGCAAAAATTTGAATGGTTTCCATGCAAACATAAGAAAAAGAGTATCAAATTGCAATGATTTAGTGCAGATATCTAAGCTGAATAAAACAATATAAATGTGAAATTTTGCACAAACATCAATTATACCATTAGGAATGCAATAAGTAGAAGAAATTTAGATTTTTCAATTTTGGGGGCAAAATACTCCGAAAAAGACTGTTTTCATGGCAACTACCACCAACTGTGACAGATTTCAAAATCCTCTACTTATTGCATAGTTTAATCTTTACTACATATATTCCAAAAGTTTCAGCTGGTTTCACAAAACAGCTTGAAAAATACAAATGTTTTTGTAACAGAAGTGCTGAAATTTCATGTTTTGAGAAAAACGCCATTAAAAATAAAGTTGTAAATCTTGGCAAAGTTTGGCCTTTGCAAGTAAAATTGGTTACTTGGCTTAATTTTTCATTACAGGTGCTTGAAGCTTACTCCTTACTGCAAAAATATCTTCAATTAATCTACAAATCAAGCATACTTTCTTGCTTCAGTTTATCTTTTCTTCTTTCTCTCTACGGTAACAAAAATGTCTTTTTCATCACAAAATGTTATATTAGGGACTTCTGTTTGCTTTGTCACTGAATAAGGTCTTTTCCTGCTCTGCTTCTTTTTGGTACATTTCTCAACCTCTGGTTCAACTTCTAAACCAAAAGCACCTGGTTTATAGAAGGTTTCACTTGGCTTTCCTTGAATCTTTTTTTTTCATTCGTAATTCTTTTCTGCGTGCTTTGAATTCTGCGCTAGACTTCCTTTTCATATTCTCTATTCTTCTTTTGTTCTCCTTTCGAAAAAATTTAAGGGTTTGAGAACCTAAGTCTGTTACCCCCAGACTCTGCATCAGCAGTGCTTTGAATGCAGTACCTGTATTAAAAACAGATACAGCTTCACATACAGCAATTGTCACTCTTTTTATACCACATTACTTTGTCTTAGGGCATCGATTTGTCCAAAGTTGACCATTCAGGTTTTGTGTCGACTCTCATTTCGGTTTTGTGTAAGGCCCCTTAAACATCTCTTTAATAGTTCATCCTGGGATAATCTATCAAAAATTGGTTTCAACTCTTCATGAAAAACGGCAGGAAGTCGATTCTCTTGATTGTTTTCGCCATCACCAAAAATCTTCTCTCTCCAATACTTGCACCATGTTGCTTCATCCTGTGGGCAGTACTGGTGCTGCTGCGCAAGAGAAAGTTTTTCTGACTTTACCATGTGGTGCTGAATTGCCATTATGCTGTTCTTCATACCATCCTTGTTCCCTGAATTTCTTCTGATAGCCAAACCATAATAGTTTTGAATGCTATCAATTGCAGCTTTTGTCAATCTACCTTTACCCCCGACAGGTTTTCCATCTGGAAGCATTTCTTTCTTCATCCTTCTTTTATATTCCCTGAGTGATGTACCAATTCGCTTTTGGACATGGCCAACACATTCTTCCTTTAAAACTGAGTAATCATCCCCATATTTGACTTGCAATGCCTCCTTTACTTTTCCAAAAGTACTACTGTCCCCATCTCCAATAAACTCTGTATATTTCGAAAACCTTTTTTCAATACTTCTTGTGAATATTTCAACAGCACCATCCACTTCCATGTTTCCTGAAGCTCCCTCATGATTTATGTGACAATGTCCTACATGCTTTTGATGCCAATTTTTGTACTTAGCTGTGTCTTTATCATCTTTTTCATGACTTTTACACTCATGGCAAAATAAGGATTTGATGACATAATCCAGCACTTGACCAGTCCTGACAGATATCACAAAAACTACTCCAACTCTTGATGAGTGGCCTCTCTTCTGCCAAGTTCCATCAACTGTCACTGCAACCATCTTGCATCACTTCAATTTTAGTTGACTTTTCCTCTTCAACTATCTTGAAAAGCTGCTCAGCTGCCTCTGACATAACTTTCTCTGCAATTTTAACTGATTTGCAAGCAAGTTTCTTTATTTGTTGATTGTACGATCTGCTTGACAATGGTGGAGGTAAGCCCATACCTCCACAAAACTTTTCTAGCCCTGCACGGCCCCATTGGTACGATGAAATTACTGACCGTATATTTACTTCTAATGTACTCCTTCCTTTAGTACTAACGTGTTTGCTTGTGGGCTTTCAGCAAGGCCTTCTCTCTTCGTTGCATCCACAACAATTTCAATCTTTGTTCCCTTGTTTTGCTAATTTCAAGCTATTGCTTAATGTAATAAACTTAAAAGTCCAAAAATTAGAAATCTCTAAGCGATTTGCTCTGTATTTGAAGCAATGAAAAAGACATACGTAGAACGGGGGAAGAGCAAGAAGACTTCAATCAAAGGTGGAGCACAGAAATTTCGTGAGGAAAAGCTGCGAGACTTAAAAAGGATTCAGCTACGATACAAAGCTTTTTTATCAAGGAAAAGCCACAAACATAACAAAAAACAGCATGGTCTTGCTCTTGCTTCTTTCAATAACTCATACAAGTTATGGAAAGTTTATTAGGCCTACACTATCATAAGTCAAATGCACCCCCTGCCCAACAGGGGTATGGTGCTACACGATAAAATTTCAACAGGGGTGCCCTTGTTTTCTTTTTGGGGTCAGAAATTGACAAATTGATATTTTTGGGTTGCTGAAATTTCATTGTGGTTTTTCGGAGGATTAGAAAATTTTTTGTCACATATGGAGTGTGATAGAAGCCTTCCACTTTAAATATATAAAGAACAGGTTACGTAGTAATTTTTCGCAGCCAAACTTGGAGTCCTTTATGTTAATGTTCTTAGAAAAACACCTGTTAGATGACATCCAGAACGATCACATTATCAACATATAATTTACTGTATTAAGAAACAGAGTCAAACCAATGAGTTAAAATTTTTGTTTATTTACTGTTTAGTCAGCAAATGACATATTTAACATGTTCTGTTAACCAGCATTCATCCATGCACTAAATTACTGAATTTAAAAACTTGTTTTCCTTACAGACTAACATTCATTTGTATTTTCCGAGGAGTTTTTTATTTGCTATTATTGTGGGCCGGTTTGATCAAAATTTGCCCGGGCCAAAATAATTAGCCAGTCCGCCCCTGAGTGTGATCCTCTAAAGGCCGAAAATTTTTAATCGCTGGGAGATTTTTAGATATTCAGCAAAGTTTATCAATGAATTAAATCAATATACTGTACCAAAAATAGGGAAATTCTAAAAAGAGCTGCTTTTTACAGCAAAGTAGACTTGTATTTTTTTATATTTTCATAAAATTTACAATGACAATCAATAACAATACAAAAGCCTAGGGAGCATGGAAATGCATAACAACCCTAAGACTTACACTTAGCATAGAGACACAAATATTACAATAAAAAGCTACAAAAGTGATTGGAGTGGTGTCGCCCATCGTTCCAATAGCGTTGCAGATAGGACAAATACTCACAAAAAGCTATTTTAAAAGGAGATATCAAGTCTACCTATGTTCCTTACTAATCAAACAAATTTGCGCCCAGACATGATGAGTGACACCACACCAATCGTAAAAGGAATAAAATTTACACAAAAGAGAAAATAATTTACACGAGAGAGGTTTTCACGCGAAAGTTGATAACTTATTGGAACCGTTCTGAGGCCTGAATGTATTATAATGATGATTATATACAAATATGACTCGTATTTATAGGAACCTTCGCCTTAAAACTTATTTTCAGGGATTTTGCGTCTGAAGATAACCGTATTAGTAATGGTTTATTGTAGAAATTCTTAACTTTTCCAAATTTTTTTCGAAGAAAGGAAGAAATGTGAGTTTTCCATAATAGACATTTCAGTTCATACTTTCAAAGAATTGCTTGTTAATAATTTTTCGGAGATCACTCCCAAAAGTGCCCCTACTATTAGAGGACCATGGGCTAACTTGTGGGAAAACTGTGAGCCCTAATAGGGAATTCCCCACTGCAAAAGCATGTTGAAAGATCCTCTGTTTGTATGTCTTTCATCGTAGTGCAGAATGTTGATTGCAACCTTCTGCAGAACGATGTCATCTAGGAGTACTGCGCCACGGAAAACACTACGTTTGACCGTTGACGAAATCTTTGAAAAAAAATCTTTATTCTTAGTCAATGACTTAGGAAATAGAGTAAAACTAAAGAATGTGTAAGACCAGGTGCATTATGCTTACCAGTCAGTGATAAAATCATAAGGATTAAAATACTTATATGTTCCCCCAAACAGTTTCCTGTCGTGTTCCATTTTGATGCATTTTAGTCTATATCTTTCTTGGTGATGCTTTTCTGTTAATTCATTAACTATCCTTTCAAAGTTATCATCAAGATCTTGAATCAGTATCTTTGTCTCTCTCTCCAATAAATCATTATCGTGGTAAATACACCCGGCAAATGATAAGATCGTTTCATCATCTGGTATTGGTAAAATGTTCCGCGGAATATCAATTGCACTGTCTGTGTCCATTGTGTTGCATTTTTGCTCTGCAGCATAGTCCATAAAAAAAGGAAACGATTTTTCCAACACAAGTTCATCCGAGTTGCTTTCTGGAAAATTTTGCGAAGACTTTTCTCTAAGCTTCAACGGGTGATCAATCACATTGTCAAAGTCCTGTTTCGATGAGCCAGCCCTGCTCGATAAACCGTCTTTCACGGTTTCGTCATCTTTTTCTATTCTTTCTGTAGAAAATTTTTCACCGTTAGATAACAAATCGGTGTTCAAAAATCCATGTTGTGCTTCAATTTCAGTTGCTGTTTCACTGTTGAAGGAAGTATTGCCTTGTGACGTAACTCGCAACGATGCATTGCTTCTCTGTATCTCTGTGAAACAAGTACTTTTTGTCACCAGCTGGTCTTTAGATCCATCAAGGTTTACTTGACCATTGTCACTACTGTAGGCAACGACTTTTCGAGCTGCAAAAGAGTCACAACTACAATACAGCAATAGTTTTGAATAAATAAACTTCCTTATATTATCCTAAAGACAAATAAAGCATCCAATAGCTCGGTAGATAATTCTGATGAAGGAAGAATATGAAACAGGGCAGGCGAATTCTAGTATCCAGTAAAGCCCAAAGACTAACCTTTGTAGCATAACTTAAACATCTAGGAGCAAGGCTAAGTTTAACAACTTTTGACTCACGCTGTTTGGCAGCAGTTTTCTGCGCTTTTTTAAATCTTCTGCGTCTCCTGATAGCCTCGTAAATTAGTCCGCAGAAAAACAGGGCCAGAAATATTGCACCGCCTAGTTTTACATATGACTGCATTATCTGCGACTCCCAGCTGTAGAATTCTGGTTTGCTCGGCGTGACTTCTATACTTACATTTTCCTTGACATTAAGCATTTTTGCAACATGAGCAGCGTCTATCTGTAAGAATAATAAACAATTTCCACAGTGAGAGAATTTATGTTTTACTTTTTGCCCACATGATACCTACAAGGCTTAAATTTCGACAAACAGCTAAATAAGCTAAACAACTTTCCTACCCAGCCTTTAAGGTCTGGAACAAATTCCTATTAGTACCAGGGAGCTCTCTAAACAGTGTCTAGTTTAAAAAAGAACTAAAACACATTTGTCGAATTAAAAACCAATGTGAATACGACTCCCTGAAAGAGCTTCACTTATCTTAACCTGTATTTATTTAATTGCATTTGATCTTAAGTTATTATTAACTTGTACTAGCTCAAGGGACTTTGTGAATAAATGTGAATAAATAATAGAAAATCAAACAAATAAAATCAAATAAAAACTCTTACAGTGTCTTCGGAACGAAATTTTTATTTGGGGAGGGGGTCCATTGTTTTGCTCCCGTTCAGTAAACTGTTATAAAGGAAATATAATACAGCTAAGAAATCATTGAGAGGGCTCCAGCTCCCCCCAGCCCCCTCCCTATGCTTCCGACGGCCCTGTCTGACACTCAATGCAAATATAATGCAACTGCTCTAGTTACAATTAAAAATAAACATAAATTGTAGTACCTCTAAGACAGTTTGCATTTGTCGCAATATTGATGACTGTTCTTCTTTAACATACGTTTCAAAGCATTGAAACATCTGCTTAGCATTTCCAGTTGCAAAAACTCCAAGCTCTACACCTAATGGAAGTTGTTTTTTAACTTTGATCTCCTGTTTAGCAAGTTTGGCAGCCCAGATCGTTGAGACACTGGCATCGAGGATGCCATATCTGATTGTTGCATTTCCGACAGCATCCAGCAGGTCAGAGTAACTCGTGAAATTCATATCTGCAGAAGTAAAAGTAGTTTATTAAAAGGTATTTTATGAAACAGAATGATGAAACACAACGTCATTCTCTTTCAGAATTCTGTCTCTAGATTGGCTTCTATTAATTCACTCGAGATATTGCATCGAGAGTTGGCTCCTACTCAAAACTAAAATGACCTGCTGAAGATTAAATGAAGTCTTTATAAATTTTGTTTAGATCTTTATACTTTTTGCTCTTCAAAAGAAACTGTCAATGCCTACTGATCAGTGGCCAATGCCTGGTTAAAATGCAACCATTGTTTAAACAAAAGTGCAAATCACTTGAAAATTTAAAGATTTCATCTTTTTCGTTGCTTTTACATATTTTCTCATTCTTAACAGGCGTATACTTATAAGAAATAACCTGATTATAATTCAGAATATTTTGCAGGAATGATATAATTCAGACCAAAGATGTAAAAGCAAATAAATCGAAATCAGCTAGCTTCAACCTACCAATAGACATGCCTTTCTTTCTTGCAACTGCGAATTCCCACGTGTCTAAAACCATTCCAACCTTAGCGAGAAAGAGAATTTTAGGCTAATTTTAACTTTGATGGAGTAGTATGAAGTGTGCTTGAACCCAAGAAAAACGCAAAAGGTGAAACGAAGAGGAAAATATGATTCTATATAAGGATATATCTGTAAATCTTTCCAATCCTTCCTTGCTTTATTCAAAGATCATTTTAATGTCTTTCACCGCTACGAAGAAAACTAAGGCAACTCCTTGCCACAAAACTATTGTATTATCAGTCAAGTATTTAGAATTTCAAACATTTTCAAAGATAATTTTTTAGAGAAGCTCTATGGAAAATTCTTTTAGGAGGGACAGGGAGTGAGTTTTATACCTGTGCCCTCCTTTGGCATCAGTGTGTAAAATATCATAACTGCGTTCTTTTGACGCAATCAAGTACTTCACAATATTTCCGATTCGTCTTCGGCTCTGTAAATTATCGAATAGAGTTTTAAAATGTTCAATCTATAACTTCTATGAGACATCTGACTAACCCCAGAAGCTGGTGCGGTTGGTTTGGCCAGCGGATTTTCCGATGAAGTTAGAAATGTCGTCAAAGAGCCGGAGAGAAATCCACAAAGAATGAGCCCAATCAATGACCAGACCATTGAAATGAGTCTTCCAATCACAGATACTGGAGTGAAATCCCCATATCTAAAAATAAAATCAGAAAATAATAACAAATGTTTTTGAAAGTGCAAGGAACTATCGAACAGATTTGTTTGTGAGCAGTGGTTTATACAACATTTGTTTAGTAGAAGCTATCAATAGATTATATATTCAAGAATGTAATATTTTTATTTATTTAATTAATGAAGATCACCCTGGTGCAAGGATGGCGCAAAGGATAAGGTCGCCGACTGATCCAAGGGTTTGTGGTTCGGGTCACTCATATAAGCAAACTTTTATTTGGATTAAAAGTGTCGTTAGCTCTCTGCGGTTCCAGGTGTATCTCAAGGTGTGGTCACATCGAGAAAAAGGACCAGGACACTGCTTGATAAGCAAAGCTTCTCAGTTTCTTAAAAACTATCTTCGGAAAATTGGTATTAACGAAAACAGAAGTTAAGCGTGAAACTCGGAACAGCAACTACACTCGGAAGGACATTTGATAATTAAGTATTCATGAAAAAATATATTATTAGCTTAAAATTTCTAAAAAGCTAACCCAAAATGATTTTTAGAGAGGAAGAATCAGAAAAGAGACGAGAGTCTAGCACAATGTACCGACAGAAACAAAAAAATGAGAATAAAAAAATGTATTATATGTATGCTTTGGGCTTTGTCAATATTGTCGTTTTGTGCTTTTCTAAGCTATACCGTGGGCCTTAAAACTAATTGATCGACAAATTTATTGGGCAAACCAGATAGATTTATAGCTAGCTCTTACCCAACTGTTGTGGCAGTGACCCAGCCCCAGTAAAAGCCTTCCAGAAGACCAGATATGCTTGATATTCTGAACTGCCCGGTTCGATACCACGTTTCCTGGAGAAAAACACGTAATGTGCATATAGAGGTCAAGTAAGAAAGAGTGTCTGAAAAATGACTACGATATAAAAGACACCAATTTTAAGGCTCTGTCTTAGAAGGAGTCCCCCTGATTTACATTTCTTTACCCTCTTATAACTTCGATGCCTTGCAGGTGGCACGGTTCCATAGCATATAATTATAGTACCCTATGCTTCCGCCTATCTGTGCTAAAATTTCAAACCTTCATGAAAAGGCCGGGGGGGGGGCGGGTTGTGTTGTAACTACAATAGGCAGAGTTCCATTTTGAAATATGAAAACATACTCTAAAATTTATAAATTATCCAAAACCCTACCTCAAAATTTAGATACCATGTGAGATGCATACCTTTAAGCTTTATTAAAATTTGAGATTTATACTTAATGCGGGCCCAAAATTGAGGCAAAATCCTACGACTTAATCTTGATATCCCAAAATTCATTTTCTACTTGAAAAAAGCTACCCCAAAAAATGGCGCATCCAGTACCAGTGTATGTGGAAGTTAAACCCCCCTTCCCTCCACCTCCGGGACATAAGGATGATAAGCATGAACAGGGCCCAACATTACAAGCAAAATTGAATGACTTACTGCAATCCATATGAGGCAACCAGCAGCAAAACAAAACACGACGAACACTATGATAATAGTAAAAAGGCTTGATATTCCAGAGGTTATATTTTGGCCCGTGAGATTTTCCTTTGGTTTCCCTTCCACGACTACAACCGAGCTTGGGCTTACCAAAGAAATGAACTTATATTCATCATTTCGGAAGTCCGGTTTCATCACGGGAAACAAAAACTCTGTATCTACAGTCATCGTACTCGTCAAGTGATCTAGATTGGTCTTTTCTGCAGGCTTTCCCAGCCCGTCTAGTGTGTAGTCAATTGTTGCATTTCCTTTTATATTCAATCCCATGCACCTCCCGGAGCAGTGATGTAAAGCAGCAGAAAGGATCTTTGGGATAATGCCGTTAGGGACTGGTGATAAAGCATTTCGCGCTACTAATGGAGGATACTGATACCAGGAAGAACGCATCCTGGTGTTGGCTATTTTGCATGTCTCTGTGGGGAAACAAAGATAAAAACGTAGATAGATACATACACACAGATTTTACAAAATACCATTTTGATACTTATGGCTCAAACCAACACAAAGCAATTTCAAAAAGGGAACAAAAGGACAGATGTGTTTAAACTGATCATTACAGAAACAGTCAGTCTCAATAACCATGACTAGGGGTCTCTTATGTGCTCAACAACAAATTTTTTATTTTGATATTTTTAGTCCTATCAATATTTTAGCTAATAATTGTGGGTCTGTTACTTTTCTTTGTGCTTTTAGATGAATCTTGATAGCTGCAAATGATTGTGCTGGTATATAAAAAGTTTGGGTGACTCTCTTGGTTAACTAATGTTTGGCCAAAATCTGAAAAGTTTAAGGATGAGATACAGAAGTAGCACCGATCCCTTTTTCTCTCCGCTTTTACATCAAGTCAGCAAGAAGGATTAAAAATTTTGAAATGATGAAAAATCTGCAAAGTTAATTGTATGCATCCTTATAAAATTTATTTTAGATGGACAAACAAAGATGGAAAAAAAGATCACTCACCAACATACGTTGTTTTGCTGTCTGGTCCTTCTCCAACACCAGTGAAAGCCCTGATCTTCAGTGCGTATTTATAATATGGCAGAAGGTTGCGGAAGTTGTAATGGGTTGTCTGCGGTGACACTTTCCTTGTAATGGAAATAACCTGGCTTTGAGGTAGCTTGACACCACCAATACTGTGTGAGGTGAGGACAATGGTGTACCCCAACGGTACACCGTTCCAGAACTCTTTGGGCAACGGGAGCCATGTTGCATTGATTTCAGATGGATGCATGAAGCTCAAAGCTGTCAGGTTCTCTGGTGGTTTCGAAGGAACTGCAAGAAAACGAAGCCAGTTGTTGAGCTTAACTGTTTAGCTGGAATACAGAGCTGGTACTTATAGAGCTGGTACAAGAAGGCTTAGACGAGATGCGCCGGAGGAGCACGCATAGACTTGCATCGGAGGAACTGTACCGGGAGGATGTGGAGCAATGAAATGAGTAGGGTGTGGAGGAGGTAAAGGAAGGAGGAGAGAAAACTTTGCGCCTATCCCCAGAGTCTAGTGCGGAAAAAATAACGGGTTTTACTTCTCCACCGTCTTTTGCTAGAGCTTTTTATCTGGGACCACTTTTACGAATTTGCTTGAAAATTGAGTTTTTAAAATTCATTTAGAGTTTAAAATCGGACGTGATTTGCCGCTTTGTGAAAGCTATTTAATTTCAAAATGAGTTCTTTTTGTATTGTTTCGTCTTCTGTTTGTGGCTGCTTGCATTTTAAATTTGTAGCCGGACGCAAGAAATCATTTATAGCTTGTTAAGAATCAACAGTACATTCACTCTAGTGACTCACTGTATTCTCCTGTCTTTGCATGTACTGGCAAGCTTCTTACACCAACTCCCTGTGACGTAAACGCAGCGACCTGCACAGTGTACCAGTCAAATATCTTGAGATGAGAAATTTCCAGAAACTCATTTTCAGCTACTTGAGTCTCATTGAACTCGTTCGCTGAACTATGGTTGCCATATTGGTAATACACCACATAGCCAGCGATGGCACCATGTGCATAGGCAGGCAACAAATGTTTCCATTTTACCATCAGTGCTGTGTATGTGGTGGCACTGGCCGTAACATTAATAGGGGACATGGCTGGAACTAAGAGGGAAAAAGTTTATATACATTTAACTATGATAGATGTAAATGTTTATAGCAGTCAGGTTAAAACTATGGGTTCCTGTAGAAGGGCCTAGGCAAATGACATTAACAGCGAAACCTCATCTAGTAAAAACTTGTGAGGCTCTGCAGATTCCACCAGGATTCTGAGCAACTCTGCCAAATCCATTAGGATTCAAGGTAATGCTACAGATTCCATTAGGATCCCGAGCAGCTCTATAAACTGTATCAGGACCCAGATCAATCGTAATCGAGATTCCATCGGGATCCAAGTTAATACTACAGATTACATCGGGATCCTGAGGAGCTCTGCAGATTCTATCAGGATCTCTGGGAACCCCACAGATTTCAACGGGATCCCGAGCAGTTCTACAGACTGTATCGGGATTCAGATCAATTGTATGGATTCCATCGGGATTCCATTCTATTAGGATCCCAAGAAACTCTGCAAAGTCCATTAGAATCCCGAGTAACTTTACCGAATCTATCAGGGTCCCGAATAAATCTGCAGATTGCATCCCGATCACGAGCAATTTGACTGTCTTTATGAGTGCATAATAAAAAATTGCATTCAAATGTCTGTAGAATGAATGAAACAAATAGGCCAGCAATGAAACAGTAAAGCTTTTTTTACACTTCCAGTATGAGACATCAATAGCACCAGAAAAATAGTAATACTGTTGTGACTTTCTAGAAAGGAAAATGTCATTTCTCTCGAGCCTCCATTGATGCTTCAGGTAGCGAGGGAATTTGGAGTTGATAATAATTCAAATATACCTAAATAAGAAATGTGATTTGTTGTTCCGAGAAAGACAAAAGCTTACTTGTTTCCATGGTAAAAACATATATGGGATCGCTGATGGGTCCATCGTAGAGTGTGACAGCCAAAACTTGTACACTGTAATTTGTATATCCTTGCAGATTTTGGAGCTTCACTTCTAACTGATTCGGGCCCAAAGTGATGTTTTTCCTTATGAAAAAGAAAATTAAAACACTATCAATGTGAACAGGATTTGGCAAACCTTAGATCCATGGTATCAGATTCTGACATAGCTAATTCTGCATATATGACAAACTGCGTTAACTTACTGATCCATCTCTAAGTGCTCAGAAATCACAGCGCGTCGCTTTCTTGCCTTCTTGACAACTAGATGGCTAACAAAGTCACTCGCCGTGTACACTGTTTTGTATATGACCTTGTATGCTCTGATGACTCCTTTAACTTTGTCTGCCAGTGGCTTTCTCCACTTGATGACGCATGATGTTTCGTTCACTACAACTGGCGTCAGGTTACCTGGGGCAATATACGGTGCTGCAAAAAAACCGATTTGTAAAAGATTTGAATTGGAGAATAGATGAATAATAGTTCTAAATAGTCAACTTAGGGGGACCAGAGTTACAACCAGGGGCGCAAAATCTAAGAGAAACCCATACCCTCCCACAATTTTTAAAAACAAATTTAAAAAGTAAACATAAAATGGGTCTAGTCAATAGTGTCTTTGTTGGAAAATCTAATCGAAGTACCCTCAATTAATGTGACTCCAAACTTATCAACACCTTGATGATCCTAGCTGCAATAACTAGACAGCCATTAATGCTGGCTTGCAATATATTACGTAAAAGATCGAAGCAATTTGTTAAAATATTTAAAAATGAGTAACAAAAAATAGATTCAATGTTTCTTGTTAACGGTGATTGATAAGCAATAACCGCTTTACTGAGATTGATATGTAAATCTTGTATGTAGATAACTTAGTCTCTTGTTGAATCTTGTATGTAGATGACTTAGTCTCTTAGAAAAGTTGAATCTTGTATGTACGATAATTACTAAAACAATAGGATTACCGTCTTCAGCAGTGATGACAACAATATCATTGGCAAAGTTGCCATTCCCTTTTATTGTGAATCCAGCAATGCGAAGGGTATAGTTTGTATATGCTGTCAGGTTTGAGATTATAGTTGATAACGAATTCTTGCCGTTAACAACAGAGCTGTTCCACGTGTTTACGTCTGCATTAGTTTCTCGATACAAAATTGTGTAGCCCAAAGGAACTCCTTGCCAGTCATCTTTGGGTATTATTGACCAGTTTAGTTGCAAGTCGTACGAACTGATGTTGACTCCGCTAAAATTTGGGGGCCCAGTGCGTGGAACTAAAATGAAAGAATATACATAGCATATTCTTATCTCAAATTTTTGTGATACAGCTAGGTGATATCTAACAGAAGATAACTCGAATTAAACAAAATTCAGTATTACTGGACTACAGCTACCACAACACTAAAATAAGGATTGTGTCATTTTCAATGCCATCCAGGCATTTTAAGACAGGGGTAGAAAGTTCTTGAAGTAATTTTGACTTGTAAATTGTGTTTAAAAAGTTGGCGATTAAGTTTATTAATTAACCATCAAAGCTTTTAAAACACTATGACTTGAAGAACAGATTAAATAAATTGTCATTTCCTTTTATTTTCCAAGGGCTTTATACTATCTGATTGATTAAGAAATATATTGTAAAAGTTTGGTTACATTGTAATATACATGTTACAAGAAAATTACAACCATACAATATTCTCTATTGAAAAATGCAGCTACCTCACTTTTTGCTAAAGTATGACGATAATACTATGAAATCAAGGATAATTGTGGAAAAGCTGCTGTAGAAATTTGCTAACTTGTCAAGAGCCCCCCCCCTACCCCAAAATATGTTCTCGCGTCCCTGTACTTGCTTGAAGAGAATCGATTTTGATCTGTATTATGAAAACGCCAGATAGGAAATTCAACTTTAACAAAGTGCAGATTGACTTTTGCAAAGGTATGTACAAAATATAGGAAATTATTGAGTCTAATATTTTCCAGTTTATTATAAGTGCTTGCTTAAAACAAAAGGTTGTGAAGGAAAGAAGACGTGTTCCAGAAATAGACGAGCTTTTAACATATTGAGTTCAAAACAAATCTTTGTAAAAAAAAGTCATTCTGTTAAAATGTATAATTGTAATCATTCTCCAGGCTTGTCCTGCTATTCATCCCATTGCTATAAGAAACTCATCAGCCTTTTTTAAAAATTTTTCTTCTTATAAAAAACTAAACAGTCTGGTCCAAAAAAATTGAGCAGGATTTTACTGCACTTAAAGAGCGTGTACAGAAACTGTGAAAGATAAATTATAGCTCGAAGATAATTGAACTTTGTTAACTTAAGATAAGAATAATAATAAATATACGATGCAAAAATAACAATTCAACGCACCATACTCGTCAGTCAAACAGAATACAGGTGGGCCTCTCGGTCCCATGCCTTTTGATGTCGAGGCTGCTATTTCAAAACTGTGGTTCTGAAAAGGCTTCAGATTTGTAATTTCTTTGTTGGTCATACTAGATTCTACCGTAAAATGTCCTTCATCGCCTGTCTTGAGGTTCTTATAGAAGAGTGTGTAAGCAGTAAGCTGCCCCAGTCTGTATTGAGTTTCAAGTGGGGACCACACAGCATTTATTGAGAATGCACTTGTGTTGTGCGCTGTACACGGAGGGCCTTGTAAAGGTACTGAGAAAAAAGGCGAGATATTAATGTGAAACATCAAATTACAGAGAAATAGACATCTTTCAGGAATTGAAGCTAGTTCAAAAAACTTTGCCAATTCATTATAAGAATTGTTGTTAAAAGCGCAAAAGCTGTTGTCAAAGGCAATAGATAGATAAAAAAGTGGCTTTATCCATCAGTCAATCAACTATTGACCAAACAGTAACACGTGAGTGGTATTACCCTTTTTGATTGGTTATCTTTGATTGACAGATGTCTTTAGCCACTCTAGTATCTGTCTATTGCCTTTAGAGTTTCAAATGCAACACTTACTGTCCTCATCAGTCATTTGTTCAGCAAAGCTACTGTTTTTGACACCATTGCCCTTGATAGTAAAGGCACATAACCAGATGACGTATTTCTTGTATTTTTCAAGTTGCGTCAACTGGGCTGTTAGCAGCTGATGTGTGACACTGATGCTGGAGACATTTTGAAATGTCCCTGAGATGGCATATATGTCATGCAGAACGTAGTTTATTCTGTATCCCAGAGGTACCCCTCGCCAGAGTGGCGATGCAAGACTTGACCAGGTGACAACAATAGAAGTTGAGCTCGTGTGCTGAGTACTTGTGATTGCAGGGGCCTCAGATGGAACTGGAAAGAAAACAGCAGCAGAAATTAAGAAAGACGAAACGGATAAACAAAGGCAATTGGTATTTAAAAAAGACTGTAGCAATTGCAGCAATAACGTAAGGGGTAAGTGGTCCTGAAATACCAATGACGAGACAGGAAAGATATTTTACTGACTCTCTCAGCCTCGACCCTTTTTTTCTGCCTCGCCGGTCATCGGCAATTCAG